TTTCGAGATGATGAAGGCTTCGCTGATTATAAGAGTACCTGGCACACATGCTCTTTGCTCATAGTACTCTATGAAATATTGTCAATAATTTGTCTTTGGAAAGCACAGCAGCAGTATATACTCTACCTTTGTTGAGCGATGTTGCTTTGTGCTCGTCGTCTATACGGTAGCGAGTCAATGGCGCCATGGCTATACGATGGTCTAGCCTGGCGGGCCCTATCGTCAATGGTTGGAAAAGGCGTGACATGTTGGTTTCTGACGCTTGCACAGTTACAAAATGATCAAATGTCCCTTTTTCGCTGCGAGCGAATCGTCCCGTTATATCCCTCTGCTGCTATTACACAAGCGCGCCTGAGACCATGGTCAGGGAAACATTTTCTAGCCCGTTCTTACGAAAAAACTTTACATTCCTTCTAATCGCTGGGGTTGTTCTCGGCAGACAACGCCCAAACTCATTGCTGGCATGCTACGAACCCGCCCGTGATGCCGAGAACTCGGCGTAACCCCCATCGAGTTAAGATGTGCTTCTGGAGCGTTGGATCCACGATGACGACAACCGTTGCCATGTGGGTCTGGCACCCATCGGCTCAGAATGTGCCGAAAGCGTGGTCGAAGCCACGCTATCATTACCCCACTCGCCCTCGCATCGATGACAATCGTCTCCACCATACACTTACGGAATCCAGGAATGTAACAGATTCTTCCAGCTGCAGTTTCTTCGGCTGTATTGTATTCGGTTTCCGACGTTTTTCCGAATGAAACGTAGTACCGAGCATACTTTGTTAAGGAAAAGGGCCGCCCCGCTCGGGAGGCTTCCGATGCCTACGTTGCTGTCAATCTGCACGCTAGCCATCATGTCTAGACTCAACGTCAGCTATCCATGTTGACTTCCTCCACTACTTGACATGTTTACTCAAGGTTCGACAAGCCTAGAGCAAACATATATATGATGATGAGCGAGCAGGCCGCCACTGACCAGATGAGCTCGACATGTTCCACCAAAAACGAAGACGTTCGAGTTTCTGGTGCACCAGAAGAGAACAGAGCCAAACAAGACGATCAATATTCTACGGGAATGCCTGTCTCCAGCCATGGAAATACACCACTCGCACCAACGGCCAAACAAGACTCTGAGGATGAAAGCGATGCGGCATCTATTGGTGGTCAGCGGAATACCATGACCTCTACCCAGCTAAGAATCGCAATTCCAGCTTTGTCGGTCTGCCTGTTTGTCTCCTTCATCGATCAGACTAGTGTTTCAACCGCAACACCTGCAATCGCTGTTGATCTGAATACTGGAACTGCAACCTCATGGATTGGTACATCATTTCTGATAGCCTCGACGGCATTTCAACTCATCAACGGTCGGCTTTCGGATATATTTGGTCGGAAAAACCTACTGCTCGTCAGTCTTATGCTCATGGCTCTGGGAGATCTCGGTTGCGGTTTCGCAAAATCGGCTGTACAGCTTTTTGTACTCCGTGCAATTGCGGGCATTGGCGGCGGCGGCATCAACAGTTTGGTCATGATCATCGTTAGTGATATTACCACTTTGCAGAATCGTGGCAAGTATCAAGGTAGGATGTTGTCTCAATTCGCGTCCATCATGACCTACTAAATCTCTTTTCAGGTTGGCTGGGTGCAGTAATCGCTCTAGGCAATGGTGCTGGCCCTTTCCTCGGCGGTGCTATTGTCGAAGGAGCTACATGGAGATGGGTGTTCTGGATTATACCCATCTTGGCCATCCCCACATCTCTGATCATCTTGTTCTTCCTGCCTTTGAAGCATCGATCTGGCGGCTATCTCGAAAAGATCAGAAAAATCGATTATGGTGGCATGGTGCTAAACATCGCATCCACACTCCTCTTACTGATACCCTTGTCCGGAGGTGGTGTTACTTATGCCTGGGCCTCTTCATTTTTTATTGCCTGCACTATCATCGGCGCCATGCTGGGAATTCTGTTTGTCGTCTACGAATGGAGGTTCGTCGCTCTCCCAATCATGCCACTCCGGCTCTATCGCGCCCCTCACGCCTGGGCGCTCTATTTGCAAACCTTCCTCATCGGGCTCGCATATTTTGGGAACTTCTTCTATCTCCCGATTTACTTCCAATCAGTCCTACGGTACTCACCTTTAGTATCTGGCGCCTTGATTCTACCAGTGGTCATCACCACCTCTCTTACATCGATTGCGTCCGGCCAGTACATGAACAGAGTCGGTAGTTACATGCACTGCATTCTCGCTGGATTTGCGCTTTGGACTCTTGGAAATGGGCTCACGCTACTTTTAGATCGGAGTACTGGCCTGGCAGTGCTCATTGTTGCGCTCATTCTGGAAGGTGCGGGCATTGGTTTAGTGCTTCAGCCCACACTCGTTGGTATGTACGCAAACGGTCGTAGTGAAGATCGTGCTGTAACAACAGGGTTGCGCAACTTTATTCGCACCATTGGCGGAGCGTTCGGTCTTGTAATTTCTGGAGTCATCCTGTCGAACACACTCAGTCGTCACTTGTCGCAACGAGGCTTCGTATCAGAAAGTCTGATGAGTCAGCTGACCTCCTCGACTTATAACCTCGACAGCTTTGGTCTCACAAAAAACCAGCAAGATATCGTTTTCGATGTCTATATGCTGGGTCTGCATTACATATTTATTTTCTTTACAGCATGCTCAGGCGTGAGCTTATCGTTGACCTTTTGGGTTGGGAACACGAGTCTGAAAGCACCGAAGAATCTGGATGAGGAGGAAGCGGTGGCAGCAAGCGCAAACGGAGATGCGTTTGAGCAGCCAGCCATAGATGGTGAGGAAGTGGAGAGCAAGGGTGATGCATCTCATGAGAAGGAGGCAAATATCGGCGGAGACATAAAGAATAAACATCGTTCATGAGGTCCAGCGGGGTCTTTCACGATAAACAAGCGTATTGGCATCCTATCGTCTTGGCAGGAATATTGGAATACATCATGTATAGAGCCTGATGACTTCATCGCTTAGGAGTTTAGCGATCGTCTTGCAGCAATCTCAACATGGACTGCCTCCAAAAACAAAGTTAGAACCCCGCACACATGATTGGACATGAGAGTATCTTGTTATGTTACAACTTCTTAATGTGTTAATTGAAACTGGGTGTGACTGCCTCGGAATCTGCTCGATTGCTGTTACTGTCAAGGTAAGACAATGCGAAGATGATAAGACTTCGCATCGAGGCGATCCACCAGGTTACACAAAGGTCACCAGGGTACACCGAGGATCGATTCCGGGGATACACAGGATATTTTTCTTTAGTAATACAAGGACCTGTTTCCTGTGGGATTTTCAGGGTTCCGAGTTCGGTAGGTTGCAGTGTAGCCCCACAAAAACCCATGTCTTATCAGCAACCCCAGACTGGTGTGCCCCAGCCGTCGTAACACCCTCCTTTTCGGGGCAACTTTCTACTTGCGGATCTTTCCAAGCCGATAACTGTACATTCTCCTACGATAACGTGATAACGTCACGGCCGGTCCAGACTGCGGCCGTACGCTGGGCGATCATCGTGAACGACGGCAGGGTGTCGCATGCGTCTGTTGCGTAACAACTTCACGGGTGAGAACAGCCGATGTTAGAGCTACGAGATACGAAAAATGAGGGGTTAGTTGCTGCTATCAAGTACTTAGACTCGGTTTGGAAAACCTGAAAAGGATCGTGTGAATCAGCACCTAGATACCCTCCTGTCTACTTTCAAGATACCTCTGTAGTACTATTGTAACAGACCACCATGCCTGAAGTCTACGCAGCACCACAAGAATATGCCTTTCCCCGAAACTTCAAGGGATATGGCGAAAAAGGCCTTGAGGGTTTGAAATGGCCAAACAACGCAAAGATAGCCGTCTCTTTTGTCATCAACTATGAAGAGGTGAACCCAAATTCCTCCATTTACCACTTCACATACACTAACTGATTGATCAGGGTGGTGAGCGCTCAGTGATGAAAGGAGATGGAATGTCTGAAATCAGTCTCCGCGAATATCCCACTCAACCAAGAATCAACGAGCGCGACTACAGCGGCGAATCCGAATTCGAATATGGCTCACGTAGCGGCTGGTGGCGCATTTTCAAGCTCTTCAACGACTACAACATGAAATTCACCCTTTACGCGGTCGGCTCCGCCGTCGAGGAGCAACCCGAAGCCGTCACACGCTCCGTCGAAGAAGGTCACGACATCGCATCCCATGCCTATCGCTGGATCGATCACTCCAACCTCTCCGTCGAAGCCGAAAAGCAGCACATCAGAGACGGCATCACCGCGCTGAAGAAACTCGCGGGTTACGCCCCCAAAGGCTGGTACTACGGCCGCCCTTCCCCCCAAAGCCGCGCCTTGATTCCTTTAGTCTACGAGGAAATGGGTGAGGAGCTCCTCTGGGCCAGCGACACCTATGCCGACGATGTCCCGTACTGGACCGATCTCCCCCACGAGCGCAACAGCCCCAATCCAAAGGGCTGTCTCATGGTCCCTTACAGCTACGACTGCAACGACTTCAAATTCCACACTCAAGGCACAGGATTCCGCAGCCCGGGCGCCTTTTACGAGCACCTCCAGAACGCATTCGATGTCCTGTATGAAGAGGGCGCGGCGGGAAAACCAAAGATGATGACGATTGGACTGCATTGTAGGATTATCGGAAGGCCAGGGCGGTTTAAGGCGTTGCAGGACTTTGTAAAGTACATTTCGGAGAAGGAGGGGGTTTGGGTGGCGACTAGGACGCAGATCGCCGAGGCGTTTAGGGAGCAGTTTCCTTACAAGAAGGGGGAGCTTGCATAGGATTGTGGTGTTTGAATAAAGTTTTTCTGTCTTCACTATTCAGAGGTTGCGGGAGAAGTACATACGTTGAACTGAATGTGAAACGTAAATATGGAAAAAGTAAAATTATCGATAGTCGTCTCTATGTAAATATTTTACCTCGTTTGTATTCCGAATCTTAAAGTCCGTAAGTGATGCCTGTAATACATACTAACAACTCCAGACTCCCTTCACCTATATCCCCCGAAACTCCACTGGTTCATATCCACCATCCCCTCCCCATTTGTCTGCATCGCAGCATCCTGAATGGGATCCACCCCATAGAACCCGGGGCCCTCCTCCGCCGTCCAACTCATCTCCGCCATCCCGCATCCCATCCCATCGCCTCTGACCTCCACATTCTGCATCTGCGCCTCCTCATCCCTCACCATCTCATTCCACATCCTCCACCCCTGCCAACCCCCCGGCGCCTCCTCATCAACCTCCATAAACGCCTCTTTGACCGCATCCGTCACCATATGCGACAGCGTCTGTTTACTACCCCTCCTCCCTTCCCCCGTCTCCTCATACCCCTTCCGCTGTCCCAGCCCCTGCAAGCTCGACTCCGCATCAACATCCAACTGCAGCGGTCTCGCGCCGCTCGTTCTCAGCGCATTCGTCGCATTAACCACCGTTTTAAACAAACTACCAGATAACGCATCAAAGATATCGCGATACTTGACGGCGCCCGGCCATTTCTCACCGAAGATGGTGAGGATCTGCGAGCACGCGCGGGTCGCTTCGAGGACGTCGTAGGAGAAGAGTGTGCGGTCGCGCCAGATACAATACACAAGCGTTAGACCGGCTACGAAGCACGAGTGCAGCGATATCATGGTGTAAGTCAGCGTTTTATTCTGGCTGAGTCGCTTGTATGCGTTGCAGGCGCAGGCGGCGGAGCGGGCGCACGTTATGAAGCGTGTATCTGAAGTATCGAGGGTGGGCAGGAAGACGGTGAAGAGGAAGAGCATTGCTTTGTGGTATTGGACGCCATAGAAGTCACGGGCGTCGAGGTATGCGCTTTCCGGGTCGTACATCCAGGTTATCTTGTTTTCCTTTTTGGGGGTTTGTGGGCAGGTGCGAAGCCAGGTGTCAAGGTCGTTGCGGATCGAATTCATTTTTTGGTCGAGTTTGGCACGCTGTTCAAAGGTGCCGGCGAAGACGTCGCGGTCGACGCGGAAGACTGTCTTGTGGATTCGAGATTGGATTTGGTCGAGCTTGATGATGTGGATGAAGGGCTCGATGTTGGACCATTGGGTTTTGTGGGCTTCGGGGGCTTCTTGGTGTGTTAGAGTCCAGAATTCTGGGCTAGTGCTGGGAAGCTTTGGGAAGAAGTCAGTCAAGGTTTTCTTGTGATGTTTGGTCGCTGGCATACCTCGACATTGATGTCTCGATCGGCAATGGCAAAAGCACGGCCAAGAACGATGCTAGTCACTCGATCGAGACAGTAACACGACCAGAATGCTCGGCGTCGAATCTCAGCATCTCTTGCTTGTTCAGGAGAATACACCACGCTTCTCTTCCTGTGTAAGCCCATCTCTATACAGACGGACGTCGCATATCGGATCTGAGACCAGGCGCCTGCTCCATATGGAGACCGCTGTCCATGTACTCCAAGCAGTATAAGAAATTGAACAGTTGCGAGGTTATGCTGAGCTAATATGTAATCCATTGGCTCTGTTGCGGCAACAAGGTGACTCTAAAGCTGGTGAGAACGATACGACCATTTACACTCGTTTGACTTACCTCAGGATCAACCCCACATGGCTTCTGGGTCAAAGACAAAAACCTAGCTGTAATGGCATACATGAGGTGAAAGATACTGCGTTCAATGATAGACAAAGCACCTTGAACATACTGCTTCTCGAAGAGCTTTGTATATACCACGCGATCTAGTAATGGCCAGCGTGTATGTATACGTTCAAAGAAGACATCAAACAGCACACGTGCCTGTTGCCTCTCGGGGAAATCAATGGTATGGTCATCTGAATGCGCAGACTCAGGAGGCGGGGGTGGCCTCGCAACCGTGGGAGGTTGAGCCGTCTGGTTAGCATGCTGGCCGGCTGCTCTCTTGCCCGAACTCCGAAAAATTGAAGACTGTATGATGCGAGCAATGGTGGCACCAGAACTAGAGCCTACATAGTAGGGCTCAGAAGTCGTGTCAGTAGTTCCAGATGCGCATAGAGAGAGGTAGGCTACGCCGTCAACGAGCGAAGTCCTATCTTCACCTTCGAGGTCATCCGAGAAATAGTCGTCTCGAGATTCACGACGTGCTTCATTTGACTGAAATTGAGGGGCCGATGCCTCCTCGGTAGTCGCAGGAGGCACAACGTGAACCATATCCGAGCCATTGTCATAATGATCCGAAGCATGGTCTGGAAGACGAGCCTCCAGAAACGCAATGCGTTCTTCCAAGGCAGTTATATAACTGACTAGCTAGTCAGATACCCAACATGTAAACATCTAAAAAAAGTATTTGGGTAAAGGACCTACGCCGACTTGCCACCAGGATACTGGGGCCGCAGGGTTCTCTCGTATGCACAAGCTACGCCAGCTCGCTCGCAAGACCTGCATACTGGACGCGCGCCGTTGCACTGCAAGAGGCTTAGTCAAGAGGTGCTGTTGTGAAACCCTCAAATGACGTACTCGTTGCTTTCTTCGCTTGCATCTCTTGCAGGCCAAGGCGACTCGAGGCTTCCTCGCTGCAGCGGGCTGTGTGCCTACACCTGTGCTATTTGATGGGATCTCAGTAGCAGTAGAGGATGCAGGTATGTGGTCGTCGGCTGATCCAGAGGGGCTCAGGAGGCTCTCTGCGTAGGATTGCGACATGACCTTTTTCGGGTTGAAATTACCACAGTGTGTAGTAGTCGAGAGCCCTGGAATCATCGGCCTCAACCTCGCACTGCGTATTCGGATGCATTACGCCTTTCACGTGCGACGATCGCTCAGGGTACACGGCATACACAAGCCGAAGTGTACCTTATCGTGATTCCTTGCAGAAGGGGGCGAGATAAGTCGTCATGTGATCTCTTATCTCGGCTGCAGCCTTCCTCTTGGTCGCGGAGACTGTTGACCAGATCGGTAACGCTGACGTTCGCTGCCACAACGACGTCGCGTGCTTGCACTGTATTCCTATCTCAGCCCCTGTCCTTTATCGCATCCCAGGAGGCTTGGACGCAGCTCGCGCATTTAGGGCAACATGTTACATCGGCTGAAAATGCGCCGATGGAGGCGACGACAAGGGGGTCTGGCCAGTTCTAACGCTCCATTGGTGTATGTCGACTGCGTGAACCATCTGGAGTCGGGACGAGCTTAATCATTTCGACATATGAGCGGCCATGATCCACAGATGTAAAGATGAGGACGGACTGCTTTTTCTGCAAATAGTCAGGCCTGTCTATTCAGACCATTACTGAATTCACCATGGGCAAATTCGAAATGCCAACGAAGCGGCAGATGACGGCACCTTTCCAATCAAAGGATGCTTTTGTCGACTTTCTCAGGGCTCCTCGCGTCAACGACGGTCATGTTGCTATCGGAGACGAGAAATGGTCGAACAAGGATCTCGAGCCGACACCAGTCGAACAGAGGACTTGGACTTGGTACAGTCTGCCTCTGTACTGGTTTTCCAACAAATTTTCCCTTGTCGGCTGGAATACTGGCTCTTCACTTGTAGCGGTTGGTCTGGTACGTTATCTAGTAAGGCTAGTTATAGGACGCAGACTAATAACGTGTGTAGACATGGCAGACATCTTTCGCATCAGCGTGTGTTGGCGCTCTACTCGCGGCTATAGTGGTCGTTCTGATGGCTCGCCCGGGTGCTAAATACCATATCGGATTGTAAGTAATAATCTCGTACGCATTTACTACTTTGGCTCACCATGTGCAGTCCCGTCCTTGCACGCTCCGTCATGGGCATGTATGGTTCCTACTTCTTCGTCTTCATCCGGGCCATCGTCTGCATCATCTGGTACGGCATCCAGACCTTTTACGCCGGCAACCTCTTGTCCGTGATGCTACGCTGCATCTTTGGCAGTTCCTGGGAAACCCTTCCGAACACGCTTTCGCCAGGTGCCGCCGTGACATCGAAGCAGCTGTTGACCTTCTTCATGGCTTGGCTCATGCAATTCCCTTTTATGTGGGTTCATCCGACCCGCATCCATTACGTTTTCACCGTTAAGGGAATCATCATGCCTGTTGCAGCTTTTGCGGTTTTCGGCTGGTGCATGGCAAATGGTGGCGGACTTAACTCCATGGATCTCGCCCACGAGACGAGTAAAGCTTCCTCATCCATTCCTTTGGGTTGGAGTATCATGGCTGGTATCAACACTATTTTCGGTGCACTGTCGCCCATGCTGGTGAACCAGCCCGATCTTGCCCGCTACTGCAAGAAGCCCCGCGACGCAGGCTATCTACAGGGTGTCAGTGTGTTCGTCTCTGCCATCATCGTCTTTTTCCTCGGTATGGCTTCAACGACATCGATGCAATCAGTCTACGGCGTAGCATACTGGAATATTTGGGATCTCTTCGACGCTATACTCGACCATCACTTTGGTGCTGGCGCACGCGCAGCAATCTTTTTCGCCTCACTGGCATTCTACTTTGGGGTTTTTGCGACAAACTTTGGCGCAAATTCTATTCCGTTTGGCTCGGATATGACTGGTCTATTCCCCAAATGGCTCACGATCCGCAGAGGACAGATACTATGTGCTCTTCTTGGAATCGCTGTGCAGCCATGGCAGCTCATGGCCAATGCATCTGCTTTCCTCAGGTAAGACAGCTACAGAAGTCGCTGGTTTACTGCAGAAGAACATGCAACTAACAATTGAATAGCTTCCTTGGATCTTATAACATCTTTATGGCTCCTCTCTGCGCCGTCTTGATTGTCGATTACTTTATCGTGCGCAAGGGCAACATCCACGTTCCCTCGTGCTACGACGGCAGAAAAACAAGCCTGTATTGGTTCTGGTCTGGGATCAACTGGTGTGGAGTAGTCGCCTGGATACTAGGCACCACCATGGGTATCCCAGGTCTCATCGGTCAATACCAACCCCAGATCATTTCCATGGCCGCACAGAACATGTACCGTATGGGCTGGATCCTCACCTTCACCACTGCGGCAACGGTATATTATGTCACATTTCTCTTCATCAAGCCGCGTGTATTTCCTGTTGGACGCGAAAGCACGCCGTTTGAGTGGGAGTGGTTAGGCAACGACGGTCGTGAGGGATTTTTCGAGGGAGAGGGAGATCGTGGAGAAATTTACGTTGCTGCTACGCCGCCCATGACGGACGCAGGGGATGATATTGAGGTTGGAGGCAAATCACTGAAGGTGAATTATTGAGCTGTAGCAAGGAAATCCGTTAGTAACACTGTATGTTGTGTGATGGTATCATCGAATTTCGCAAATCACACTTTGTCCAATATTGCATACATCCACTTTGCGCATATCAATCATTCTATTACATACCTCCTCCGTCAACCGTTGGAAACAGCTCCATACCCAATACACTTGCTCCACAGAAAACTCCAAATCGTCTCCACTGCGATGCTTCCATATCTGGTAGGCGGGAAAGTTGGAGGTGTGTGTTCGGAATACAATCGTCCGATAAGCGGGACGACCGTTATCGGCCGTCATCGCACTTGTACTACCACTAACGCCTCAATGGGGAAACCCGCACGTTGTGACCGGCAGGCGACACGGTGTGTCTGACGGCTGCCTATCGTACTAAACGGAGCACTTAGGCCGAGGATAACATGCTCGGCACGACTTCCTTCAATATACATTTGTTGCGCATAGGTGTATTGCTTGGAAGGGAAAAGGGAAATTATTTCATCATTTCTTAACTTCCAGAGTCTTTGCTGCCTTGTAGTTGAAGATTGATACTGTGACCTGGAATATAGCGATACGGTTGACAAGATGAGCCCCGAACTCTACCAGCTGACAGCCACGGAAGTGGCAAAGAAAATACAGCAAGGCGAAGTCACAGTAGAAGAGTATGCAAAGTCACTCTTGAAGCGCATCGAGGCGCGGGACGAGGTCGTCAAAGCATGGGCGTATCTCAATCCCGAGCACGTGATTGAGCAGGCAAAAGCACTGGATGCTGTTCCAAAAGATGAGCGCGGCCCGTTGCACGGTGTTGCAATTGCTGTCAAGGATGTGATTTACACAAAAGGCCAGTTTGATCTCAATGTTTTTCGCTGCACCTTGGCTGACGATTTGTAGATATGCCGACACAATTCAATTCACCAATTTACGCCAATGATGCACCAAAAGTAGATGCCGGATCCATTGCTGTACTGCGTAAATCCGGTGCGCTTATATTCGGAAAGACGACAACGACGGAATTCGCTGCAACAACCGCAGGCCCCAAGACGTGCAACCCACACGACTCGAATCGTACGCCTGGTGGCTCTTCATCAGGTTCTGGAGCCGCGGTGGGAGATTTCCAAGCACCCATCGGTCTGGGTACGCAAACGGGCGGCAGCACTATCCGGCCCGGTTCATACAATGGAATCTACGCTCTCAAGCCTACGTGGAATTCAATCACGCGCGAAGGACAGAAGATTTACTCACTGATACTTGACACACTTGGCCTCTATGCTCGCAGTGTAGCGGATCTAGAGCTCCTAGCCGATACTTTTGCCATCCACGATGACGCCCCAGTCCCATCAGATTTTACTGTCAAAGGAGCAAAGTTTGCGGTTCTCAAAACCATGGTTTGGCCGCAGGTAGGACCGGGTACTGCTGCTGCGCTCGACAAAGCCGTTTCCCTACTACGCGTGCATGGAGCCGAAGTAGAGGAGGTTTCGCTGCCAGAGCACCTCAATGATCTCCCATCATGGCATGCGACAGTGCTGAACTCGGATGGCCGGACAGCGTTTTTGCCCGAATACACAGTGGCCAAGGACAGGATTTCAGAGCAGTTAGTAGGGCACGTGGAGAACAGCAAAAAAATTACGCGCAAGGCACAATTGGAAGCGTTTGATAAGATAGCAGCAGCAAGGCCGGTAGTAGATGAGCTGCTTGAAAAGTATGCCGCGGTGCTGACGCCAAGCGTGCCGGATGAGGCGCCACTGGGTATTGAGAAAACTGGTAGCGCGGCGTTTTGTTTAATTTGGACGGTAAGTTTTCTTTCTGTACTCAAGCTACAAGAGTTGTTATTGATCTAGGGACAGGCACTGCATACACCGGTGGTCAACGTGCCGGGCTTCAAGGGACAGAATGGTATGCCGATTGGCATCTCGCTCGTGGCACCGCGATACTATGACAGACGGTTGCTAGCAGTGAGTAAGGAAGTTGGAAAGATATTTGAGGCTGAGGGTGGATGGCAACGGTCGGTGTAGGTAGTTGGCCGAATTAGTGTGCATAGATGGAGAGATTGTCTACATATGTATATTTTACAATACACACGCACTAAGACTGACTTTCAGAAAACAATCTCATGGAGTTGGAAAAAATATGCGAAGTGGACGACGGAACTCATTACATCTGATCGCGATTAGGAGTATGCGTAATCACAGGATAAGACGGGTGTAGACTTCCTGTACCAAAGACCATCACCATACCGTATTTAGTCTAGTGTACTAATCGCGACGCGTCTACATCATCGATGCGCGTCTCTCTCGTCGCGACCAATTTCCCCTCAGTAGTCACTCATTCCACCCTAATCGTTTCCTTTCAACTTCAATCCTTTTTCTTTCTACACATTCGTTTGCTACACCACACAAACACCACCATGTCTCTAACCACTTTACCTTCACTTCCCGAACCCATTCTACACATAATTTGCATCTATCTCACACCCGATCGCCCTAGCGTCAACGACTCGGAACACGGCCAATCGCCCACACTCTATCGCCCAATAATAAGCCTCTCACTGACCGCGCATGCCCTAAATCGCATCTCGTCAACCCACATCGCGACAAACATGAGCCTGACATGGGGCACCGTCCGCTGGGACCTCTTTCTCCGCACCATCCAGGAAAACCCGGTCTACGCATCCACCGTCAAGTACCTCAAGCTCAGCGAGCTCAGCATAGACAAGCAAGATTTAATCCGACCGACAAAGTGGCAAGGCGGTCCGGAAGATGTCACAGAAATGTTCAAAGCACTATCCGGATTGCAAACGCTCTACTCGTCACACTGCAAGCTACTCTACCCCGGTTCCATCATCCATCGCCTCACGTCTCAAGAAATGCCGCTGTGGAAGACGCTAGAAGTTGTGCGATTCGACCATATCAATGTCTGGGGCGAGGACCGCATTGTGCAATTGAACTTGCATCGCGAACGCACAGAAGAGAATGAGGACGGTCAAGTGAGCAAATACACAGTAGAAAATGGACTGCTTACTGGCTCTCTGGCGCGCTTGGATATCCGTCAGTTTCACGCTATACCAGAGGTCACGAATGTGGTTGTTACTACGCGCGACTTTGAGGACGACGGGGATACAGAGGGGGATGCGGATTGGGTTGATGAGGATGCGGAGGTGGAGGGAGAGGAATGGAGTGATGATGATGATGAGTATGAGTATGAGAGCGAGAGCGAGGACAGCGAGTGGGATTCGGAAGATGATAGCGATTACGAGGATGATTGGGAGGCGGAGTATGGATTCAGTGTGCCTAGCACTCAGCCTGTGAAGGAAGCGCTGCCGACGCCGGTTGTTGGTTTGTCTGCTCCAGGGAAGAGTTTGCTGGATTTTTGAGACGAAAGGATGTGTGTGCGTTTTATGTGGCGTATGTTTTATTTAGAGGGGTTCAACATTGTATATTAGCAGATTTATCTTGTAGTATGTTTAATCGATTGGACTTGACTAGGTCCTTTGCAAAACAGATGCCTTGTTCGTTTTTACCCCATCCCTACAACCCTCATTACCATTTCCGTCAGAATTCGCAAGACACCCGCTCCCCGTTCAAGCCGGCCTAACAAACCTAACCATCACCTTTGGAGCCCCCGCGGTGAAATGATCCTTGATACCCTCCCAATAAGCATTGACATCCACCCCCTCATCAATGCATGCATCAAACTCGGCAATCACTCTCCCCACCACGCTCCTCAACTCCATCATTGCCAGCGCCTTACCCGCACAACTATACGGCCCCGTCGAAAACGGTATAAACGCCGCTCTATCCCGTACAAGCTCCGGCCGAGTAGTCCAGCGCTCCGGGATAAACTCATCAGGCGCAACAAAGTTCCTTGGGTCGCGAAACAGCGGGAAGAGCGGAATATGCACAATTGTGTTTCCGGGGATGAAGTGGCCGTTGATGTCCATGCCCTCGGGCGGCGTGACGCGCTGGGAGCCGAAGAAGACGGACGGCCATATGCGCAGCGACTCGTAGATTACGGCTTCGAGCAAGGGGAGTGGATGCTGGCAGTCGTAGTCGCGAGCGTTGGCGAGGAACTCTGTACGGATGGCGGTCATGTAGTGTGGGTGTGTGGCGAGGTGCATGAAGATGAAGGCTAGGGCTGTGGATGTTGTTTCACTGCCTGCGGAGATGATGAGGCGCGATTCGCCGAAGAGGAGTTCGCGGCCTTCGGGGGTCTTGGGCGTGGAGACTATGAGGTGAGAGATCAAGTCTGATCTTGCGTCTCGGACCTGGAGAAGTGTTGGTAAGGGTTGGATTGGGGGGCATGTTCATCACATGTATAGTACGTACCTTCATTCGTGCACGCATTTGGCTGACACTCCAGTCTCGCCACTCTTTCATAGGCCCGGCAAACGAGGTGAGTACTCCGATTGTGTTCATGAGCCACGGCATGTGATACATGTACCCCAGGGCTTGTACGCTGTTGGTAAACGTGGCGAGGATGCTTGCAGCGACGTCGCTCTGCTCACCCTTGATGAAGCCCATGGACTTTCCAAAAGCCAGTGCCGCCATGGCATCGTAGCTATAGTGTGAAGTGTATTCTGAGAGTGGAATGAGCTGCCCCTCTTCACTGCGAAGTTTCGCGAGTAGCTGGTCTGTGAAGCGTTCAACTTCTGGAGCATACGTAGAAAGCGACGTCTTGAACGCATTATCCCAGATCCGGCGTCGTTGGCGATGAAACGCCTTGTCACGATTCAAATGCAGCGACCTTTCCATTACATCGAAGAACGGTCCTTTGGTAGTTTTTGATCGGGTCCCAAGAATAGGTTGGATCGCTTCTGCATCGAATATGGTGAGTTCACGTGGTCCTGGTTTCGGTCAGCATTGCATCTGGAAGGAGGTACCAATCGTAACCGACCTGTCCTAACATAATCGCCATATTGCGTTTGGAGCCTTTGTAATACCCTGTGGTAGTGCAAGTCGCTATCCCATGTTTGTTTGATTGTCCACCATCGCGAGAGCTTCGCCCCCCAGGGTCCTGGGTAGTCTTTCAGGGGATGAAAGAAAGCGCGGTAGGCTCCTATGTACAACCATAGCGGTACCCAGAAGGAGCTCGTCACCACCGTCGCTGCGATGAAACCCGTGTAATATACGAGGATCCAATAGGTCGTGACTGCTAAGCCAATGATTGGAAGAGCCAGATGATCAACTTCCACTTTGCGCAGGACAGATTCGTGCAAGATAACAGCCGAGAGTGGTGCGAACACAAAGACAATAGTGAAAACCGACTCCATGGCTCGTTACGGGTAAAGCTCCGGTGGTGCGCCGGGCTGGTGGTGTCGCGATGAGTTGAGTGATGGTAGTAACAAAGAAACGGTGAAGGCGATAGCCGTTATACAATCGCCCTTTCACTAGTGAAGTCAATTGCTCTTTTCTGATCTCATTAGCTGCTTGACATATTAATGAATACGAACAAAATATACTAATTAGACAATCCAAGATACGCCTCTTCGCAGATCCAGCAAGGTGGTCGGTCGTGCAAAACGTGGAAGAGAAGACAATGTAACGTTTATGCGCCGGGGACCGCAGTCACACGTGGCGGCAACCTGTATGAGATATTGATCGGTAGTCCCGATAGCTGAACCAGGGTCTAATCCATTTCCCTAGTCAGTCTGCTCGTCAGACTGCACGCTTGTGTTAGTGTATCCCACAACCGGCATCTTTCCGCATTCTTTGCTGCTTACTCCACATGTTAGCTAAAAGCGTTGCGCTGCCGCACTTCGTCGTACACCATCGCACACCATCACACAGAATTCACTTGTGACTCACATTTGGCCAGGCTTGCAACTTGTCGATAACCGTGAAATTTTCTAGCGGTCCTGATTCATCTGGTTTTCAGTAAAATCAAAGCAGGTCATGAAACCCTTATTCTCTGAACAAGATCTCACTGGTCATCATAGAGGGGTGGAGCCGCTGGCAACGTGCTCCAACCCGTGATATGTAATCTCGGCACGTAAACCAGTCAGTAACCGAACAGGCGATATAACAGCTTGCGCAACGGCTAGCCTCCCCATGTAGGAACCCAGATGTCTGGAGCGGCCAGGTCAGCTCGGAGCAACCGCATAATTGTGGATATCATTGAATTCTTCTTGCGTCGTCATGGCAGCTCTGTCAATACTTCTACGCATTCACTACGAGGAAGAAGTATTGGAGAGGCGCACATTCGTAAGCGGCTTGCTCATTGCTGCGTCTTATGGTTTCACTGTTGAACATAAATGTTACACGAGCAATGGTCTTCTGGGTTTCACCGTGGTGAAATCGGTGGAAAGGTAACTCAAGCTCCCCACAAAGATAAGTTTGCTGCAGATCCGGGGGTATGGCCCAACTCCTGGAGGGTTCGCTTCCGTTTCGTATACTCTATCTCTTTTTCCAATCCCGAAAGTTCTCTTGGTGGTGTGATGAGTTCCGACAGAACGAAAGTGGGCGTTTTGCCTGTGCCTGATGATGGTAATCAAGATTTGGACGGCAAAACTGACCTTCAGAGGAGAATCATTGTGGTATATGTGGTTATGACAGTCTTTTCGTCTATGGTACTTGGATTGCGACTGTATACGCGCATCTTTATTCGTCGTTTGACTGGATTGGACGATGTACTGGTAGTTCTCAGCTGGCTGGGATGTGTCGCATGGCTAGTAATATGCTTCGAAGGTACAATCCATGGCACTCATTCGTCAACCATAACTGACATACTGTAGCATTCCAGTACGGCTTCGGCCAGCATCTGTGGAATGTGACCGTCCAACAACTGCAAGTCTACACAAAGATGCTCGTCGGCATAATGGTAGTCTATGTCTGGACGCCTGCGCTCGCAAAGCTTTCGTTGCTAGCCCTCTACTACCGTCTCAACCCGGATTTCACGATTCGCTCTTGTATCTACGCGTTAGCAGGTCTTGTATCTGGATATTCACTGGCAATCACTATTGTCGCTGCCGGCCCATGCAACCCACAATACCATAGCGACCAGAAATGCCTCACAGACCTCAACCTATTCATGGCCTGCATCAACATTATCACAGACTTCTTGATCCTGTGCCTGCCCGTACCAATGTTGCGTGCCTTGCAGCTGCCGATGAAACAAAAAGTCTTACTGGGATTAGTGTTCGCGTTGGGGTCCGGGTAAGGAGATGCGCACATCCACAGTCTCCATATGGTCCTATGCTAATATTGCCAGCGTGGTTGTCATCTCCACCGTTCGTATCATTTACGTCTACAGCATGATCAGCAATCCCGACTCAACTTACAATATCGCCAAAGCTTGCATATTCTCCACGATTGAACTCAACGGTGGCGTCATTTGCGCATGTGCCGCACTCCTGAAGCCCTTTATACAACGACATATGCCATGGATACTGTCTCTCTCGAGTCGAAACGGAAGCGGGAATCGCTCCAGAGTTCGGAAATTCAAGATGTTCAAGAAGCACAGCAATAGGGGAGAGTTTGAGCTACGTAGCACAAACGCAGAAAAAGATGCGCGCAAGCAGGCTAACAACAAACTGAATCGTCAAATCGAGGTGACCAGATCCTACAGTGTTCGGGATTCGAAGACGGGGAGAGACAAAAGCGATAGCATGGATGATTTATTTGCACCAACTGCCGGCTGGAACGGGGGTCGGTAGCTCCATGTGAATTGGAAAGGCCGTTCCAAGGGATTGTGTGGAAATTGTACTGGCTAAGGATTCCAGATGAATCTAGAGTCCATGTTAAGGACAAACTATGACAAGCATGAAATTCCCGATAATATCTTCTCGCTCTTCAGATAATCATCAAATCTACGGAGTGTGATGAGGTTGAAGGAATAGGGTAAGTGTCAGACGATGATTGGGGTCTTGGCGTTGCGGAGGAAAGGGGTTATTCGGACCAATGTGTGTCGAGGTGGTGGTGTAACCAGCATAGACTTTGCTCAAGGCAATGTCTTTGCCGCAGCTTTGGCTGCCATCAGCCTGAGACTGGATTAATAGCCATAGTTGAAAGATAGGCATCGTCGCTTGTTCTAGGCAACAACTGTTAAGTTCTGTCAGCCGTATGCTAGCATGTCTCGTCGCACAAGAAATGGTTCTTGCATCTACATCACTTGACAGTTCCAGACTTACGACTTATACAGGCGCACATTGAACTGTACTTTTGACGAAGAATACTTCACCAGGGTATCAATTTACCATCAATCTGCTTACAGGAACCATGCACCCATCAAACCCACCAGCTAACTCTAAGAGTCTATATCTGCTCTCAAGTTTGGACGCCCACGAGCAATGGCATCGCCCAAATCCATGTTGGACGCCTGTCCACGAATATTAGATATGAAGCGTCGCCCGCCATCCATGTTTTGTTTGTGCTTTGCTTCCTCTTCTGCATCCTTAATCTCCTGCTGTCGGACTCGTTCAGCCCGTTGCTCCTCCAACGATGCCGCTTCTGCTTGCATACTGGCGAGACGATCGGCTGCACTTTGGCGGGCTTCGGAATTGTCGACTTGTCTTCTGGGTGGACTGCGGTCACGTCTTCGGTAGTTATCGCGATCACGAAAGTCTCTACGATCCTCCCTGCGATCCTCCCTGCGATCCTCTCTACGATCCTCCCTCCTGGGCGGTGAACGTGTGCGCTCTCGCCGGCTACTGTGCTTGTGATATGGTGATCGTGACCGCGACCTTGACCGTCTCCTGTGGCTGTGGTGCTCGCGGTAGTGTTCACGGCGATGTCCACGATCTTCGCTTCTGCGTGGCGAACGCGATCGATTGTGTCGACTCCGATGCTTGTGTTCCCGATCTCTGCTCCTCTCTCTGTCCCTGTTTCGGTGTCTCCTCTCGCGTTCCTTCTCCTTCTCGCGCTTTTCAGCGTACTTGGCTTCCTTCTGAGCGTCTTTCATAGCCTTCAGTTGCATCTCCATCTTTTGCTTCTGGATCATGAGGAGTGGGTCTTGAAGGACCTTCTTTTGTGTATCGCGGGCGTTGTTTATATTCGCGCTGGGTTCACCAATACCACCAATGCCGACTGGTGCGCCTTTCTGCAGACTTTGCGTGTCGTTTGATTTGAGGAGGTTATCGATCCTGCGCTTTCCGAGAAGATAGCCCTCTCTTTCTTCCGTAATGCCGCTATCACCACTGGGGCCAGCATACATCCAGTCGACTCTTCGCTGCACGACCTTGCCACCAGACTCCGCCTGCAACTTTTGTAGTTCTTCAAGCGCAGCCTCCTCTTCGCGTTCTCGGCGAAGCTTGTCGATCAACTTGCGCTCCTCGAGAGCGGCTTTTTCTTCCTTCCATACTCTCTCCTGGTTCTTGAAGAGGTGGGGATGCCAACTTTTCTTCAAATTCAAACTGGACTAGTTAGTTTTGATACAGTCTATTGGAGCGAATGACTTACTCTCCACCCATGATTGCGACAAGTGTCCCGTGTGCGTCTGAATATGTGAATCTTGTGGTATTTTAGACGCGAATACAGTCGCACTGGATATATAATGCGCGCGCGAGTAGGAGGTTTTGGTTGTATTGGTAAGTCGAAGAATGATGGAAGGCTGGTACGCATCTGCGAAGATGCGCCACGGGATGCCAAGACGCGCTAAGCCAGGCCCCACCCAAAAGTTCACCTCCGCGGCTTCTCCGCAAAAGTTTCGAGCCAGCAGCTTGGAAATTCCTCAATACAGCACGTCTTTATTTATCGCAAACGAATTGGTTACGGCCTTTGGGGAAATTCTCCTTACTGGATTCTTAAATCAGTCAAATACAAACGAAAAATGGTGACGCGCAAACGGAACGAGTACCTCGACGTAGAGGAGAGCGAGGACGATGAGAGGGGCTATGATTCTGAGGAAGAGAGCAGAGCGCGCATGCTGCCAGCATCGAAACGCCAAAAGACAGACCATGATTCAGGAACAGAAGAAGACCAGGAAGACGAGAACGAAGATGCGAAATCTCAAGGCGACAACGACAACGCAGAAGACGAAGACGACGAGCCAAAACCCTTTGCCTCCAAGAGCGCCGAATTAGCCCATCTTGAGAAACTCGCCGCATCCCTTCCTTCTGAACTGAGACTACAATCCACGAAACTCGGCAAAGTGCTACCCCAATCTCCACTTAAAAAGGACAAATCCGGCGTCATATACCTCTCGCGCGTTCCACCATTCATGAAGCCCGCCGTTCTTCGTTCGCTATTGCAGCCCTACGGCGCTGTCGGTCGCATATTCCTCACTCCCGAATCCTCCACAGCGCGCACACAACGGCTGCGCAACGGCGGCACACGCCGCAAGCTCTTCCTCGACGGCTGGGTCGAATTCCTGCACAAGCGCGATGCCAAGTTCGTAGCCGAGAATCTCAATGCGCAGACCATGGGCGGCAAGAAGAGAGGCAGATGGCACGATGAAGTGTGGAATATCCGGTACCTGAGCGGCGTCAAGTGGCACAATCTTGTCGAGCAGATTCAAAACGAGAATGCGGAGCGCGCAGCACGACTCAGATTCGAAATTGCACAGGGCAAGAAGGAGAACAAGGCGTTCTTGGAGAACGTGGAGCGCGGCAAGGTGGCTAGTGGAATTGAGGCTACGCGAAGAAAGAGAGGTGAGGATCTGGATACCGATCAGAACGCGGCAGAGACAGCGGATGCGGTACAAGAAGCGGGTGAGAAACCCAAGAGGAGAAAGGGCAGACTCGAGTTCTCACAACATACAACGACAAGCAAGGCGATGAAGAAGCCGGAGCCGGGCCAGGACGTGAATAGAGTGCTCAGTAGTATGATGTGAAAAAAAGACACGACGGAGCATACCAAATCTAATAACAAGACCAAAGAAAAAGCTGTCCGATATTCCGAACCCTCCAGAATTTATATTCATGACTTGAAGACATCTTGATTTACCCAACCCCCCTTCCAAACGCCAAATTCTCTAATGCAACTCAAATCGACGCCCACCCTTTCAAACTTGAAAAAAAAAAACATAAAAAATGCTAGGGTATAATATTCACATCATTCTTTTCTCTTTCTCTCTCTCTTAAGATATCCCACCGGTACTATATAGCCGTCCCCCGCTCAAAGCTCTCGCGAATCTCCGTCGTATACCGATTATAAAACCTCGCAAGCTTGTCGTTGAACTGCTTGTTCTTCTGATTAATATACGTGACATCGCCCATATCCTGCTCGTCGCGTATGCCGCGCGCGGCACGCGCTTTTAAGCGAGCGCGCTCGCTCTTCTCGAGGTCCTCGACGAGGCGGTCCACGGCTTCCTTGCTGGGCTTGTGGTCGTGGCTGTAGGCTTCGTCGACGGGCGTGTTAATGCGGCCTTGGCTGTCGACGGTATAGATTTCGCCAGCATCGGTTTCGACGAGTTGGAGGAGGCCCGAGGATACTTGGGACTGGAGTTTTCTGGCCTTTTCTTCGGCGTAGGCTTCCATGTCTACTTTATTCATTTGGCCGATTTGTCGCTTGTATACTTTGTTTGCTTCATTTCTGTAGTCGGCAAAGGCTACGCCTTCCCTATTCTTGGCCTTCTTCTTTAGCCGCTTGTCCCAGCTCTCGCTCTCTTCGATGGTGTAGTCCCAGTTCCTCTTGCGCTCAAAGTCAGGGTCTTCGGACTTGAGAAGCTTGTATGAGGCTTTGTCGTGGGCAGCGCTCAGCTTGGAAATCTGTGCAAGACGCGCACTGCGGTCTTCGGCGTCGCGGACTTCGCGCTCTGTGGCTTTTCGGCCGCTGACTTTTTGCGCCTGGAGCGCCTTGAAGCGTGCCATTCGCGCAGCGAGAGCGGCTTTGGGGTCAGATGGTGTCGCCGTGGTAGCAACTGCATCTTCTTTCACGGCAGATTCCTGGTGTGTCGGTGTGTTGTCTGCTGATGTTTCGTTTACGGTCATGGTGGTCGATGGTGCTTCTTCGTTTGCTGTGGTTTGCGATGGTGCGACGGCGGTGGAGGATTCTTCGACCATTTTTTCAGAGACAGTAGTATTAGATGTCTCGTTATCTGGTTTAGGTACGTTCGTCATGCTTGGTGGGTTTGATGTGGAAATGTCGCGGCTCCTTCAACGAAATGTTGGATTGACGACTGCCAAGACTCTAGCGCGACTTTGTCTGCTATGCAATGTCGAGTCTGGGTTGACGTATGATGAACACGGATACCATGCTTTTCTGGAGACGTACGACAGGAATTGGGTCTGGAATCACAAAATCATGCACAATTCGAAACAGAATCTGATCTTGAGCTTGTTCATTCTCATTCTGGCCCAACAACCTGCAAATTCACTTACATCTTTCGTAGCAGTAACAACTCTTGCATGAATTGGCAGACATTGGCAGACATAAGTCAAGTCCACGGGGTTTAAAAAACAATAATCTTGATTCCTTGCAGTCATACATGAATGTCTTGTCTAAGTCTTGTGCTGAAACTAAGATGCAGTAAATCTACATGATACCCCATCAACCATTCTTTGCTGTGCCAGGCCTGCTATTTTTCCTACGCTAAACATACACGCAAAAAGGCCTTCGGTTAACGAAACTTGTAACAAGTAATCCACTCATATACTTCTAGATCGGCTCATCCCTAGGCTCAATAAGGACCTCGTTGACGCTGACATGATCCGGCTGCTTAAGCGCGTACACGATACTATCCGCAACATTCTCTGCATCAAGGACCTTGGCTCCACTCGGCTCGCCATACTTCTTCAATGCTTCTGGATCCGTGCTCATGCCTATTAGGTCAGTTGCGACGTTGCCTGGTTGTACAGAAGTGACCTTGAGACCCGTACCAGCAGTCTCAAGCCTCAGACTCTGCAATGTAGCTTCTACGAAGAACTTGGAAGCAGAGTAGACACCCAGACCAGGGAACACCTTTCGACCAGCATCTGAAGATATGGCGAGGAGGTGTCCTTTTCCACGCTTGAGCATCGAAGGCACGATGGCAGCGATGACGTTGAGAAGTCCCTTGCAGTTCACGTCAACAGTTTGGTTCCACTGGTCGGTATACGAGTTGGCCATCATGGTGAAGTACATGACTCCCGAGACATTGACAAAGATATCAACTGGTCCTAGCTGCTTCTCTGCTGCGGCGACCAGGGCTTCGACTTGGCTCTTGTCCGTAACATCGGTCTTCTGGGTGATGATCTTGCCCTCGCGAAACACAATGCTCTTCTTTAGATCTTCGAGAGCATCGAGGCGCCGTGCTGCAAGTGCGACATGGCAGCCTTCTCGCGCAAGAGCTGTAGCAGTAGCAGCACCAATACCAGATGAAGCACCCATGACAACAACAACCTTGCCGTAGAGCGGGCCCCTTCGTGGAAGGCGAGCCGAACCACCCGCAGCGTCTTGACGAACAGGAGGCTTTGGGAGCCAGCCTCGAGCGTACCAGTGACGTGTGTACGTCTCAAGAAGTACTTGGTCAACCTTTGGACGCTCCACAGTAAGACGAAGTGGCCGTGTCTTTGCGTTATCGAGCACTACAACGTCCCTCAAGAACTCAATACTGGGCATACCACTGCGGAGAATATCAACAGTGAACGCGCCATCACCACCCTTAGCGGCACCGCGCTTATCGTCCCAGAGTTGGATCCACTTTGTGAACTCTATGGGTTTAGTTGGGTAGCCCAGTTCATTGAGATCCTCAAAGACTTTGCTAACATCCACGGGGTCTGGATCGCCGATATGGAATATTGGTTGTTCGGTTTCGGTTTGGTTGCTTAGGTGGATGATGGCTTTGCTAACAAAGTCAACCGGTGTCATTTCTGCGCGCCAACCCTCGACATCCGGGTAATGACCGATTCTGATGGACTCGACAATCAGAGCTGTCAAGAGATCCCACGCGTTGGCAGCACCAGTTTCGCTGTGACCGCTGATTGTACCAATACGATGAATCTTAATGGGGAGACCCCTTCGACCAGCTTCCAAAGCGAGTTGTTCAGCGACCCATTTGGTTTGTCCATAACCATCAGCAAGCTTGACGACATCGTTGACATCAAGCATCGTGTCTTCTGACCACCCTTCCCGGCCTTTTGCGGGAAGAAGTACTCCGTTGGTTGAAATGTATTGTACCGTCACGCCGCCCTGGGCCGCAAGACGTAGGATTTCTCGTGTTCCGCCAACATTGGGCTTCTGCAGCGCAGCATAAGGGTACACCAAGTTGACAGTAGCGGCAGCGTGAACAATGACATCAAGGCGTTCGGCCAATTCTTTGAACGTATCAGGGGCAAGACCGAATCGCTTACGAGACAAATTTCCTGGGAGAATTTCCACACGCTCCATGATATTGTCACTCCAGAGGCCAAAATCCAGCAAGTTCCTACGTATCCTAGCGATGCCAGCAGGGATGTCATCTTGTGAAGAATCGGCGAATCGGACCATGCATATGATCTGAGCAGATGTACTTTCCAGCAGATCGCGGAGAAGGAAAGCGCCCAAGAAGCCAGTGACACCCGTGAGGAGCACGGTTTTGGCATCCTTAAGTGCACACACCTTGGCGTCTTTTGGTTGGATTTCTTTGTCCAAAACGGAGTCTGCACGTAATACAGCTGGGAGGTTTTCTTGCACCTCAGCAGTATGGCCATCGCGAATGGCACGAACTGTGTCCAGATGTCCGTTCAGGGTTGCAGGTTGGGCGAGACGTGCGACAGGTATCCGAAAACCGAAAGTGTTCGACAATCGTGCAGCCAGATCCGCAAGAAGAAGTGAATGGCCGCCGAGATCGAAGAAGTTATATTCAGGAGTGATCGAGCTTGGGCTGACATTCAGAATAGACGCCCAGATTTGGGTTATCTGTTCAATGGTAATCGGACTTTGTTCGTACTTGCGTGCACTCCCTGAAGGTGATGATGGTCTCGGGGGAGGTAGAGCCTTGAGGTTGACCTTGCCAGAAACATCACTTGTAGGTAGCTTATCCATCTCAACCCATAACGAGGGTATCATGTAATGAGCAAGATAGGTCATAAGCATGCGCCTAGCAGTCGAGCTACGCCCAGTTCTGTCAATCTCAAGCTCCGGGCGTTCTGCTGATGTGTTTTTGTCTCGCACAATGTATGCCACCAACTGGCGGTCAATACCATCCCCAAAAGCTATTACAGCACAATGGCTGACGGCCAAATGGCTCAGAATTGCGTTCTCAACCTTGCCCGGAACCACCGAATATCCACGAATTTTGATCATAGCGCCGACACGCCCCGTGATTTCGAGCAGGCCACTGGGAAGTATGCGTGCCTTGTCTCCAGTCCTGTACATTCTAGCGCCAATCTTGGAGCTGTATGGATTCCTGATGAAGGCTTTCTCAGTCGTCTCTGGAAGGTTAAGATATCCACGGGCAAGAAGGTGTCCACCAACGCAGAGCTCGCCATTTTCGCCATCATCTACCCTCTGGCCACTCTCATCCAAGATGTAGATGTACTTCTTGTCGATAAGCGGTGGACCTACAGGACAGTATGCAGCATCCTTGTCAATCTTCTCAAGCATATCCTTGATGTCGCCACATGCGATTTCGTGTGTCTCGCATGCGCTATAGACATTGAGCAAGCGGGCGTTGGGAAGGGCCTTGATACCACGGCGTGCAAGATCGGTTGTCACTACTTCGCCATTGAGCCAAACGGTCTTCAGATTCGGCAGCCGAGTCGCTAGCGCCTGGTGACACGCAAGAACAGCAGAGAATAGGGTTGGTGTGAAAAGAGTCTCGGTAATCTTCTTGGAGGCAAGCAGGTCGACCAGCATGCGCGGGTCGTAGCTTACATCGTCCGGAACGGCCACAACAGTTGCTCCCCGTAATAGCGGGCGTATGATTTCCCAAACGAAGAAGACATTGCAAGCCACACGGTCTCCCGGTTGTAGGTCAGATAGCCCGAATCGAAGGTTGTATGAAAGGACTGCTGCTTTGTGGGGGTTGGCGATACCTTTCGGCTTGCCAGTAGTTCCACTGGAATATGAAACAAATGCCAGGCGTTCCAAATCAGTCTCTTCAGGCAAAGGCTTCAGATCGGACTCGTCCAATTGGCCGTTCTTTTCTGAGCTGGTTTCATCCAGAACAACGAGCGGTATCGACCCCTTGATCTTCCCGACTTCTGCGCTGACAGTGACAATGACGGTAGGCTGTGAGTCCTCGAGAACATCGGCAAGGAGATCAGGAGGATAAGCCAGCTCCAGAACCAGAAATGCACCGCCTGCGCGGAGTGCTGCTAAGCAGGCGATTACATAGTCGGCGGATCGCGGCAACAGGACACCAACCAGGCTGTCACGGCCAACTCCATGACCCCGCAGCCGGTCAGCAAGCGCTGCAACTTTGTCGTGAAGCTCCTGGTATGTGTATGTGTTCTTGTCGTCTTCTAAAGCAACCAAGTTGGGGGTGGCCTGAACCTGCTGAGAGAAGAGTGCTGACAGGTCCTTGGTAGTATCGATGACAGACATGGTCTGAAAGTTTTCGGAGGAGGGGTAAAATGGAAAAGGGGATCCGCGGGCGACTGGTACTCGACGAGATATTTATTCGGTTGTAAACTCCATTCACAGAGCCAATAGCTCTCGTACAGGTAATCAAGAGGTAGGAAGTCTGGCTTACTGGGGCTCGTACAGCTTGCTAGTTCCAGCGCACGACACTTTTCTCGTCTCGGTGTGCGCACAGCTCTGCCGATAACGTCATCTACTAGCGTCAACTAACAATCCCACACCCCCATAATACCGCTCAGAAATGCGAATCGTTGAGGATCTTGGAGTGCGCCGCAGGACTGTTTGGTTGGTTGTTGACAGCTTGCAGCAACGCGATTCGTTTCTGTGTGGCCGTCTGCCGGTAATTGTGGGCAGCGCCAGCCTATGAACCCTCGCCAATGACGAACCGGCCCGCCAAAAAATGGCTTGACCCACGTCCCGTGGGGTTTGCGACACAACGTTCTAGCCGAGTGGCTTCCAGCGGGTCGGTGGGGTATCACGTTGGGATACTAAGGGTCCTGGGGTTCTGTTCTGGCATCTGAGTATCTTGCCAGTGCCCGCATGTCCGTGTAATAAAACGACAGCGCCGGTTTTGACCATCATGAAGCAACGTTGGGTGGTGGTGTTCGATTCTTCCTTTTTCTTCGAGAGTTTCCTACTCTTAAATTGGAATCCATGATGTGAAAAAGAACTCACAACGGAAAGTTGCTTGGGCTGACGCAATAATAATGTGTCGCGGTTATGATTTAAACATGTTTGCCCATAGTCAGTTCACAAACAGAACATATTGGCACTTACTGAAAACATCTGTGGCTTTCAGTAGCCACTTGTTGGCTTCCTGAAAGTCTTGCTAGCATATGAGGCACATAGAGTGGCACTGACAGGGTGTGTATGCTCAAGTTTCGATAGAGCTACGTCCATCGCACAGGATCTGCTGCTTTTCTTGAAGAAAAGGAGAGGTGTCCAAGCAGAGATCGTGAGTGGCAAGAATAGAAGACATGTAAAAGGGTGAAACAAGAGTAGGTGCGGGGAAGGCGCTCGGGTTACCCGTCCCGTTGAGCTTAAGTATTCCCCGCCAGCCTCTGACTAATGTTCCCGTTGTACGAGATTTATATTACGCTAGTAACGTGAGAGTAGGACAAGTGCCTTGCCATATGGGTAGATACTCGCTTCACGATCAGCAACGAAAACTGGAGAGAGCTTTAAGACGGCCATACTATTCGACAAACAGGAACAGTCTACCCAACTTGAGACATCGCATGAATCCATTCAGCCTTGCCATTTGGTACGACGCTGTCTAAACATCGACACCATACCAATAGGCAGCAATCCAAAGTCGACAACATTAAGACTGCCGAACGTGTCGATCATTTCTGGACCATACATCTGTGCGATCCATTTCCAATAAGCATCCATGCTATTCCAATTACCAAGGATGCCTCTTAGATTGGACTGACTCGATAGCTGAGTTATAGCCTGTGCAACCGACGTGCCGAGAGCAACAGGTTGTTCTTTTGGTCGCTCCAGCAATTTCTTGTAAGTCTTCACCAAGCTTGCCTTTCCCACGCTTCCAAAGACCTCGCGGTATTTGACAAACTCTTCGAAAGAGAAGAACTCATCAGTGTCTTTACGTTGCGAGACCGAATCGTCTACATTAGGACGCACAGTGTGCGGGTCTGCATTGTCGAACCTACGTTTGGCAGTGGCGTAGTCATCACGCTCTTTTTCCTCATACTCACCAAGCAAATCGTAAGGATTTTCTTTGACCGACTCGCGGATCTGCAAAAGGTGCACAAACGGTGACTTGAGATCCAGGCCGCCCAATTCGACTGGAAAGAAGAGAAAGCCGTCTGGGACGTTCTTTACAGAAAAACGCTCTTCTATCATCTGCTTGATTTGCTGGACAATGCTGCCATCGGGAAAGATTTGCTCCTCAATGTGGCGGTGAGTAGCGAGCATTTTATCGACATGTTCTCTGCCGAAGCAATTGGCAGCTTTTCCGAAATTCGAGCTGAAGAATGTAGCCGCGTAAGAGTTCTGTTGTCAAGAGTTAGTAGGTTGTCAAATTGACTGTTCGAGCCGCAAATCATACCCAGGCTTGAATATAGTCGATAACACTCTTCGATTTGCCTTTTAGTTGTGTGCGCAATTCTTCTACATGTCCATCGACCATGTGTTGGTCGATTTCGAACCGGCCGCTCTTTGGGTCAAGCTGTAAGAAGCCCCAGCGAATCTCACCTTCAGGAAGACGATCGTCAATTTCCGTTTTCTTATCATGTGAGATCCGCACACTGCCAGTCTTCTTCTCGTGTAGCTAGTTCTTTTATTAGACAACGCGACAGGACCATCATTAGCCTAAAACTCACCCTAACTCCCATGACCTCGGTGAACTTCAGAATGCTGGCCCAGGCGCTTACGCATGTCTCGTAATTCTTATTCCAAAACCATACATCATCGCCAAGGCGATGCAGATCTGGACCGCCAGTCGCCTGATTGACAGCAAAGTCCAGACACAATAGTACTGTTTCGCCCAGTACATCACTCAATGTATGAGAGCTCGGCATGCCTCGCCGACGTAAACGTGGTTCAGATGATGGATCGTCAGCAAACTTCAATGGAGCCTGTAGGTATCTCTCTAAGAAAGTCTTCCATTTCCTTGACACACCAAGAAATTCGAGAACTGTGGATATCGTTTGATGCGGTAGAAGTGAAGTCCATGAATCAAATGTCGTACGAAGACAAGTAAACTCGCCCTGTAGCCGGGTATTGAAAATGATTTCTGTGGCGACAAGATGAAGCAGACTCTGCTTTGATTCCATAGGTTTCTTGGACTGATGACGATAAGCTTCCTCTTCGTCCTGAAACGAATCCTCGGAAAATATCTCGTCTTCGTCGTCCTCATCAGATTCATGTACTTCAGCTTGAGGAACCAGATGCCTCCGAGCGAACATTGGCTTAGCCGCAGATTTCATAGGACGATCTGGAGCAAATTCCCACTCAATGACGTTGTCCCGTTTATTGGCAGTGTATTCCCTATACTCTGCTTCTTCCTCACCATCTTTTACTTCGACCTTTTGGGCACCAAAGTCCAGTAGTTGATGTGCAAAGTATCTGTTGTCATGAGAGCATTTTCGTTTATTCTCGAGACTCTTTGAAGCATTTGTACTTTTTTTACCAAGGAAGTGCATGCGTTGTAAGCGCTCATCTCTGCCGACCTCAGTAGAAGAGCTCTTCCAAGCCTCGTGCTTATGTAAGTCTCTAAATGCGGACTTGAAGAACACAGACCTAATGAGCGTTTGTTAGTTGTGTTAAAGCAGTTGAGAGCGAGTGAAGGTACCATTGTATGCCAATGTAATGAAGGAAAATCGCTTGCAAAAGCTCTGGATTGAAATGGATTAAGAATTCGCCGTTGATCTTCTTCCTCTGTTCCACTAGGACCTGCGGGCCCCAATTCCAATTCTCAAGAGCTGCCATGCGCACGTTGAGAATATCGCAGAGTTCTGTCAATATTACATCTGATACAATCGTCAGTAGAAGTCCATTACCACTACTGACTACACGCACTGTTGCCGAGAAAATCTCTCAACGCTTCCCGCTTTTCATTGGAAAGCAGATCAGAGTTTTGTAGCCCTTCGATGGTCTGACGAAGTGACAAATGGTCAAATGGGGTCGACTTGGTTAGATTCTTTTCGAATTCTTGGACCTTCTTACGCAACTCGTCGATTGCTGAGGCGCCTTCTTTCTTGTCATTAACAAAGAGGTCCTCGAGATATAGCCGTAGTGCATTTTCATCTACTTCAGCCGCCTGGAACACATCCCTCTCCCATTCTTCACGATTAGCAAGCTTCTTCGCGCTAGATACCTCTTCATAGCTCTCCGTCATCTCAACATCGCCATCATCGTTTGCAGATTTTTCAGAGGATAGCCATTCTGTGACGAGCTTCCCGTAGAGATCGGCGTATTGGAACTTGGTGGACTGAATAGAAAGATACTGGAGTAGTTTCTTTTCCCAATCCAAGAGGACCTCACGTGACACAGAAGGGTCAAAGCGAGCTTGCTCAATAAAACGGGGCAGGTTCCGGAGATCAGTTTCGAGGCGAGTATTCCTTGATCCGCTGATAGTCACGTGGTCAGCTTCCCCATCTTTGGAGCTCTCCATGGTCCGAACACCAATGCATTCCTTCAAGCCATCGAGTAGGATGCCAACTCGCTTTAACGCGTCTTTTTCGGATTTCACAAATTCAAGCAGTCTGGCATATTTTTCCTCAAAGCTGATGCGTTGCTTTGCGAGCTCCTCTAACTTGGTGCTGGTGATTGTTTGGAGGGTCTCTCCGAAGACGCTGCCAGAAAAGTTTGCCATTATCGGCAAATATAAAACAAATCAGTGGATACGAGGCGTGATGAGCCAGATGCGAGTGGACGGTCGGGATGCGAGAGAAAGTGCGCTGTGTTAAGTTACAGATGTGGGAGACGAAGGAAGAGATGACCTGGGAATCAACTGGGTCAAAATAATTGCTTTTCTCCCACGCGGGGATGCGGTCGAGACAGTACTTTTTATGTCGTATTCGTGAAGTCGCACTAATGTACTAGGCAGCAGGCGCTTGGCAGAATTACCCTACTAGGAAGTAGCGTTTGACACTCGACACAAGTACTACCAGTTTACAACAACTATTTGATATTGTAAACTGCTAGTAACAGTATATCTGGTAATTTTACTGCATGCTAGTATAACAGTACAAGTATAGCCTAGACAATTGCTCGGGTGTCGCATCAAAAATGAGTGCTAGATAGTCTTCGAATTAGAGCACCTCGATCCACAGTAACTATCCAAATGATGAGAGTATGTTCTGTTGAGTTTGGCGCAATCCATAATAATTCAAAGAAGGCTTATAAAGCCCATAGAAGGGCTTGAATGTCTCTCATTGTGTTTCCGTATAAACACCATCACCCAGGCTACGCCACTCCCTTGCAATGAAACACCGCACACTATTTGGCCATTCCATTCTCCAAGACGGGAACTCTACTGGATTACCAATGGAATCAGTGCAGGCTAGCTGCACAAAACTATTCTGTACAAGTACCACCCAACCACGCAAAGCGAACAGCTCCTTGCGCCGCCTCATCACCCACATCCCACATAACCGCCCCCAAAGTACCCCCAGTAATCCTCGGCCCGACTCTCACCATCCCCCAGCCTACCATCCCATCCACCAAAATAGCCACTGTTTCAGTGAGAAATCAACACCAACACTCATCTCGCTAACCATCCCATCCACCTCCTACTAAAGCAGTACCGGTACTGTAATATCGATTCCCTGCATCCTGCATCCTGCACCTCAAACCCGCGCCTATATACACCTGCACAACCCCTTCTTCCCCTCGCCTCCCCGCATTATACGACCAGCGGGACGCAAAAAGCAAATTCTCCTTACACGCCCTCGCTTCCAGCGCCCACTACGGGAATCGAGCCGTTTTCCCTTTTCTCACTCGCCCCCCCCCGTTTACCGTGCCTACCGTTCATGGGTTGGGCGGCACTGATATTCTACATAAGCCAAGTAAGGGGGAAAAAAAGAGGGAAGATGGGGCCGTCAAGTCTGTGCGAATTGGTAATACTACCGTATTTACATTGATGCCTCCTTTTTTACATTTTTCAACATGGCATGCTAGTGATGGATATGGGGGGGTTTAAGATTTGCAAGGGTTGGTAAAGATCTGTGGTTCGTACGTTGATGCGACGTTTATGCGTGGAAAGTAAAAAGGCATTGGTGTATGCGGACTGGGAGGGTCTCTCGGGGGTGAGATACTATTGCGGTGCTTGTCTCTTTCCTATTTCTTGTTGCGGGTCCCGATGGGTCGGGTGGTATCAGGATAGTTTTTCTTTCTGTTGTTGGCGGCTTGCCTGCAAGGTACAAGTTCCTTGGTGCTTGTAAGAATGGTTGCAACTTCGGAGTGGAATTCTTGATTTGGCAGGTGGTTAAATCTGTTATCGTCATTTCCATCATATATGTGTAAACTTTTCTTGTTGCTTTCCCTTGTTTCATCCTTCTAAATATGTAAGTCATTTCAAACACAAATTAAAGTCTTATCGGTATCCTCTACAGCTTCAGTGAGCTTGTTCGCTGCTCGACTGTGCTGGTGACGTGGATGCCGCGGTAGTCCTTGGGCGGGAGAATAAATTCTTCGCTTCCGACGCTACCCTGTCCACGCACCATGTTTACCATCTGGCCATCTTCAAGCGCAACCCATTCCTCGTCTCTGCCGGTCAAATGACTCTTGACAGTAGGCCGCTTTGCATAGCCTGCTGCAGGTGTTTGTGGGATTGCGCTACTGCCGCTGCTACCGAGTTTGAGGACGCGCTGCAGGAGTGGACGGAGTGTGGCGACACATCCTACAATCATTCCGACGCCATTTTCGGCATAGCCCCATAGGATGACATCGGCTACACCATCTGTCGGAATGTTAGTGTGTGCGGGGGACAGGGGAAAGAGACAGGGAAAGTGGGACTCACAGAGGTAGTCGGTCGAACTCGTAAGGTTCACCGTGTAAATGAGGCGAATGCACGCAGACAAACTGGCTCTGTGTGGAGCATTGGTTCAGCGATCATGTTCATGAGGAGGATAAGCGAGGCCAGGGGAACAAAAACTTACAAGGCTCCTAGACCGAGAATAACGCCGACGGAAAGCTTAGCATTACGGTTGAGCTGCACGTTCCATAGTAATGGTATTGGCAGCAGGGCACAAAACCAATCTGTTGCGATGTTGATTGCCGTGGTGGCATAATAGATATCGGCAAGTGTCTGTGCAGGATTACATTTGCCTCCAGGTGTCGATTGATCCCAAGCGTACGACACGGGCGCGCACTGGAAAATTATGTACAGCAGGGCGATGAGATTCATCACGACGAACATGGCAGAAACAGCATACAAGCTGTAAATGTATGCCTTTCTTCGGGAGGCGATTCGGATCAGCATAAAAGAAATGCTCAGCTTGATCGGGATGATTGCCGCGCAGTAAAAGACTTCAAAGAAGAAGAAAAACTGGAGATTGTCAGTGTGAATTGTCACCTCACCGAACAATCACATACCTGCATTCCCTGGACCTTTTCGCTTGGACTAAGTTTATTGTCATGAATGCCAACGCCGCTAAATGCACCGCCGATACACGATATCGTCAGGCCCGTGAAGGGGATCTGGAATGTGTCCTGTAAGCATGACTCCTGCCGCCAAAGTCAAAAGGAAGTGACTTACAGTCGCTAGAGTCATAGACCAATCATCGAGACCCCAAGCTTGATTGTGAAGTCTGGTGTAGACTCGCAATCCGAATGTCATGTATGCAATAACAGCCAATGCGATGATTGAGGCAGCGAGGTTGGGTGCCTTATCCTCGAAGTAAGTCATGTTGGGTCCTTTGCCCTGGATTCGAGTTCCTCTGGAGCGAAATAGGAGTGGCAACAAAGTTGAAAAGGCGGTCCGCGGAGATTATAAACGACTAAATGGTGTTCTCGGAGGCCGTCAATCTGCCGGTGACGCAAGTGCAAAGTGACATGCAAAGACCTGCCATCCAGGGGCAAGGCAAAGTCAGATGGGGGATATAAAGTAGATCTACCCAGAGATACAGGAAGAGAGATTGGATGCATGTCGGGGGTGCTGTCGAAGATCCCCCATGCCAAATTACGACTTGCTTCAGATCATGGAACAATTCGACATTGGTCTTGCATCAGAAGCGAAGTAAAAGACCCACGGGGATCCAATTTTTCATCGAATCGTGAGCGGGCTTCTAGGATGCAGCCTGTAAGGTACGGCGAACAATTACTGGAATAGAACCATGTTCCGCCCCGTCGAGAATGCCGTTATGATGGTTGGTGAGGGTGGCCTAAAGTGGCGGCCGATGTGGGAAGGGCGGCCGACCCATACATGTGGAACATGCTCGCGTCTGGACTCGAGAAAATGCAGGTACCGCGCAAGGTGTACAATGAAGAGTGAAGGTTTAGCGGGTTTAATGCCACACCTCCCATGGTGTTGCTCTCTATTCCAGACAGAATGCTAGCCCACTGTTATTGTGTGCTATTTCGAATTCATCACTTGGCTATCTGGTTACATGTCTTGCCGATAGCGAATTGAGAAATCTTGATTTGGTATGCTTGGTCTGCTCTTGCTCAAATTTCTCCAGATTTTCCATGTCTGCATCTCACAACAGCGTCTGGGTCGGGTCGAAGGTTCGCCACGTCGGGAGATAATCCCGGGTATTAGTGGTTGTCACTAGTAAGCCTCGCATAAGCCACATACTCGCTTCTGATGTGCCCCATAAAAGGTCCGAAAATGAAGATCTTCCATCCCCTGACCTGCCCATTCGGAACGGGACGCCCTATGGCAAGCGGCTTGGATAAATGGATTAGTGTAAATACCCATGGGAAAAAAGATAAGGCGACCATGAACTTGTAACAACAATATGTGAAGTGATCATTCCCTCCTTCCAAAACGGCTGCAGGCTTCAAGATGCGCCACACAGACACGGCTACTCGACACGGCACAGAAGGAGGGCCTGAAAGAGAAGTGAGTGTCTCACAGACTGTGGAGCAGTGTGAGTTCCGCGTTCCGCGGGCGAAGCCGGTATCATTCCGCAATTATTTGTGACTGTCGAAGATCCCAACGCACAAACACCTTTGTATACACGGTGCTGAATGGCTGATTTCATAATGTGGACCCTAGGTAGCCTTATTTGATATAGAGCTGGACGTATCAGCACGCTTGTCGACTCGAATAGTTAAAGAGGGCTAGATGCGAGGCAACTAGAGTCATGTAAAGACGCCAGAGCGGCTACTAACAAACCGCTGTCCAAAGTTGCCGAGTCGCTTTTTGTAACTTACCAGAGCCACGGTACCATGGCAATCCTAGGCCATGACTCGATGGCAAAGTCTCTGGCATCTGCAGAAAATGAGTGAAACGGTCAAGTGCCACTGTGATGCAGCTGCCGTTGTAGCTGTAGCTCGCAAACGGCTAGAAGAATGGACTGCACAAGCACGTGACTGTTGTGCTGTTGAGTTTGAAGTAGGCCCCATATGTCTTCCATTGATAGAACTGGTCTTGGGGAAGGTAGATTGCGGAAGTCATTGGTAGTGATTGAAAGGGGCAGGTCTCCAGAAAAGATGCACCTGAACTACCCGTTCACTCTTACGATGGAGTATGAAGGAAAGTCCAAGACATGAAGTTGCATATGATCTACAGGGACATTCCGGAAGTGGGTGGTCTTTGCAGGCTGTGGGACCTTGCAGAAGATGGAAGGATTGGTGATGTTGCGGATACAGACCTGTGTTTGCTTTTGTGGGAGAGGATGTGGCACAAGGACCAATGCGGTCTTTTGGCTTTTCAATCTTTTGAGGTGGACTTTGCGAGTTTCTCCACAATTTGCGGAAGATGAATTGCCGGTGGAGCAGATCAGTGGGCCAGTGGCTGCTTGGCCGTTTGTGAGACGCACCACTGGGCTGTCTCTATTTGGGCTCTTGCGTTTGCGTATATGAAGCCTGGGATGTGGTTGGATGAGATTCTCATTGAGTTTGGAAGTGGTGTAAGTAGAAAACTATCAATGGTAGTGGTGGGTCAAGCTCCAGCCGCAAAGTCGTGGCTATCGGTTGGGCTAGCCACGTGACCAGCATCAGTTAGGGAAGGAACGTCAGCACTTGTTGTTTCTTTGGCTTCGGCTGACGGTATTGCTTGGTGTTGTGACATTTTTGACGTTCAATGACACTGAACCTTTGAGTAGACGTCTAGTAGCCTGAGCGCGTGACTTGGGTAAGTGCAATGCAAAGGCGTTTGCTGTACGGAGCTGCAGCAGAACAGAGCAGAGCAGTTGGTGCAAAACGGGTAAGAAGGGACGGCACCCCTGATGTTAGTTTCAGAGGGTTGTGCAAGGTGGGATGGGCAGTTTGGCGGCGAAGACAAGACTCGTACAGACGGAGCATCAGGCGTTGTACACACCGAGCGTCGGTGCCCAATTGGGCCAAGACGAGGCCATGTGCCGTCGAGCAGATACGAGGGACAAAGGCGATGCGAACAATGTGAGGGGGGGCGAAGACGGGTAGTCGGACGAGGTGGCATGAGCAGAGAGCAGAGGCATGAAGCTGGTGTCGTCGGCGGGTGCTCGCCTGAGTCGCATGTGACGTTGAGCGAGTGAGGGAGAAGGAGAGGCAGCGGCAGTGTGTCTTCGCCCCGCCCGCCAGCCGTCGCGTCGTCATACCACCCATATCGCTGTATCTGCTTTATGCCGCCCCAACGCTGACAAAGGCACACGACACCACCACGACCGCCCAGGGGCCCGCAAGAGCAGGAGGTCAGCAAGGACAACAAGAACCAGACGACGGCGACGACGACGAATAGAAACAAGACGACTCGACAGCCACAGCCTGCGCCCGCTGCGACGCCACTGGCTGCACCCAAGAGCAGAGAGAGCAGAGAGGGGGAGCAAAGTGGGGCTCCGCTAAGCCGCCCTATGCGTGAGCTAAATCGCTGTCTGCCCGACGACATCACCACAGCAGCACCATACCGCCGCCATTGCCCCCAGGCCTCTCCGCCCGACTCTTCTCTTGGACGCGCGCCCCATCGCCCGCTCCAAGACACGTTGCAGCGGCCTCGCCACGCCCAGAGACTGCCTGCCTGCCCGTCTGCCTGCGTGCACCCCCGGTGTCGGTCTGTACCAGTGCCGGCGCACCCCTCCTCTCCCCAGCCAGCCCAGCGACGGCCAGGCACCTGAGCACGCCGCTGCCTCCATCGGCGAAGAAATCCCCCCCACCCGCCTTCTTCGCCGAACCCCCCTCCACACCACGCCCTCGCCATGGCCAACGTCGAGGAGACGGTTGCCAATGTGCAGCGCAAAATCGACCGTGAAAAGGCCCTGATCAACGCCGCCAATGCCATGCGCCAGTCGACCAACAACCCGGCCGTCCTCTCGCGCCTCGACGGCCAGATCAAAGACGGCCGCCGCAACATCGACTACTTCGAGTCCAAGTTGCGCGACCTCGACCTGCAGCGCACGACCTCGGGCGTTGATAACATGAGTCTGCAGCCAGGCCGCTCCCCCACCAATCCCCTGACCCCTCCGCCAAAGGACAACTGGGACGGCTACGCGCAGCAGGACCAGGGCGGCTATGGCGGGCCCCAGAGCCAGTATAGCCAGCTCAGCGGCGGCGAGGCTCTGCAGCCTCCTCGCGCGCCGTTTGCCGCACCGCCGCCTGCCACAGCTAACAAACGCCCCAACTACAGCAAGCTGGGTAACATGACTTGCCCCCGCCCTCCCCCCGCCATGTGAGATGCTAACAAGTGCAGACCTTATCAAATACGACACCCCGCATCTCGGCCCCCGCATCCAGCTCATGCTGACCCAACTTGAATTCAAGCTCAGTGTCGAAAAACAGTACAAGGATGGCATTGAGAAGATGGTGCGCCTGTACCAAATGGAAGGCGACCGCAAGAGCAAGCAAGATGCCGAAGCCAAGCGCATCGAGAGTAACCAGAAGATCCAGCTGCTCAAGCACTCGCTGAAGCGGTACGAGGATCTGCATGTTGACATTGACGGCGACGGCGACGATAGTAAGCTCCACAAAGGAAGAAGCAGCATCATGACGTCCAAACACTGACCATCGCACAGACGATAGTCTCGACATTCCCAGTCAAAGAAAGCCGCTGAGCGGCCAGCTGTCTCTGCGCATACATGCCGTTGCCGATGTTGATCACGCGGCCACTGGGCGCTTTAGTCGGGGCCCAGAAACTTTTGTCAACATCAAGGTCGAAGACACCATCAAGGGCCGTACCAAGCCTACAAGGAACGACCGCTGGACCGACGAGGTCCACGACTTCAGCATCGACAAGGCAAACGAGATTGAAATCACAGTCTACGACAAGACAGGCGACCATCTTCTGCCCATTGGTATGCTCTGGGTGCGCATATCCGACATTGCCGAGGAGATGCGCAGGAAGAAGCTTGAGACGGAGCTCGCAAACTCTGGCTGGGTCGCTGCTGACAAGATGGGAGGCCACACTGGAATCCAGCCCGACATGCAGTTTCAGCCACCCCCAGGACAATCCCCCGCTGGCGGTCCTGGTGGAGGCCCTACTCCTGCCGGTGTGAGACCGCCTGGTGCTCCACAGCCGCAGACTGGACCTATCATGATTGATGACTGGTTCTCACTGGAGCCGGTTGGCCGTATTCATCTCACAATGTCCTTTATCAAGAACACGGGCAACAAGCAGCCCTTTGATCTTGGTCTTGGTCGTAAGGGTGCTGTCCGTCAACGCAAAGAGGACGTGGTCGAGCAGTATGGACACAAGTTTGTCCAGCAGCAGTTCTACAACGTCATGCGCTGCGCTCTCTGTGCTGAATTTCTCAAGTATGCTGCAGGCATGCAATGCTCCGACTGCAACTATACTTGCCACAAGAAATGCTATCCCAAGGTCGTCACAAAGTGCATCACCCAGTCCAACGCCGAGACCGATCCAGACGAGGCAAAGCTCAACCACCGAATTCCTCATCGTTTCGAGAACTTTTCCAACATGGGCGCCAACTGGTGCTGTCACTGTGGTTACGTTCTTCCACTTGGCCGGAAGCAGACTAAGAAGTGTAATGGTGAGTATCTCGACATAACCGCCAGCCCTGACTTCATACTAACTTCGTCACAGAATGTGGCCTCACTTGTCACGCTCACTGCGTTCACTTTGTACCAGACTTTTGCGGAATGTCCATGGAAGTCGCCAACCAGATTCTAATGGAGATTAAGAGAACCAGAAGAGGTCAATCTTCATCAGGCCCTGGTATGAGCCAGCGCACTCTGAGACCGCAATCGGCGGCAAAGCCATTGCCACCAACGCAGCCTCAATCTCCCGGACAGCCAGGCCAGGAATCACCAACCCAATCCGACAGGTACTCGTACGGCAAGGAACAAATGAGCCCTCCACCCGGCCCGCCACGACAGCCATCTTATCCTTCATCAGCAACTTCAGTTGATGCTGCGCGCGCCTCTTACTCAACAACGGGAACGGCATCCACTGGAGCTCCCACGTCGCCAACTTCGGGATCGAGACCCCCTTCGGGCCCACGCACTCAGTCTTCAGTAGCTGCGGCCGCAGCAGCAATGAACAAGGCCACGCAACCTGGATATGGCCGCAGCAACACAGATTATTCGCCGCAAAGTGGGCGATCATCTGGCAGTGGATATCCAACAGAGCAACGCATGTCACAGCAGCAGGCACCCCAACCAGCAGCCTACGACCCATCAGTCTACGCCAACATTCCGAGCTACCCACCAAGTCACCAACAGCCCGCGCCCGTGCCGTCCTACCCAACAAAATCCTCCTACCCTCTACCTCAACCCCCGCCACCACAATCCCCGCCACAACATCCGCAGCAACCAACGCCTTCGCAACAAAAGATGCCGGAGCAACAGGCACTCACCCAGCAGCCTCCATCTGCAGTGGGAGAAGTACCAGGAAAGAAGGTTACGCCCGCAGCCAACACACAGGGTACTGGCAAGAGGATAGGACTGGATCACTTCAACTTCCTTGCTGTTTTGGGTAAAGGTAACTTTGGAAAGGTCATGTTGGCTGAAACCAAGACCACCAAGCAACTCTACGCCATCAAGGTTCTGAAGAAGGAATTCATTATCGAGAACGACGAAGTGGAGAGCACGCGCTCGGAGAAGAGAGTGTTTTTGATTGCCAACAAGGAAAGGCATCCCTTTTTGCTGAACCTCCACGCCTGTTTCCAAACCGAGACACGAGTTTACTTCGTCATGGAGTACATCAGTGGTGGTGATTTGATGTTGCACATTCAACGTGGGCAATTCGGCACAAAACGCGCACAGTATGTTTTCACCATATGGGTGAAGAAGCACTTGCTAACGCTGGCACAGGTTCTATGCGGCCGAGGTTTGCCTCGCCCTCAAGTACTTCCACGAGAACGGTGTCATTTACCGAGATTTGAAACTCGACAATATCATGTTGACCCTTGACGGACATATCAAGGTTGCCGATTATGGTCTATGTAAAGAGGAGATGTGGTATGGCTCAACCACCAGCACATTCTGTGGTACTCCCGAGTTCATGGCACCAGAAGTAAGTTGTATTTTTTTCGGCCTAGCATGAGCACGTCTGACATTGAATTCTCCAGATTCTCTTGGACAAGAAGTACGGACGCGCAGTTGACTGGTGGGCATTTGGTGTTCTTATTTACCAGATGCTCCTTCAGCAGTCGCCTTTCCGCGGTGAGGACGAAGACGAAATCTACGACGCCATTCTTGCCGACGAGCCGCTCTACCCCATCCACATGCCGCGTGACTCTGTATCAATTCTACAGAAGCTGCTGACCCGTGAGCCTGAGATGCGTCTAGGATCTGGGCCGACTGATGCGCAGGAGATTATGTCTCATGCCTTCTTCAGGAACATCAACTGGGACGACATCTACCATAAGAGAGTACAGCCGCCATTTATTCCACAGATTACGAGCCCAACGGACACAAGCAATTTCGATACCGAGTTTACAAGTGTTACACCGGTGCTTACACCGGTGCAGTCTGGTATGTGGACTCATGCAGCCATGTCACGTTTAGGAAATTTTGCTAACAAATTTAGTCCTTTCGCAAGCTATGCAAGAAGAGTTCCGTGGTTTCTCCTACTCTGCCGATTTTGCTTAATCGTACGCCACTTCCTGATACCCTGGGCTTTTTGTTTTGGAGAAAATGCGGTCGTCATTTGCTCTTGTGTGTTGGTATGCTCAACAACGAGCCCGGCGGCGAGTCGGCGAGCAGGACTGAGGAGGCTCACCAGTGTGTTCTTGTTCGCGTGAAAAAGCGTTGTTTGGTTGGCGAGTTGGTCTTATGTTGGGGTGGTAACACCATGACGGATGAGGGAGCAAAAGATGGTTGTTTGTGTGTGTGTGTGTGTGTGTGTGTGTGTGTGTTTTGGGGTGTACTGGTACGGGGAGTGCGAGCAGAGTAGGCTGGATGGAGACGAAGTTTACACGGACAGCCAGGTTTGTGTTTGGTATGAAGAAGAGCTTTTGTGATGAGAGTGAGTGTAGTGTTTGGCGTGGGTACATAATGAAAGTGTGGGAAGCATTGCAGCAAATGAGCAAACGAGCAAGCGACAATTGTCCGTCTGCAAATCAGCCATATACAGGTAACTCATGAAAGTGTTTGACATACAGATTAGTCACGGAAGTGTTGGACATACGAGAGCTGTCCCGATTCTGCTCCGCCAGGCTTCAGAGTCAGCAAGTACTCTATTTTAGCTTAAAGATGCTAAATGTTACTAGACCTTAAGCTGCAACTAGCTAGAAGATCGATCACGCTCTATCGGGAGAGAATTATTACACCATGTTGCCACCGCCACATACTAAACACTTTCGCGACCAACCTGTTCCAGGGCGTTGGTAATCACCTCTGTGCCCCTGAAGATGCGGGGAAGCTGAGCTTGCATACCCCGCAAACAACTCCCCAATCAATAACCTCGGTGTCACCGTATTAGTTCGGTCAGCATGCCCAAAACGCACTCAGGAGGTGGACCAATATCTATTGTTCCTGTCATAGTATTCAGAGGTGACGGGATACCTCAAAAGTAGATCATGGCGTGTATGCATCAGGCTCAGCTATACAATGATCTAGAGGAATTGCTAACTGGTCCATCAGTACCCATCGTTGCTGGAGCTGCTGGAGCTGCAGCTCTCACTGCCTACATTAACGCCAAATACCACATAGCCCATGATCTCAAGACCCTCGGTGGTGGATTGACACAATCGTCCGAAGCGATTGATTTCATAAACCGCCGCGTCGCACAAAAGCGCGTCCTCACGCACCACATCTTCCAGGAGCAGGTCCAAAAACAATCAAATCATCCCTTTCTTATCTTTGAGGGCAAGACATGGTCTTACAAGGAGTTCTCTGAGGCATACACGAGGGTCGCGAACTGGCTGATTGATGAGCTGGACGTACAAGTAGGGGAGATGGTCGCAATTGATGGCGGAAATAGTGCAGAGCACCTGATGCTTTGGCTTGCACTTGATGCAATCGGTGCGGCTACGAGTTTTTTGAACTGGAACCTGACAGGGGCAGGGTTAATTCATTGCATAAAGGTAAATCCCTCGATCATGAAATGCGTCTATATTGCAGCTGACGAACATTCCAGCTATGCGAATGTCGATTCGTTATCGCAGACATCGATATTAAAGCGAACATTGAACCGTGCCGTGGCGAACTGGAGGAGACGGGCATCAACATTCACTACTATGACCCATCCTTCATCTCATCGCTACCGAATAACACGCCAATTCCCGACAGCCGCACTGAGAACATTGAATTAGATTCAGTACGAGGACTGATATACACATCTGGAACCACTGGTCTACCTAAAGGCGTGTTTATAAGCACTGGCCGCGAGCTTAGGACTGACTGGTCGATTTCAAAGTATCTAAATCTCAAGCCCACGGATCGAATGTATACATGTATGCCGCTCTACCATGCCGCTGCACACAGCCTCTGTACAGCATCAGTTATTCATGGTGGAGGTACCGTGGTATTGAGCAGGAAATTCTCACACAAGAAGTTCTGGCCTGAAGTTGTGGCTTCGGAAGCAAATATCATTCAGTACGTTGGTGAATTAGGTCGATATCTCCTGAATGGTCCAAAGAGTCCTTACGACAGGGCCCATAAAGTCCAGATGGCGTGGGGCAATGGCATGCGTCCAGACGTGTGGGAAGCGTTTCGTGAACGCTTCAACATACCAATTATTCATGAGCTCTATGCCGCAACCGATGGGCTCGGGTCAATGACCAATCGTAACGCGGGCCCTTTTACAGCAAACTGTATTGCGCTGCGAGGGCTGATCTGGCACTGGAAATTTCGAAATCAGGAAGTGCTGGTCAAGATGGATCTCGATACTGATGAGATCATGAGAGATCGCAATGGGTTTGCGATACGATGCGCTGTCAATGAACCTGGACAGATGCTTTTTCGGCTGACACCCGAAACTCTGGCTGGTGCACCAAGCTACTACAACAACGAAACGGCCACACAGAGCAGGCGGATTACAGATGTGTTTCAAAAGGGTGACCTGTAAGATCTATGATGTCAAGCTGGAGAAAGAATGCTTACTTGAAATAGGTGGTTCAAGTCCGGTGACATGCTACGGCAAGACGCCGAAGGCCGCGTCTACTTTGTCGATCGACTAGGCGATACGTTCCGCTGGAAATCCGAAAACGTTTCTACCAATGAAGTCGCGGACGTGATGGGCACATTTCCTCAGATTGCTGAAACGAATGTATACGGTGTCCTTGTGCCGGGTAACGATGGTCGAGCTGGCGCAGCCTCAATTGTCATGGCAGACGGCGTGACAGAGTCGACATTCGACTTCGCTGCCCTTGCAAAGCACGCCCGAGATCGGTTACCGGGTTATGCTGTACCACTGTTTCTGAGGGTAACTCCAGCACTTGAATATACGGGCACATTAAAGATTCAGAAAGGACGCCTCAAGCAGGAAGGTATAGACCCAGATAAGATTTCCGGCGAAGATAAGTTATACTGGCTGCCGCCTGGTAGCGATATATATTTACCATTTGGAAAGATGGAGTGGCAGGGAATTGTAGATAAGCGTATACGGCTGTGATAAATACTATTATTTCAGCAACTTCTAGATCTAGATAAATATTATGGCTTCCGAGGATTCGAGTTTTACCTGCGTCGTGATTTTGATTCCAAGACATATTTGAGAAAAGAGGCACGTGCGTGAGAACCCTGGTTCTGTTCCCCAGCGCCAAGACTGGGATGCCGCGGGTGGCGATCTCTGTGTTAGTCAGCTCAATGTGTTTAGATTTCCGTAACTTTGCATTCAACTCTCTCACTCAACCATCACACACCCCGCTACCCCGCCTACCGCTGCAACCTACCGCACTACGCTCATTTTGCAGTTGTAACGATCCGAACATACGCCAACACGTTTTACACCGTACTTAGACTACGCTACACACAGAATACTTTGCGCGCATTCACGACTAAACCATACGCACATCGCACACATCGACACCGACACATATACATACATAAACCATGGGCAAAGCGGAAGCCGGAAGTACAAAATGGGTTGCGAATAAGATGAAGTCGAAGGGGCTGCAGCGCCTGCGCTGGTGGTGTGAGCCCTGCCAGAAGCAATGTCGCGACGCCAACGGATTTAAATGCCACGTACAGAGCGAGAGTCATGTCAGGAACCTCCAGATTGTCGGCGAGGACCCAAAGAAGTTCATCAACAACTTCAGTAATGACTTCCAGAGGGATTTTATTAACTTGTTGCGCACGGCGCATAACGAAAAGGTGTGTAAAGCCTCTTTGGCTCTGGTAAAGCGCTGTTCAACTGACATGACCACAGTGGATATCTGCGAACAAATTCTACAATGAGTATATCAGGGATAAGGAGCATGTACATAGTGAGTAAAATCGAACCCCTCAATCTTGCGGAAACATACTAATCATCGACAGTGAATGCTACGAAATGGAGTTCGCTCACAGAATTTACAAAGCATCTTGGTCGCGAGGGAATTTGCCATGTCAAGGAAGACGAAAAAGACGGCCTGATGATTGCATGGCGGGACACCAGTGCTGCAGCGGTACAGAGACGCAACGAAATTGCGGAATTAGAGGCCGCCGAAGCGCGCAGCGGAGCCGGTGAAGACAAGATGCTCAAGAAGATGGCAAAACGTGCTCAGGAAGAAGCCGAAGCTAAAAAAGCTATCGAAGCGAAACGAGCGGCAGCCCAGGCAGCAGTACAACAACAAATTACCCCACCCGCGGAAGAAGCCTCGTCAACAGAAGGCAAGAAATCGGATTCACCGGCGGATGTGGAGAAGCAAGGGGAAGAAAAGAAAGACGGCGAGGAAGCGAAGGCCGATGCAGCACCCGTCAAATTGAGTTTTGGCCTAAAGGCAAAGGCCGCTCCAGCTAACAAGGCTGGCCTTGGACAAATGAAGAGTCAAAGCATCTTCAAACGAAAAAAGGATGATGCGTCGGAGCAGAAGCCTGTGAAGAAAGTCAAGCTTTGAGGAGGGGACCAAGCATTTCGATTTTTGTTAAGTATAGCGTGGCGTATGGAGCATTGTGATGGGATATATTGTACCAAGGACTGATACCATGGATCTGGGGTCGTCATAGCAGCAAAATAGACTACGTTTTACTCAGCCTCCGAGCTTCGCACATATGCGGTATGTCATTCGACAGATAGAGGACAGGCCTAGCTAGAGAAGCGTAATTGATTAATGGAGCATACGTGTTTTATCGCCTTGCTACTCGCACCGTCACACTAACCAACTAGTAGGCAATCGCTGTGCATGACCAGGGTGTTTGATTATGTAAGGCGGCGGTCGGCGATGCCATCAGTCATGGACCGATGGCATCGCTACTACTAGATGGTTAGAGCATCGCGTGTCCGTCATCAACCGCCTTGTAGCCACAATTGAACTCGCCATGGCGTCGCGCACACGGCTGGCAGCCACCACGGCTTCAACGCTATTACGAGGCTCGCGGCCACTGGCAAACTCGAGGATAACACCACTGGCTGCTGCAGTGACGACATTGTTGGTCCGCAGCAACTCGCACCTCAGCTCACAGTCCGCCACGAACCCGACAAGTGTCTTCTCATCGTTCGGCCAGCTGACATCTGCATCGGGCCCTCCATCGTACTTTTCCTCGTCACATAGGCGACTGCCCACCAACACTATCATTCGCTTTGTGCCGCAGCAGACAGCATGGATAGTCGAGCGCATGGGAAAGTTCAACCGCATACTGGAGCCTGGCCTGGCCATCCTGATACCCTTCATTGACCGGATAGCCTATGTCAAGAGCCTCAAGGAGAATGCCATTGAGATACCTAGTCAGAGTGCCATCACAGCCGACAATGTCACACTGGAGCTCGACGGCGTACTGTACACTCGTGTGTTTGACGCATACAAGGCTAGGTGAGTGCCGCCAGGTGTATTGGAGGCCACCAAGACACTAACGTCGAACAGCTACGGGGTAGAAGACGCAGAGTATGCCATCTCCCAACTTGCACAAACGACGATGCGCTCCGAAATCGGCCAGCTTTCCCTCGACCACGTCCTCAAGGAGCGCGCCAACCTCAATGCGAACATCACCGCCGCCATCAACGAGGCCGCCCAGGACTGGGGCGTTACTTGCCTGCGCTACGAGATCCGTGACATTCACGCGCCCGAACCCGTTGTCGAAGCCATGCACCGTCAAGTCACTGCTGAGCGATCCAAGCGAGCCGAGATTCTCGAGTCCGAGGGTCAAAGGCAGTCTGCCATCAACATTGCCGAGGGAAAGAAGCAGTCTGTGATTCTGGCATCCGAGGCTCTGAGGGCAGAGCAGATTAACATGGCAAGTGGAGAGGCTGAGGCCATCTTGCTCAAGGCCAGGGCTACAGCCAACGGTATCGATGCTGTTGCACGCTCCATTGCCCAAGGCGAAGGGGCCGCGCAGAATGCCATTTCGCTCTCTGTCGCTGAGAAGTATGTCGACGCCTTTGGCAACCTTGCCAAGGAAGGTACCAGCATTGTGGTTCCTGGTAACGTGGGTGACATTAGCGGCATGATTGCCAGTGCCATGGCAGTCTACGGCAACGTCAGTGCCTCGCAAGCAAAAGCCTCCAAGTCGGTCGAAGGTGGGCGAGCCAGCACACAAGCTAGCGAAAAGATTAAAGAGCTCCAGAACAAGTTGAACAATGTCGAGAGCGGGACTAGTGAGGTGCACAGTGAGATCAACAAGGCCATGGACCAGAGGTTGAACAACAGGTAGTCATGAACAGTGGCTGAGGGGAAGAGAAGAGGTAGAATGGGAACGCGATACGATTGTACATTACACCAAGCTGTATGACTAGCACGGCCCAGGAAACGATTGCATCAGGGTTATTGGATACGGGCCATTTGAAAAGCATTGCCCCGAGGAGGTCTTGTTTCCTGCATCAAGTCTTTCCATCCCTTTGTATATTAATAAGGAATCGCAAATAGCCAATCAACATGACTTGAAAACAAAGCCCAGTCACCACCTAGTGTATGTTTTCTTTTTTTGGTTGTCTAGAGATATATTAGTACACTTGACTCTAACTTTTACTCTACTTCCCGCCCAACCGTTGGACCACCTCGGCAACCAGTGTAGCAATCTGTCTCCCATCCTCCCAAATCTCATCATGCCCGCCCTTTAGATCCCTCACATTAAGCACTCTCCTCCCTTCAGCCCTCACCTCATCCTCCTCATCCCCAGCCTCCATGACAATACTCCAGCCCTGCCGATCCAGCGCCACACACATGACATCGCGCTGGGCGCGCTCCACAAGCTCATCCTCATAGCTATGGCAAATAAGCAGCAACCTACCGTCTGGCCACTGCTCGGCATTATATTTCCCCGATACAGGCGACGCGGCCAGCAGCGCCTTGTCGTCTGCGTCTGGGCCAAAGGCATGACCGACGAAAGCGCGGTAGATGTCTGAAATATGCTGCGGACACGCGGGCGGGGCGTGGTTGCGCAGCAGCAGCGGAATGTTGTATATTCCCTCGAGCAGCACCAGGGCTTCTGGGCCGGTGGGCGGCGCCGCCGCATCGGGGTCCTCGTCGTCTGCGGCGCCGATGCCTGCAACGAGCTGTGCGAGCATGGTTGCGCCGCACGAGTGGCCGACGCCGAGCCAGCGCTTCATGCCATGGTGTTGCTGCAGGAAGCGCAGCGCGGCGGCGACGTCGCGGACGTGCGTGGGGTGTTTGGCGGTGCGGTCGGCGTCAGAGGGCGTGCTGGGGTGCGTGGGGTGCGCGGGGTACGGCGAGAGGCGGTAGTTGAGGCTGGCGATGCCGGCGAGGGAGGCGAGTGTGGTGGAGTGGGTGCTGCTGAGGTGTGAGAGGAGAGGGTTGATGCAGGTCGAGTCTTGGAGCGGGTCGTGCCAGGCGCCGCCGTGCAGGTAGATGAGCCAGAGAGAGGGTGAGGGTGCGGTTGGGCTGGGCGTGGGAAGCCAGATGTCGAGGGTGCGGAGGCGGCTTGCGGGGGTGGTGTAGGGCAGGGAGCCTAGGTGTTTGAGTGAGGGGAAGGCTGACGCCATTGTGGAGGGAGGGGGGTTTGTTTTGTTTTTCTTTTCTTTTCTTTTTTGGCTGAATGGCTGGAAGAAGGAATTGAGAACGGGGAGCGAGGAAACGGTCTTGTGGGGTATATTTTTGCGCGAGAGCGAGGAGGTGAAGTTGCTACACATCAATGTTCGGTTTGGCGTACGCTAATCTCAAGTCTGCAGCTTTAGCAAAAAGTTTCCTGTCACTCTAGAGTCTCACTAGATTTGTAGTAGGTAGTAGTGGATTGTTTCAAATGTTTTTAAGATTTTGGTAATGGGTGTTTGTCTCTCCAACTATACGACAACAGTATAATCTCAAGAACCGAAACCCCCCCAAGCGGCGTAAGATTTACCACATGGCTCATTCAATTGCCTCATGATGTTTTTCCCTCCACCGTCAAATAACAGACATTACAAAAAAACTGGTTTCCAAAATTTCCCATGCAAAAGCACATGCCAGTGCTAAGAGGGGTGCGCCAAGTAGCGTTTTCGGGGTAAGAAAACGACATGCTAAGGTATCTTTAAGGGCATTACTTCCGAACATGATCAAAACATCTCTCTCTCCCCAAGAAACAGAACTGATAAACAAATCGTCAAACGCGTCTGGTTGGAGAAGAGCGTTTACAGGAAAGCGGCCATGAAGGCACCGAAGCCCATAAGGCTACCGGCAGCAACCTTAACGTTGGAGGCAGCGCCAGTGGAGTCGGGGCGGCCGCCGCTGCCAGTAGCAGAGGCACCGGCGCCAGAGCCAGAGCCAGAGCGAGATGCGCCAGAGCCGGAGCCGGAGGCGCCGCTGCCGGTAGCATCAGGGCCGGAGGCGGTGGTGGAAGGAGCCAGGACGACAGTGGTGCTGTTGTTTGCGCTGACGGTGACGGTGCGGGTCTGGTTGACAGCGGAGCCAGTGCCAGTGCCGCCGAGGGTCAGGGTGTAGACACCAGGGCCAACGGCGGGAATGTTGGCGGGAAGGGGCTGAGAAGTGACAACAGCAGGCTGGTTGGTGACGGGGTTGGGCTGGTTGGCAATCGAGGTGTCAACCGGGGGCATGCCGGTAACGACGCCCAGAGAGTTTGTCTCGGTCGTGAAAGAAGTCTGGGGAAAAGGGTCGGCAGACGAGGAAGAGTCCTATGGTAGTCATGTCAGAACCACAAGGCTGGGAATTGTCGCAACGCAAGCAGTTGAGCGTACCTGAGCGGAAGCAAGGGCAAAAGCCACGGCGGAGACGAAGATGGAGGCACGCATTTTGGTGGTGGTGGCGGCTGATATTAAGTAGGCGTCTCTTTGAGCGATTGGAATTGACGACAAAGGTCAAGTTTGCAAGTAGCGATTCAGACGAGTAGCGACTGGAGCGAGATGGGATGAGCAGGAAGAGAGTCGTCGTCAACGCGACGCGTCCTCCTTTTATTGCCGCTGTTCTCTTCACCCGCTCCTAAGGAACAGGCATACGAGCCAACGCTAGCCCGAGAGGCCCGCGCCACCCTGACCAGGCGACCAGGCAACCCGCCAGCCCCACGCTAACCCCCAATCGGCCAACGCGCGCCCTGACAAGCTGTGAGTGGCCGGCACAGCCAATAATGGCCCTGTTTGGTGGCGACCATGTTTCGCGTCCGTTGTGGCTGCGGAGATAATTTTTTTTTATTGATTTCCCACCGTTCTTGCAGACGCGGATCGCGACCTGGGCCAATATCGGGCCATGCTACTCACCTCCAAGCAGCAACAATGCTATTGTCCTGGGCGGCGGCAAAGGAAGGAATCGGTGCCATTGTCGTCGCAGCATCTCGGCCCAAACAAGGAAAACAAAAAATGGCAGCTCATGGACGACTGGCTGTCAGGCGCGCCTCTAGTGCTGACCAGCCCAGCCTCATCCCAAGTTTCAGCAACCCGCTCGCCATCTTCCAGCCTTCTCCCAGCACCAGCGTCGTGCGGTGAGGTGTGGTGTGGTGTGGTGTGTGGATTCCCGCAGAAACAAAACGCATGCTGTCGTCATGTCCCCCGTCAAATGCTGTGCCGACCCCGGCTTCAGCCTCTCCACTTTTGACATGGCAATTTTTCAATGCTCGACCCTCCGCTGGCCGCACTGGCACTCGTCAAACGGCGCGCGCACCCCTTTGTCCTTGGTTTCCCCAATCGAGTCGAGTGCTCTGACTAAGTACTTACACACAGGCCCTGCGGTCCGTCACGTGCGCCATCGATAAGCTTGCCGGGCGGCTGCTTGTTTTCAGCCCTTTGCAAGACTGACTGACCCTTCCTTCTTACTTTCTTACTCACTCACTCACTCTCACCCACCCATCGCATCCAGCATATGCAGTACCCGCCAGTCGTGGCTGGCCAATATCGCTTGTTCAATCATGGCAAACACACGGCATTACGCGTCCTCGGAAGCTGCTGGGCTCTAAAATTAGGCCCGACAGCATCATCTCGTATGGCTCTCGTAAATGTGAGCGAGTGGATTACGCAGGGCCGCAGCCAAGGGGCTGGAGCGGCACCCGGGACCCGTTTTGGCATGGCCTCGGGTTCGCTCCAGGCAAAAGGTGGGCGGCATGCCTGTCCGCGCCCTCGACAACGGCTGAATGGGGTCCTCGTCTTGGCCCTGCATGGTCTCCTGAGCGACACCTGCACTCAGTCACCGCACACCGTCTGTTCAACTTGGTCGCCCTGCGGATCGCTGCTTGTTGTTTGCTGCGTAGCAAAGTGTCGGTCAACTACGTCCAAACTCTATCAAGCACAACACCACACATGTTCGAAACAGAATGGCTGCGTCGCCTGGATTGAGGCTGGCCAACTAGCCTCCACTAGTGGCGCTTCCCAACCTCACCAGCCCGCTGCCCGCCCGCAGCTCTCTACGCCTGTCTCACAAACGTTACATCGGCCCTCGCCTCAACGCCGTCTGATTTTCCCATCATCATCTCCATCTCATCCGCAGCACATCTCTTGACACCAACGTGACATTTACAGCCAGATGACGTTAACAGACAGACACATGAGCCTCCTCGGACAGAGACGGCGTGTTCCAAATCCGCGCTTCCATTTGATCACTCATCAGCTGGAATGGTAGCTTACCACACAGTCTTCTCCCACACTCGCCCATCTCCATCCCATGCTCTAGCATCCAAACGAAACTCCATCCTCATCGTTACCAAACCACCACAGTCTATCTTACGTTTCCCATTCCTTTTCCCCACCTCAACAGCACACCCAAGCTCTTTCCTTTCCTTTACCTCTTGCGTCTGTCGCATCAACACGAAAAACCCCCACGTCTAGCACCATCCCCTATGCCCACACAATAGTCCCTCAATCCCAACACATCTCTCTCCAAGTAATATCCAACAAATATTCAAAATCGCGATCCATACCCTCTCCCCCTCTCATCAAATTAACAGATCATGCGCACAGACGAACCCCAGGTCATCAGATCTTCCCCACACAAAAAAAGCAAGTCCGGATCGCTAAAAGAGGGAAACGATACGATCAAGAGGGGCCTTTGCCGAGGAGTGATTGCGTTAGAGTACCACAGAATGCAGCAGAGTGATGCACAGTATCCCTGATTTGCAAAATGCCTGATGAGAATTGAGCAATGTGAAGGTTGAAAGAAACAAGAAAAAACAATCTTGGACACCAGACTGTCAACGTTCCAGCAGTCGTTTTACGCCGAAACATCTGGGGTTCTGCTTCTAGTATAAGGAAACATGGGAATTGTATGTTTCCCATTATTCCCTGACACGGATATCTCAAGCAGAAACGCATGATTCTGTATGCATATTGAAGCTTTGGTCTTGATTTCGTTCCAGTTTCACTTGCTTCTCTTTTGGTTTCAACGAAGAAACGACATGGAAACACAATTCGTGATATACATTTCTGCAAGGCAAAATAGCCCGCCTGAGCATGGATACACCCCATCCTCACGAGCCAAATGCCATAAAGAGAGAAAAGAAAAGAAGAAAACACACACACACACACATTAAACTGGAGTAGAGAAAAAGGAGCTTTCTTCCCCAATTCAAGATGCATGGCTATTCTATTACAAAGGGAGGGGGTATGTGAATATCTAACAACTGCCCCAAACCCTAGATCTCATCCATCCCCCTTTCAAACCTGGTGAAGAAGAAAAAAAATGGGCGTATACGACAACGCGCTCCTTTTACTTTGTGACAACAAAACAACGAAAACAACGACACAAGGGCACCATGACCTCACATGACAAGTTGAACACAGAAAAAATCTTCTTCATCTTCTTTTAGTTGAAGGGGGAGAGGAAAAAAAGGACAATCCATCTCTGCACGAAAAAAAAACACTACATCAACGCAAAGACCAAAAGCTTTTTTACTCGCTATCCTCGTCAGCAAGCAACTTTGCGTAATCATCTGCAGAGGCAAAAGTAGGCAGACTCTTAAGCTTGCGCTTCTTGCTCTTGCGGCCATCCTTTGCGGCACCTTCATCCTCGTCGACGTCAAGATCAACGGGGACATCAGCATCGCTATCCATGAAGGCGTCTTCGTCATCGAGATCGAAATTGGCAAAGTCGTCGTCGTCGTCATCATCGTCGGCGTGCTGACCACGCCTGTCGGCGACTTCTTGGTCGTCTTCATCGTCGTCGCTACCGAGATTCAATTCGACGCCGCCGTCCATGCCGCCTGGGCCCTCGTCGTCATCGCTCATCATGTCGTCCATGTCGAAGTCGCTGAGATCGTCGTCGTCGCCGCCGTCGCCCTCGACTTCGGGCCTGCTCTTGACGAGGGCCTGCCAGATTTCTTCGTCGTCAGCGCTGTCCTCGCTGTCGTCTTGCTTGCGGTTCTTCTTCTTCGTCTTCTTCTCCGCCTGCTTGGCCTTGCCTGCTTTCTCAAAGTACGTGTGGAAGAAGACTTCGTCGTCGCGCACGTCGTCGACCTTGCGCCGCCAGAACTGCTCAGAGTTGAGGGGGTCGTGTGTCCGGTCGCCGTCGCGCGTCGTGATGAGGTAGGATGCTGCTTTGGATGTGCCGGCCATGGGCTGCATGATGGATGTGCCGTGGATGCCCGATGACTTGGCCTTTGCGTTCTTGAAGGAAAATTTGTCCAGGAAGTTCATCAGAGTGTAGATGGTTGGGTCGGGCTTCTCCTTGATGGGCTCCTGGTTGACAATCTTGGACGCAAGCACATGGACCGAGGGGTGGTAATGTGCTTGCAACGGCAGCAACTCCCATAAGCACGACAGGTCAGCTCTTGCGTGTTCTGGGTCTCGTTTTCGGGAATCGTAGGCTGGCGCTGTAGACTTGTCCTCGCCCTTGTTGGCTGTCGGTTCCTTTTCCTCATCAACATCCTCATAGTGTTCGTCGCCGCTGTCATCACCATGGTCTTCTGGTGTGGATAGCATGGACTTGATGCTCGGGAAAGTGTTGATCAACTCGTTTACAAGATACAAGACTCCGCAAATAAACGGAGGCTCATGCATGTGGATGGTCTGGAGTAGACGCTTCACAAAGGCCTTTACGCGCTTGATGCTCGTGTCAGCCTTGAGCGACCTGTATAGCAAGTTCAAAAACATAATGTGCTTTGAAGTCGTCATGAGACGTGGATCCAGCAGCGACTCGTACAGCGTACGGTAGAAGCGGTCTGCGGAATAATGCTTCGTGGCCGAAATTTGCTGGATCAGAGTCATGGCCTGGATACTCGTGTTGAAGTTGGAAGAGTGCGTCACTTCGAAAATCATGTTCAGCTGGTCCTCAAACTTGGCGTCGTCGGTTTTGGCAAAGGGAAATGCGCGGTTGACGCCCGTCAAGATTGCCGAAATGAGCTTCTCGCGTGACTCGTCCTCGACTTTGAAAGCCATGGTAGCCGCCTTTTCGGCCTTTTGCCTGGCCATCTTGCCGGGTTTTCCACCACCTCCTTGGATGAGCCCATGCTTGTTCAGCCGCTTCTCCTCCTTTTCGTGTTCCTTTTGCTTCTTCAGCAGGCCCAAGAAGAGACTAAAGTAGATTTCCAACAGCTTGTTGGCTACCTCGGGCTCCTTCAGGCTGAGAACGGTCTGATTGAGGGTGATGACGGCGTAGTATTTGGCGATTCCACTCTGGTTCGGTCGGAAGAGCAGATCGGATTCGATGGAGCTAATGATGACGTTCTTCATGAGCGGGTGGGTGTTTTGCAGCTGGAGCAGCAGATACGAGGCCCTGGATGCAACCTTCTTCTCCTTGTCTCCTAGTTTGTTGATGAGCAGTCGCAACAGATTTTCTTCCTGTTCTGGTTTTTCCTTGAGGAGCTCCCAAACATATGTGACAGCGCGGTTGCGCGAAAACTCAACCTCATCATTAGACCATGCCTCGAGAATCTTGAGCAGCTCAAAGTATTGCTTCTTTAGCCAGTCCTCAAACGCCCACACAATCAAATGCGTTTTTTGCAGGCTACCAGGAAGCTTCTCGCCCGCTTTCCAGTGCACATTCTTTCCCTGAATGGCGGAGAGGAGAGCTGGCTGTCGCGCAAACGCCTTTAGCTTTCGGTCTGGAGGAAGGAGGACACCCTGGCCAAGCAAATCCTTTAGCGCAGCCAAAGCCTGCATTGCGGCGTTCCTGCTCTTTTTCTGCGACAATCCCATGAGCTGGCCAAAAGCCTTTTGCGTGTGCAGTGGCGACTCTTGGACCAAGAGCGTCAGGGCTGACACCTTGTCCTCCATGGTACCAGAGTCCATGACGGTGGCCATGAACTTGTGCGACGAGTCCTTTGCGAGGTGCGAGGCTGCATACTCCTTGGCCTCTGCGTCGAGCAGCTGGACGGCATAGTCGTGGAGCGCATCGATGATGTAACGCGGCGGGATGGTGGGATTGTCGATGATAGGAAGCTCTGGAAGGTCAATGGCATGCCATTCTGGCTGCGGCTTAATCAGCTGTTTCACGTTAGCATGGCGATACAGTATAGATGGATTTTCTCCAGGGCGCATACAAGCTGCGACTGTGCGTGCGGCTTCTTCTGGTCCTTCTTGTGCTCTTTCTTCGCGCTCAGCCGGCCCTGCTCCGGCTCGGGCTTCGCAAAGCCATCCTTGGTCTCGGCATGGGTTCGCTTCTTCCCCATTTGATGTCTTTGGTGTCGCGCGCGGAGCAGCTGCAAGGTCCGTCAGAGAATTTCCTCTGACCCGTCACGACCGCAAAAAAGATGGCGGCGCTCGCACGGCGATGAGTCGAGAATTTGAAGATTCTTGGCACGCTAGCAGTGTGCCCTAGCGCGGGTGGGGCCCGTCATTGTGCAGCACATCATCAGACCCTGTCGGCAGCGGAATATGCCAAAACACCACCCCCCGTGACTCAGCCGTATCCCCAAATTAAGAATGCGTGTATTGGCCCGGTCAGACAGCATATAGACACTGCCATTGACACGTGTCCCGACAAATACACGTCCATCTCATCACCACCACCGACCCTCTGCCCCGCCAGCCTACCCCGCCGGCGAGCAAATCATACCAATTCGCCCTACCATGGCTCCCGACGCTGCCAGCGAGGACCAGAAGACGTCCATCACGCCCCTCCTCAAACGTCTCTGGCATGAGTCACCCACCACCAAGCCAACCGCCGACGAGATTGCAGCTGCACTCGCCTTGATCTTTACAAACAGTCTCTCAGAGGTCCAGACAGGCGCATTATTAACATGTCTCCACTTCACAGACCAGGACAGACAGGCCGATGTGCTGGCAAAATGCTCTAAGGCTATGCGTGACTTTTCAACCGACGTGGATATCCAAGGCTTGCAAGAGCTCATTGCCAGACGAGGAAGGAAAGAAGGGAACTACCACGGCGGCTTGTGTGACATTGTAGGCACAGGAGGCGACTCACACAACACATTCAACATCAGCACGACGTCGTCCATTCTGGCAAGCTCTCTCCTCATGATTGGAAAGCATGGCAACAAAGCGTCTACATCGCGTTCTGGCTCGGCAGATCTCCTTTCCTGCACACCACCAAAGGCCCCTGTCATCACCGCCGTTACCCCAAACACCATCCATGAAATCTACTCACAGACCAACTATGCCTTTTTGTTCGCCCCCATCTTCCATCCTGGTGCCAGGCATGCCGCTTCTATTCGGAAGCAGTTGGGCTGGCGAACCATCTTCAACCTCCTTGGGCCTCTGGCAAACCCCCTGCACGAGCTGATCGAGGCCCGGGTGCTGGGTGTAGCCAGGAAAGAAATTGGGCCAGATTTTGCAGAGTCACTTAAGCAATCAGGGTCCAAGAAGGGCATGATTATCTGCGGTGACGAGGAACTTGACGAGCTATCGTGTGCTGGACCAACTCACTGCTGGCGCTTAGTTGAGAATGCATCGACAGGCGAGGTCGACATCAACTACTTCACCGTTAGCCCTGCCGACTTTGGGCTTCCTGAGCATCCTCTTAGCGAAGTTAGCCCGGGTCAGTCCCCAGAACAGAATGCCACAATTCTCATGAAGATTCTGAACGGCGAGGTCCCACCTGACGACCCGATTCTACATTTTGTCTATATCAACACGGCAGCCTTATTCGTAGTAAGCGGTATCTGTGATGCTGATACAAGTAACATGGGCGAGGGTGATGACGGTAATGTCATCAAAGAGGTTGGGCCCGGTGGCGGACGCTGGAAGGAAGGTGTCCGGAGAGCAAAGTGGGCAATCTCGAGTGGAGCGGCATACAAGGAGTGGCAAAAGTTTGTTCAAGTTACGAACAGTGTAGCATAGACTTTTGAAACACTCAAATATACATGTGAAGTTTGAAAATTCACAACTGACATGTAAAATTGGGTGAAGAACTATTACGACAAAGTCAGTCAATGCAGGGTGGATATGGTTGCCTGCTCACTTTCAGCTTGGTATCCTCCTGGTAAAGTTTGTTGATACTCTTATTGGGAGTAGGATGCCAAGTGCCCAGTGAATAAATATTACTGATTGAACTGTTGCTATCTGTTTCGCGTCTTGAGTAGCTGATTATTGTGTCTTAGAAAAGTATGGTAGATAGTGTCTCGACCTGTCTGTGTTTGGCGTCAACAAATAAAAATACTCAATCAATACTGAAACGTATTGATCTAGAGTGTCCTAGATACCATCACGTTTGTATATCTCCACCGAATTTCTCCCCTTCTAACCACAAAGGTAACAACCAAAATATTGAAGGCAAATTCAGGATTAAACTAAATTCCTTTTGATGTTCCGATTTGTAAAGAGGAGATTTTCATTCCAGTCATAGTGCCGAAGAAGCTTTTTTTGTTATCTTCTTCTGGCGGATACCTGGACCAATCTCAAAGATAAAAACACTATGTATCTAGCGACTTCAGAGACAAATAGTATAGGTTAATATAACTCATTTATAATTTTGACTTTGCTTTCTGTAAGATGTTCTACTCGTACTAGAGAGAGAAAATATCAGATAGATGTCACAGCAGCGGGTTGCTAGCAGATTACAACTAAACATATGCTTGTGTTAGTCACAGTCTGTGGTCTGTCTGTATGATTCCAATCACAGTACAGTGAAAGCACTTCGTACATGTCTCTTTCTAATATTTCAAAAGCTTGTAAGCGCTCTGTTGTAAGTGTTAGACCTAATGGAGGTGTGCCTAATGGGCATATACTCGTTAAGAGGTGTGTTTTTAGTAGTATTACTAAACAATCTTTTAGGGTTCAACAGGGTCTCGCAGAAGCCCACGCAAATACTTTTACTGTCTACTTTAACTAAAAGATCATTTTTAATACCCAATTCTAGCAAGTTGGGGTGTGGCCTGCTATTGTTTTCTGAGATAATTGATCTGATACGCTACATAGCAAACAGAGAGAAAAAAGGTCAAGCGTAAGTATTGCAAGTCGTACATAGTATTAGCTAAGCAACTTGAAAATTCGCATTCGCTTTTTCTTCAAAGAAGGATACCTTCGGAACACCTCTGAAGCTTATAAATTGGAAAGAAGACTGCTACTGCAGCTATGCATTATGCGTGTCTGCAAACTCAGGATGCCTTATTATACTGTACCCATGAATTATGAAACCAGAATTTCAAAGACATTGTTCTGCTGTCGTACCCGAATTGGGTATCTGATTCAATACAGATGAGATAGTTTGCGTATGTGCAAGGTAACATATATCGCACGGTTACAACCAGGGCCGGTGCCCTGGAAGTATCGATAGTGTCAAAAAAACCATCCATACAAGTCAAACGTAAACATTCATTTATGGGATTGGAAATGGTACGGTACATGTCTCGGAAGGCCAGAAACGACTCGGAATATCAACTCCAAAGTATTCTCACCCTGTCAGACATCCCACACCCTGTACATACCGAACCATATTCAGCATCAAAACCGAACCGCCAGATTTTAACTTTCCTATCACTCCCTCTTACAACCCCAAGCAAAACTAGCCCCTTGGATTCCTTGCTCTGAAGAGTGATCAACCACTCTCCCATCGTATTTCGCAACCCAAACCAAAACCCTTCACGACGGCCCTTCTCCGGCGCCCTTGGAAAATACTCAAACGTCATTCTTACCCTTAGACTTACCCATCTACCCTACCCATCCGTAATCCCCACAGGGGATACGCGAAAGAACGGCCCCCTCAAACGCAACCTTATTCCGCCACCGTACCCATGGGCCCCGGGGGTTGACGACTTGGGTTGAAGCCGGGATACCCTTTCTTCGTTCCATCTCGGCGCCGCTTACCCATGTAACCTTTTACTTACTCTTTCCCGTCTTTGTTCGCATTCGTTCAGCGTTTGCTTACGGAGTGCCCTTACGATGATTACCCAACCTTAACTCTTTTGCTATTCCGATGTCCCCACTTGTCTGATTCTTCCGGCCGCATGTGCTCGCCAATCCCGGCGTATAATCTTCTTTTTACTACCGGGGCCGTTGACTCCCGCTCTCACAGTCTTGTTACAAACTTACTCACCAATGACAGGCTTACCGAGGCTTGGATTTGCTCACGCAACCATGTTCCGCCCGCTTCAATTGAACCCCACCACCCGCCCGCTTAAACGCAAAACGCACAGGGAAATGCACTCATCCTAGGTCTTTGGATCTACACATATACACCTGAGAATAGAGTTGCGGGGAAGGAAAGTGTGCCGGGCGTATAAGCAGGGTTGGCAAGGCTATCTATAGCATGGGGTTGTGAAAAAAAAACACGGTAAAGTGAAGTAAAGGAGAAAAGAGAGATTAGGTTGCAATGAGATCAGTGGGGATAGCAGCGAAGAAATTGCAGATTGTGGATTTGAGGCTTGGACAGGGGCGTAGTTGGCAGAAAGAGGTACGAAGTATGATGTGGTGATTACAAAATACAGGGGAGATAATTACTCATGTTGCATGCATGTATGTATGCAACATGTAGCATCATGAAGTATACAACAATTGCTGCAACGAGCAAGGCAAAAAACTAAGTCCGATAAGGCCCATGCAAAAGATGTCAGCAATCGCAACACGGATGTGAACGCTAATTACCCATTGATTACTTTCTCAGCGATTAAGACAAAGGGAGCTAGTCGAAAGAAACCAGATCGAACCATGAGCCCATGTGAAAGAGGGAAGAGAAGAACAAGCTTGTTACCAGGTATTCGGAAGGGAATGACAGAAACAGACAGACAAGAGAGCGAAAGGAAGCATGTATCCAGCCCCCATGTCGTGATCTTCCGGGGCTCCCCATTGGCCATCGGCGACCGGCCAACATTCCCGGGGGAAAGACAAGCAAAGCACGCAAACAACGCGGACAACGCGAGAAAAAGGGATCACCGAGAAAAAAAAAAAACTTGAACCCCACAACAGTGGAAAATTAGTCAAGCAAGGCACTTCAATTTCCTACCCTCGCTCAATGCAAGCAAAGCACATGACATGTGACTCTCTCTCTTTCATGCGCGAGACTGGGGTTAGTCCAGACGTCGCCGACCGCACAGTCCCATTCTCCCATACCTAATACGCGCGAGCGAGCTATGGGCGGCAGCGTCATCGCATCACAACCCCCGAGTCAAACACCACCCCCCCCATTCCCCCATTTCAAGTAACGTTTCCCACATGCGCCCACTTCTTCCAAGTCTAGAACAAAGCAGGGCACACAAGCCCCCTGCCCAGTTTTTTTTGGGAGGGAAGGGAGGGTTTAACCCGATCTGCGCTGCCCTGCCTCGATTCTTAATGACCCCTTCCCTTTTGGGGGCTATTGAATATGTACCATGTAGGTTATGTGTAAGTATGAGCGAATAGTGGAGCAAGAGGATGCGCTCGCTTGAATCAGGTTCGAGAAAAAAAAAGGGTAAGTAGAAGAAAGGCACGCGAGGAGACCCTGCAGCTACTATACGCCGTTTTGTATTGGAAAAGGGCAAGCCACAAAATGTGTTGGCTGGCTTGCGGGAAAGGTAGGGGGAGTGGGGCGGGGATAACGGGTTTGTGATATGTAGTATGTAGTATATATTGGAGGTAGAGGATGTTGAGGAGAAGGGGGTGGTGGGGATGCTGAAACCAAGCTTCTTTTCGCTCCCGTTATTCAACGGTCTCGCGTGCATACACGCAAGGTGGAAACAAGCGAGGTGTGTAGGGGTGGGGTGATGTGTGTGTGTGTGTGTGTGTGTGTGTGTGTGTGTGTGTGTGTGTGTGTGTGTGTGTGGGCGGAGGAAATGACCGAGGAGGCGGGATGGTGGGAAGGGAGATTGCTTGGATGCCAGTGACAGGAAGGATTGAGGGCCTGACACGCGCGAATGTGAAGGAATGGTAGCTGCTACTCGCTATTTGCTCGTCGGCATGGCCAGCCCGCAAAAGATGGGACATTAAGGCTGACCAGCAGCTAGAAAAGAAAGGAAAAAAACTCTTGTCAATGACCTGATATGAGAATTGCAAGGCGGGGAGGCGGGGAGGACAACAGAGAGATGCAACGACCATGACCAGACATCAGATGAGATGGCGCGCAGCAATCCTCCCCCACCACCAACTCGCCTTTCTTTCTTTCACAAGGAGTGCACGAGTAATTGTTCAAAGCAAGCAAAAAACTTGAATCAAGATACTTTCGGACTTATTATTCCAAGGAAAAAACGCATACAATCGAAGGAATGGCTGGTGTGCGCATCGATCGAGGGCCTAAAAAAAAAGTCCAAAAGGGGACCCGTTGTGCGAGTACGAGGCTGAGAAAGTAGGAATAGATTCGGTGTGTTTAGTAATAAACTGGGGTGCGCGCGCTTGTGTGTCTGTCTCTTGGTCCAAAAGGAAAGATAGCCGCGTGCGCTGTGCAGCAGCAACAACAACAACAACAACGTACTGCGTAGTAAAAACAAGCAACTTCAACCCATGAACTGTTTCACTTTGCCCGCTGTACAATCATGCATGGCTAGTCCAGCTCAGCCCCATGATTCCGAGAAAAAAAAATCATATAAAAAAACAGGATTTTTGAAGATGAGTTTTAGGAGGAAGGTGGGGGGGTTGGGCAAAGTTGACGAAGCGCGGGGGAAATGATGCCAGTGAACCAGAGTTCACAAACGCATACAAAAGGAAAAAAGGTAAAAAAAAGGAAACAAAATCAAAAAAAAATAGACTAGAGATGGAGGGAGCAAGTACAATGGCGTATTAGTTCACCAAACCCAGTACCGAACCAAACAAAAAAAACAGTTCATCAACCACAACAGGCACACTCGCCCACACCAGGTGCAAAAAAAGGCCAATTGATTATTCCAACATTGCGTTTACGCTCATGCCTGGAAACGGACAAAACACATAACCTACCAAGTGGTTCAAGAAAATAAAAACAAGATACTTTGTAGCTTTTGCTTTTGTTCTTCTTCTGTTCTCGCCATGTTTTTTTGGGCAAAACCAACCGCCGCAAAACATGGGGTTTGGGGGGATTGCATGAACCCGCATTTATGAGTCGGCAGCAGCTCCGTCCTCTCCCCCCCCCCCCCCCCNCTTCTCGCAATCAAGCGCGAGGGAGGGGGTTGCATGAAGTGTGGTTGATTACAAAGGGAGATTCGTATCTCCTCGCATAGAGTTTAATGAGAGAGAGAGAAAAAAGTTGAAGGGGAGGGCTTAAGCGACAATTTCGGAGTATGGACGGAGTTCCGATAGGGCAAATGGGGGGAGGGCATGTTAGTTGGAGCAGGAGAGTGGGGGGGAGATTTGGGGGATTTTGGAGAGAGGGGAAGGATCAGGTTTACACTAGACAAGGCGTTTGTTTTGGTGTTCTTGGTTTCTCGGCCAAACAAGGCAATTGGTGATGGCGGGACGAGAGAGGTGGATAGAAAGGTGTGCTGTGGAAAAACCACTAGTTACACCGGGGATCAACATCCGGGATGGGGGAGATGCAAGTCAATGAAAAATTGGTTTACTACTGGACATGGAAAACTGGTTTTGAGTTGCAAGTGTTGAGGGGCATAGTAGGGTTAATGGGAAAGCAAAGCCCGCCCCCCCCCCCCAAAAAAAAACTTGGCAGAGCGTGGCTATTTCCCCCGCTTGTTCGCTCGGGAATAGTAGGTAGACGTGATTGTTGGTAAAGGGAAAAACAAGAAGTTGCATACTTGGAGAAAAGAGGGCAAGAGCCAAAAAAGAGAGAGAGAGTAGCTCCAACAATCCAAGTTGGTTCCCACGTGGATCTACTCTGCGGTAGCGTCAGCGGGGATGCGGGATAAGCGTTCATTCTTGGGGATGACACAGCAAGCAAGCAGGCCCGGCAACGGTCGGAAACGTCTGGTGGGAACCTGTTCCGTTCATGGTTGACGAATGGCCGGGGGGTGTTCGAGGTGGGGTCCGAGCTGACAAGTACCAGCCGGCAGCGAGCTCCGCGGGCGTCGTGTGCGGCTGGCTGGCTGGCTTGGCCGGGCTGGGCTGGGCTGGCAGCCTCGCAGCAACAATAAGGCCCATGTTGCATGAAAAAATGCGCCACCCTTGTTTTTTTTTAAGTCGTTTGGTCCCATTTATTTCCGCTTCCTTTCTAGGTTGGATGTGTAGAGATGTGCACCATAATCTTGGTTAAAATATAACTTGGGACGGAAGGCGTCAATAGCGCGCGCGTCAATGCAACACAGTTTTAAGTTTGAAGCAACACACAAGAAAAAAAACCCCCGCCGTAGTGCAAACGGGGTAGGGGAAGCGATCTTCCGTCTGCTAGGGCCAGCCAATGACGGTTGGTGCAGATGCTTTCGCTCTCGCAAGAGGGTCCGAAGATTGTCGGAACGGTTTTCTGTGGCACTGAAACACAGCTTGGAGGCTTACCCTCTCTATGCAGCTATACACGACTAACATAGAGCTAATGGACATAACGCGCGTACCCCTCGCGACAACTCATACGACAAAACATGCAGCACATGTGGATATTCATGGGGATTATGCTTGTTTACTGTTGTTCGTTGTCGCAAACAATTGATGCCAAAAACAACTTTACCGAGAACAGCTCAAGGGTCCGTTCTCTCTTTCTCGGCCCATTTACCAAGATTCGAGCACCCCCCCCCCCTCCTTTCCCAAAAAAAGAAGCAAAAGGATGTCACAACATGATCAGGCATGCAAGTATAACTATATGTGAAAATACGGTATGTTTCCCGAAAATAGCCCAGGGTCTGTCGCAAGAAAAAAAATAAGAAGAAGAAGAAGAGTCGATTCAGAGGACAAGGTTTCTGAAGCCGAAAGCGAGAGAAAAGATGATAATAATCATTACAAAGTGGGCGGAAGCGGAGGGGGTGTGTGTGAGTGTGAGGGGGAATTGGGGCGCGTGCTTGCCCAATGGGCTTACTACTATCAGGCATTGCCGAAAGACCAAGGGACCATGTGTGATGTGTATGTACGAGGGGCGATGCGAGCAATAGCGTATTCGCAGAGTTAGGAGTTAGTTTATCGGACTTGAGCGTCCAAGGCTGATAATAAACGAGAAGATTCAGGCTACTCGATAAATAAACGTCGAGAAGGGGGGAGGGGGGATTCGCAGTGGTTGGCTGCATGAACACCATGCCGGATGGGTAGCCCGTGGTTGTGATTTGGTCTGTCTCAAGGCATGTGGCGCCCTGAAGAGATCGAGATCGGAAGTTGATGCCAAGGCCCAGAAATGCTCGTCTGGCGCAGGAGCAATTTTTCCTCTGCAAATAAGCCGAGTGGATCCGATGCAGCGCTTGTGGCGCAAAGTTCAATGACGTAGCGTGTCGCAGAGAGATCGAGATTTGCACGCACACTGCCGGGGCCTTGATTCAGAAACAAACAATGGTGGAAATGGCTAGCAAAGCATGTGTCCCAAGGGCAGGCTCGTCGGGAGGTCCAAGTGACAAAAGATATGGTTATGGGGGGGTGTGAGTGGGATCAAGAGGTGCCGGCAGCTTTTGCGCTTGTTCATGCAGCAGAGGGGATCGCATATGCAGGGTCTATGTAGAGGATGGAGGAATGGACGGATAGCTGAACAGTGGTTGCGAGATTGCGCAAGCGAAGACGCATCAAAGAAGCAATCTAGGTTTCACGAGATGCTGGGCAATCGCATCGGGAGGGCGATTGACGAGGGAAAACAACCATCGAGGGTCCTGCTACCACGGTAGAGGGCCATGACTAACCCCGCGGACGAGGGGACAGGGCAGCAAGAGCAGGTAGCAACATGGCATACCATGTACGTATACTATCATGTACATGCAAGCAAGGCAGGCAAAGCAAAGTGCACGTACATAGTAGAGTTGCTGGGGAGTAAGTAATACTTGGACACGTATGTACACCGCATTGTCCGGCATGACCACGAAGATTGTACAAGACACATGGAAGAGCGGGAGGATCGCGATGCATCGGGGAGAAGGAAGGGGCGGTCTTACACGTGGACCGGAGGCGGCTCTGGTGACGCGAAAGAGACTTTTTTTTTTCCCGCTCTCTTTCTTGCATCTCAGGCGACGGGAAAGCGGAGGGCGGAGGCCGGAATGGCAGGATTGCGGTGTCGGCGTGGACAGGGCGGTGGGCATCAGGGCATCGCGGGCTGCTGTTTTGGGAGTCGGCAGGTGCGCAGGGACGGGGGCAGTGGGTAGCAATGACATCAGCGTGTGTAAGAGATAGCGAGGGCCCGGGTCAGGCGGCGGCGGGAAAGGGGGACTTTGGCTGGGCCCTGCATGGCGCGGTGGTGGGCGATGGAGGGAGGGATCGCGATGGCAGCAGCGGCAGGCGCAGAGAGTTGGAAAAGGACCGGATGCAGGCTGGGAGGGCTGTGGTGCAAAAGCAACGGGGACGGGCTAGGGTGTGAGCATCAGGCCGATGTGGTGCCAAAACCCGATGAGGGGAGAGTGAGCAGGCCCGGGGTGCACGGCTACCGTTTGGCGTCCGCGTGGAGCGTGGTGGGCAGAGGGCCAGAGGGGCCTATGGGTCTGACGAGCAGGCCGGCCTAGCAGGGGCTAGTCGGGGCAGACAGCTGCTCCAGGGGCTGTGGCGCAGGAGACTGGCTGGCGGGCGGGGCGACGTCATTGGGAGCCGCACCGCCATCGATCCCCACCCGATTGCCCGATCACTGCTGAACGTCGAGCCTGGCGCTAGTCCCCGAATGGGCGCTAGCGGAAACGGCTGGACAGGGATGCGCGCGCAGGGATGGGGCAGCGGAGAAGACCCTGATCTCTGGATTACATCAGACATCACGACGTTTATGCCGCCCCGTCCATTTGGCCAGTACCGACACGCAGACCCTGGCCTGCTGGCCCGCAGAACGCCCGCCCTCCGCCCTGCTTGCACACACACACACACACGCACACACACGGCAGCCTCTGCCGCCATCGCCTCGCCCCCGAACCCATCCAGGACATACATGTGTACAGTGTGGGCGTCCCTCCATACACACAGGTGCGGTGTGGACGTGGATGCCCGTGTCGTGTCGTGTGGAATCGGCTTGTTGAGGGGCAACATGCCTGTACTGTCTGTAGTATGGATGCGGGTACGTACGTGTGTGTGGGCGCACCGTGCAAGCAACCAGAACAACAACAACTGGGAGGAACAATAGCAATAAACGGAAGAATCATCATCAGCAGCATCATCATCATCATCATAATAACAACAACACCACCCACCCACACACATGCACACACACACACACACACACACACTCCACTCATCTCCTACTCTCTCATCACACGCACCCACTGCCGCACCCGCACCCACACTCACACACTCCCTCATGCTGTTTCCCATGTAAATGCTGCTGCCCGGCAAATGCTCGAGTGCCATGTCCGAGGAGCGGCAAGCAAAAAAAAAAGAGGCGTGAGCTGGCAGGCAGGCAGGCAGGCGGGCAGGCGGGCAGGCGGGAGAGCAGTGGGAGCCCGAGGGAGGGCTGGTGCTTCCCACTCTGGCATGCCCACTGCCCATTCATCCATCCATCCATCCCATCCCATCCCATCCCATCCCATCCGCAACAGACGAGATCGCGATCTGTCGTCCTGGCACGGCACCATTCCGCCGCGCAGCATTGGCCGAGAGTTGCCCTTGGGCGGCGCCTGCTCTCGTCTGGGGTTGCTTTTGTCTTGATCGCCCGCGCTGCTGCACCTCTGCCCCCAAGCAGCCGGCTCAACAGCACAAGAAGCTTTGGGGGCGTCACCCTCGATCGCCGGCCGTGTAGCGCCATGCTAGGCGTAAGATGAGCTGATGCCACCTGGTGCTGGTGCGCATGCTTCCTGGTCGCGCGTCGCCTCGCCAGAAGCTGATCGCCGGGGCCCCTGCTCCTTCACTGCGCTAGCGTCCTAGGGCGCACTGCACTTTCCCATCTCCACGCATGCAATTCTCAGTCCCTGATAGTGCCCTGATCCCGGGTGGGCGAACCCTGTGCCTTTTGCCCTGCTTGTGCCTGCCCATTATAACTGCCCACCCACGCCCGCCCAACCGTCTGGTCCTGCTGCCAGATCCCTCTTTCCCCCCCATCCATCACCCATTACCACCCACAACCACCACTGCCTCTCCCTCACCACTCACCACTTGTTGCTCACCTTCAACCACGTCATCCATCTGGCCCTCTACCGCGGCTTGCTCTCTCTGCACACTGCTACTGCTGCTGCTGCTGCTGCTACCACCACCGCCGCTACCACTACTACTACTGCTGCTGCCCGCCTCGCCTCCGACTTTCACGTGCTTGCCTGTCTGCCCGCCTGCGCCTGCCTTTTGCTCGCTGCGTCCTGCACTGCCTTCTTTGCACACGCACCGCACCGCACCGCACAACCCCACCACATTACTGTGAATTTCATCACCTCTTCCCCCCCTCCTCGCTCCGGCACGTGTCTGCTCAAAATGGACGCCTTGTCCGGCAAGAATTCGACAGGTCGCAGAGTGTCTTTGCTAAACGACGGCCCGGCGCCTCCACCTCAACTTGTCCGACTCCCCTCCATCACTCCTTCCCTCCAGTCCCGCACCTCGGCTTATTCGTCACCTGCCGCCTCACCACCAACCCCCCGCCTGGTCCGCAGCGATTCTTCAGACTCAAACATGCAGACTCCCTCGCCCATCACGCCCGACTTTGCTTTTGAGCAGGGCATGGACTCGCCCGTCTTTTCGCAAAATGGCTTCTTCCCCTCGCAAAAGGACCTCAGCTACCCTATGCACCAGCCACAAACGGCCCCGATGCCCTACCCACCCCAGCCCGGCTACTTTAACAACAGGCCCGATCATCTCCAGGACCCGCACCACCAGCAACATCAGCAGCAGCTTTCGGAGCCATCGGCTCTTAACGCTCGCCCCAAAAAGAACAGCTACCCATGCCCAATGGCCAAGCAATTCGGCTGCAACGACTACTTCACCACCTCAGGCCACGCTGCGCGCCACGCCAAGAAGCACACGGGCAAAAAGGACGCCTTCTGCCCCGAGTGCAACAAGGCCTTCACTCGCAAGGACAACATGGAGCAGCACCGCCGCACCCACCAGACCGGTCGCAACGCTGCCAAGGGCGCCGACCGCGACATCAAAAAGGCAAAACACCAGGCCAAGCGGCCCAGGCCAGCGCCTCTGCAGTCGACAATGCCTTCGTTGTCTTCGCTCTCCATGGTCGACCCCACCCTGCCTGTCAGTCCCGCTACGGCGTCATACATGGCCCCCCCGGTACAATCGTCCGACTCCTTCCTCGACTTTCCAAACTCACAACATCGCTCGCCCTATCCCGACCCCACTCCTTACAGCTACAACCCTAGCTCGTATGGTGGTCTAGACGCCTTGGCCATTGCCGCCAGCGGAGAGAAGCGCAAGTTTGAGTCGTAATTCAGCTTTGTCATACCCCTCTCTCTGTCTCTAGTTTCAGTTCTTTTTATTTTTTTTTGTCTCACGCTTGTCATCACTTTTTCTGGTCTAGGGCACGAGGTTCAACAACCTCTGGAGCAAGGCGCTTACGGCTACGATCAGCATCTAATGGAGTTTTTTTCCTACTAAAAAAGGCCGTTTTGGAAGAAATAGACGCACGCCGTCGTGGCTACAAACGGATCTCGGCGTTTCTTTTGGCTGGGCGGTGCGATTTGCTCGCATCCATGACCTTTTCCTTACGTTTTCTTTTCGCCTTGTCATTTCCGTTGTATATACCTTTACGGAAGTCACGCCTTCTTTACAGACATGTTTGTTTTTTCTTCTTCTTTTCCTTTCAATACGGTGGTAGCGCTACCATGAATGACGGCCAATTGGGTGGATGAGGGCTTCAATCATATGGACGTGGGTTTGGAACTGATAATATGGATACCCGCCTTTTTGTTTTGCAAGGTGCACCGACCTTTGATTTTCGTCTTTGATTTTGACCACATGTGGCACTGGCCCCCGAGGACGACTGAGTGGTGTCTATTACAGACGATCTCTCTCTCCCCCTCCTCTCTGTCTGCTACTCGGATAATAGCAATGAAAACAATTACACACACATTACATGCCTCGTCCGTGCTGTCAAGGTTGCTTGGAGTAAGTAGCTGCATAGCTTTGTCAGTGCTCCCTAACGCAATGTGGCTTGGTAGTCTCAACAATATGTCTGTAACCATGGAATGGCCTCGTGGACAGATGCTCCATCAAAGTCGCCCAACTCACCCAACCAGTGCGCCAGCTGTGGCCTTGCAGACGCAGAGCCTGTGGCGCGCATGCAATAGTGACGATGACGACCGGTAATCAAACTACAGCTTGGTGGCCCGCTGTCATTCCGCAATCTCGTTACTAAGGCCATCTGCCGTCGGCTTGCCATGGTTCGCAGCGTGTCTAGCCCTTTCCTCCTCACCTGCTATCCACTCTTGGGCCACTACGCAGCGCCTCACAAAGCTTATTTTGGCGCGCTATTATCTGTGAGTCGCTGCGGCGTACACTCCCCGCAGGCTACCCAAGAACCGATGCAAGCCAACGGCTAATTCTCAACTCTTTGTTTCCAATCCCACCCTGCCCTACCGCTTGCCTGTAACTCTTACGTTGGAAAAAAAAACCCACTAGTTCGTGCAGGCCGGCTCCCCCCCCCTCAAGCAATGCAGACCCTGCAGATCGTCCTTCAACATATCGGTCGAAGCCCTGAAGATCTGCACATGAGGCCTCATTGGGCAGGCTGCTAATTCCGGTGCTTGTCATTGGTCTGCCCGCGCTGGTCGGGTAAACCAACCCCTCCAGTCCACGCATTGCTGCAACTACAACGTTTTGTATTCAAGCCTCCCCCCCCCCCCTCATTACCACATCTACAGTCAGTCAAGGACATGCCTTCAAGGAGATTACACCTGAATATGCTATGGTTGCGCCACAATACACTCTTACGGACAATAACCGACATCCCGCTACGACAGACTCAGCAATGCCCCGAGCGGTTACGCGCACTGCACTTTGGGGGCCTACCCTTGCTCACCTTTTTTTGCTCCGTTTTCTGATGTCCGAGGAACCTGTCTGGCATGCGTCTTGGGCGTTACATCATTCCGCGGGTCTGACAATATCTTGTTCATTGCTTTTGATCCTTGCTCTGTCGTTTGTCCGTCTTTGTTATTCTGCTGACTGTTCCATGTTTTGCATTTGCATGTCTATCCGGCTGCTTACGGATCTGCACGGCCTTCGGAGCGCGCCCAGCCAGAGCGAGCCCTATACGCTAAATTACAACGAATCAAGCTGACGAGCGACCGTAATCATCACCTCGAGGCTGGAACCAACTGGTATCCCTAGTCAAAATCTTGGGACCGAACGCTTGACCACTCTAGGCTTCCGCCATCCACTATGCCCTGCTTCAGCCAGGCAGCCGATTTGCATCTACGATAAGGTTTGCTGACAAGACGTCTCGATACGGCCACCACTCATACCCAAATCCTATACCGGGACGAGAACCATGAAAATCCGCATATTCACATATGCACATATGCACTTGAAATCGTGGACCCCGTGCATGCTTGCGTGTGTTGGCGGCAACCTCCGCGGCAGCAAACCTCCACAGCTGCAGCGACTGCTTACATGTACCCTTCTCGTTCCTTTTTCTTCCCCCAAAAAAGCCTCCCCAATCTTCCTCGTCGGCCCACTCTATCTATACGTAACACAATATCCGCAGATTCGCTGATCGCTGCATCTGTACAGTCCACATCTCTCTCTCCTACCACCCAAATCAAGTGCACTTGATACTCGACTACCACGGCATCCCCTGCAACACAACAGGACCCCCGCACCACTCATTCCCATTTCCTACAAGCCTCCCCGCACGTTGCCACGGTCGGCCCTTGGTCGGCGCCGGGCACGGAACCGGTTGGCATATTGTAAGACATGGCCATATCAGCCACCCACCCCCTGGCCCCGAAATAGTAGCTGAGCACGCATGGCCGTACGTAGGCGAGTTTGCGGGGAAACGACCACATCTCCGGGGGAGGGGCTACTGCTGTGCCCGTACAACCTAGCCTGGTCCATGCCTCTGGGCAAGTAAGAAATGGGGGGAGGGAAAAACGGGCTGGCAGCAGATGACTCCCGGGTCCCTGCTCTCTTTCCAGCCCCCCTACGCAGCTGATGAAACTATTCACAATCACAAATCACAGATAGTGTTAACTCTTTCAGGAAGCTACCACCCTCGACCCCGTGTGTGAAGTGGTCGAAAAGAGAACTCTCCCCTTTCCCCTACTCGCCCTTTTTTCGACAGATCTGCCTCAGCAAAGTCTTGACAACACAGGGGACGCGTAACACATGCGTAGGCAGGGCAAGCCTCGCTTATTTGCCCGTTTCCATGTCCGTAAATGATGCAGAAACCCTGTACATGCGCACTGCATTTGGTAAATAGGCCATAGTAGTACTACGTTACGCCCGTCTCAGGAAAGAGAGGACACGCAATCTCTGCTCTGCACCTCTGCACCATCCCTCCCTTTTGGGGCTATTGCTCCATTCGTCTTCGTCGAGACACAAAACGAAAAAAAAATGACAGAGCGAGTTTACGCCGCGGAGTATGAGGATGCACTTCTCAATTTAGTAACATATCAAACTCTTGCAATTACTGCTCTCATGCAAAATGAAAATTAGACGAAAACAAAAAAAAATAATCGTTTTCTCATTCTCGTCGCCATTCTCTTCCAATATTGCTCGTGTTGCTTTGACTATGTCCGTTCAATCCCAGTCGAAAAAGAATTAACTCTCCTATCACCGCATTCACGTGTCTAACAAAAACCACAATGTTGAAATCCATGTCCACCCTGCGAAATCACACGTGCCCTCTCTGTCTCTCTCTCTCTGTAAGCCAAGAAAAGGAGAAAAAAACCCTCAAGCATCATCCTTCCCACATCCCTCAATCCCGCAAAACAAGGTATCCCCTTCACCTCACTTTCACTTCCCGCACCAAGGTATCCCCTTCCAACCTCCCCTCCCTCTCGCTCTTACCCAGCTTCCGAAACTCCGAGTTCCTCGGACGCCTTGTCCTCGTTCTCGCCACACATGCCGCATCATTTACCCTTTTCCGCTACCTCTTACTAACCCTCCACCCCCCTTCCCCCCCTAAAAAGAGGGAAAAGAGAGAAAGAGAGAGGGAGCGCCAAGAATAATCCAGGGATCCAGGATCTAACCAACAATCAAAATCGAACATGAGTGGGAGGGGGGGGGGGGGGGGGCTCTCTCTTACTTTCCATCGGCCCGTTTTTTTTGATGGAGAGAGAGAGAGAGGACCCGACGGTTTGGGTCGCTGATTTGGGGGAGCGGGGGGAGAGAGAGACCAGGGGGTGAGATAGAGATACACGGATACTGACGTAAGTAGGGGAGTGGACGGAGGGTTTTGTGTATGTTGCGTATTGGGACACGAGATGTTGTAGATGGGAGGGGGGGGGGTGAGGATAGGGTTTGAAGGGGACTAAAAGATGAGTAAGGGATTAGAGAGAAGAAGAGGAGGGGGTTGTAGGTTACGAGTTTGGTATGGAGGATGAGAGGGAGTTTTTTTTTTCGTAAAGGTATTGATACGTTTCGTACTTTGTGAAAATTGGACAAAGGTCCATTACGGCGGTTTTTTTTTTACATCCGCGATAGGGAAATGATGACTACGTGATATGGAAGCTATTTTTTTTCTTTTCATTTCAAAACTTAGTCGGCACCTTGGTCATCTTTCTGTTTCCCGTCGTTTCAAAGAAAAAGAGAGAGGATCTAGATTTTTATTTTACACACATTTGTTCAAAGTCTCGACAGAAAACAATGCTGCAATAGCTCGGATAACGATAAGGAAAAAAAACTCTACAACAAACCATCTCACTTGCATCCATAAACAGCTCCGGGCAGAAAAGGACATCTCTCGGTCAGCCACCTCTTGTATTACCCTCATCCGCATCCTATATCATACCACATATACTAGAGCGACAGCGGGGAACAAGGATGAATTATCGTTTTGTGTCGCCAGTAAGACCAAAAAAACCCCCCAGGGGGAGAAAGAGAGAGAGAGGCTTACACCACGCACGTGCTTACATACATACATACATATAACATGCATAACGTACGTATCGGCAACAAGATTCGGTGCGGCGAGCGCCCCGGTGTAACAATACACCTTTTCGCGCTGTTAATTGACCCGTGTACCTTTTTCTCCTCCGTTCCTCCTTCTGCCATTGTGACGTTTTTTTCCCCCAAAAAACAAAGGGCGGGGGGAAGATCTAGAACGCTGACATGCGTTCCACACACACCTTCTTGTTCGTATCTGTCCGAAAAACCGACAGCAACACAAGGCATGATGATGGGAAGCGCAAAAGAAAAGATTGTTTGTACTCGGCATGTAGCGAAAGATTCGCAAGAGAAGACAAAAAAAGATAGAGAGTTGATTCAATTACTCGGGTATATTCCCACACGTGAACAAGAGACTCTTTCTCTCTCTCTCTCTCCCTCTTTCAGTCTTTGTTGAGACGAAAGAGAGAGAGGCACATGCACGGAAACCCCCCCCCTTCCCTTCCTTCGCTGCGGCCCGCTGGGCTTACCCGTCCAGTTGCACAGCACACACATACAACCGTACCACATGCAAGACGCAAACCCCTGGGCTTTTTCTCTCTCTCACCCCTCCACCTTTTTTTTCGAATCTCGATCTTTCTCAACACACGTGTTTGTTTTGCACCTCGGTGACCGAGATACGGGGATGACACCTGCGGTCCTTTTTTTTTTGAAAAAAATTAGCGAGGGAAGTATGGGTTGTGAGAAACCGGGGGATTGCGGATGGGGGAGAAGAAGGAGAGGGTGGGGGGGAAATGGCGTGTGAATGTGTGGATGTGTGTGACATGTGGAAAAGAGTCCCGCTTGGAGTTACCATTTTTGGTCAAACGGATACACAGAGAGAGAGAGAGAGATAGAGTGATATCGAGAGAATTGCGTTTGCAATTTCGGGTGTATTATGTTTTTTTTTCTTCTTTCTCTTTTCGTTTTCTTCAATTGATTAAGATTCAGCTGAATTTGGCCATATTAACATAACGCGCAAAGCTGTGGTCTTCGCCTTGGTCGAGACCACGGTCTTGCACCGCTTGTCTGTAACGTTCCTTAATGCCCGACTCCGGGTCATCCGAGTCCATTTCGTCCTCGTAGTCTAGGTCATCGTGGGCCATGGTGTCGTCCTCCGAGTCTTCCGCGTCGCTGACTGTTTGCGGCTCTTCTTTGCGCGGCCGGGGCTTTGGCTTGGTGCCGGCGCCACCAACCTTCATGTCTTTCATCATCTTGTCTAGTTCGCGCTGACGCGACGCCTTCTTCTCCTGCTCGCGCTCGACTCTTCTTCGCTCAAGCTCGGGCTTATAATCCCGCTCGAATTCAACCTTCTTTTCCTCAACCCCCTTGAAAAACTCGTCCATACCTTCTCCAGTCATAGCGCTGACGCCGACAACGCTAAGGTGCTTGTAGAACTCTTCAAGTACGAGTGACATGCTGTTCAACAGGCTGCCCATGTATCCGCTGCCTCCGCCTATGCCTTCGCCACCAAAAGTGCCGCCTTCCTCTTCATTTCGGAGGGCAGTCTGAAATGCCTCAAAGTCCGTCATCCAGTCTTTAGCAAACTGGGCGTCCTGTGCGTCGGTCTTATTGAATACCAGGATCATGGGCAGTTTTGTCTTGTATAGGATCGAGCAGGCATAAAGCATGTTGGACATGAAGGTGCTTGTGCTCGTCGTACGTGGCGTGTCGATGATATACGCAATCACTGTAGGGAATGTGCTGGCTAAACTCGAAAGAAGAATCTCTCCGCTGGCCGACCAGACAAAGACTTCGATCTGACCTGGTGTATCAACCAGGATATGCTTGACCTGCGCTTGCTGAACTGGAGCTGCCTGTTTGTCCTTTCCACCGCTTGTCATAAATTCCACAGTACTAGGCTCCGGCTCTTTTGCAGCCGGCGGTGGCTGTGTTCGCTTTTCTAAGAGACCAATAACCTGGTCGATTTTTGTGCTGAACAAATTTAGACTTGTAAGGATGCCACCGTTGGGACCCAAGTTGAACTGCTTCATGACCTCTTTGTAATTAACACTATCGCGAATATCGATGTTAGGTGTGAAGGGAACATGGTGGACGGCGGGATCGAGGTTGATAATGTAGGGCGGGGTTGGAGGTGTCTTGGACACTGATGGCTCGCTCTTGGTAGGATCGGGGTGGGTGTAGAGGTGGGAGACAAGTCGTTGCATAAATGTCGTCTTTCCACTGCCTGCCATGCCCACGCATACAATGGAGACGGGCGCATTCGAGGCGGTGGCGGGCGTGGCGCCCTCGGGGGCCTTTGAGGCGGACATGGCAAAGTTTTGTTCGAGTTGAAGCGGCGACAAGGAGGAGAGGAAGTGTCGTGAATAGAGGGTAGTATAGAGAATGAAGTAGCAGACGCTATACGACTCCAGTGAACAACCACCAGACGCGGCCTTCTAGAAATTCTTAGGCGGGGCGGACGCGCTAGAAAACCACCGCGGTGATGTCAGGTCCGAGCTTTGACGGCGGCTCGAAACTCTGGCCGCGCGCGCTCAACGTCGCATAACATCAACGACGACAATTAAAACAATATTGTCGCCAACACCACCAATATGGGCCTGGAGGAATTTGAAAAGGAGCTTGCACAAAGCAAGAAAAAAGACGAACACAAGAAGCGCGACCGGAGCAGGAGTCGCGATAGACATCACCGCAAGCACCGCTCCTCGCGCCATCACGACGACGACGAGCGCCACCGTTCCAAGAGGTCGCGACACCATCGGGAGACATCTGAAGAGCGTGCGCGACGGAAGCGGAGAGAGCGACATGAAAAGGAAGACCGTTCGCGGCGCAAGCACAGAGAGAATCATTCGAGCGACGATGAGGACCGCCTGACACGAAAGCGCAAATCACGACACTACGACGAAGACGAATCTTCTGGCGACGATGCTCCGCAAGAAAAAGAATACGTACCCCCTGACGATGATATCCTAGACCAGCAGCTCGAGGAGGCCGCAGATGCAGACTTGCAGCGCGACGATTGGATGAAGGCACCATCGTCCATGGACGTCGACTACGTGCAGCGAAAGAAGAAGGAAGAGAAGACAACTTATGTCAAAGCATCGGCTGAGCAACAGCAAGCGCTCAAGATCCACCAAGCTGAGCTGAACCATCATCTGGCCGACATCAAGGACGAGCAAGTCCCTGTAACTGACGAACCAGCCCAACGAGAAGTGGGCTACACATTTGGAGACTCCGGATCACAATGGCGCATGACGAAGCTCAAGGGAATATACCGGAATGCGCAGGAATCAGGGCGAAGTGTGGAAGAAGTCGCCATGGAAAAGTACGGCGACCTGCGTGACTTTGATGAGGCGCGCGAGGAAGAGATTGAACTTGATCGGAGAAAGATGTATGGAAAGGATTATGTGGGCAAGGAAAAGCCATCAGGCGAGCTCTTTGAGGAGCGCAGACTAAAGGCAGGCATTCACCGACCATCCCGTGACTCTGGAGAAGCAGCAGATATACCCCAGGGCGAAGTTGTCCCTAATCCACAACCAACAGCAAACACGGTTGCACTTAGCCAAACCGAGCTCAACAGACTCAAAGCCCAGATAATGAAGGCCAAGATGAAAAAGGCCCCCGAAGCCGCCCAACTAGAAGCCGAATACAACGCCGCTCTCGCAAATGCATCAACCTCCAAAGACCGCGATGTCGTCGTCCTCAACGCAATGGACAATCGCATGCTCGCCGGCGGCCGCGAGGGCGAAGTCATCGCCCTCACTAACAAGCGCGGCACCGAGCGCGGCCTCGTCAAGGAAAACGACGACATGTCCCTCGACGACATGGTCCGCCAGGAGCGCCGCACCAAAACCCAACCAGGCGGCGAAGGCCAGCTCCTCGCCTCTAAAATCGCAAAAGACAGTAAATTCGACAACGACCTCGACTACCTCGACGAAAACGCCACCAAACTCGCTGCCCGCGCCCCCAAATCCTCCATCAACCTCCGCAACGCTGCAATCCAAGACTACACCAAAATGTCCCGCATCCTCGACGCCTGTCCCTTATGCCACCATGAAGACAAGTCACCCCCGCAACCGCCCGTCGCCCCCATCATCTCCCTCGCAACCCGCGTCTTCCTCACTCTCCCCACCGAACCAGAAATCAGCACAGGTGGCGCTGTCATAGTGCCCATAGCGCACCGCACCAACCTCCTCGAGTGCGACGACGACGAGTGGGAGGAAATCCGCAACTTCATGAAGTGTCTCACCCGCATGTACCACGAGCAAGGCCGCGACGTTGTTTTCTACGAAAACGCCGCGTTCCCTGGTAGAAAGGGGCATGCGGCGTTGAATGCTATCCCTATCCCATTTGAATTAGGCGACATGGCACCTGCGTTTTTCAAAGAAGCGATTCTCGCCCAAGCCGGCGATTGGACGCAGCATAAGCCACTGGTGGATACGCAGAAGGCGTCGCGGAACGGCATGGGGAGAGCGGCGTTTCGAAGGAGTTTGGCAAAGGAAATGCCGTATTTTCATGTATGGTTTGAGCTGGATGGCGGACTGGGTCATGTGGTCGAGGATGAACGGGCGTGGCCGAGGGGTGATTTGTTTGCCAGAGAGGTGCTGGGCGGCATGTTGGATGTTGATGTTGAGGTTGTGAAGAGGCAGGGCAAATGGGTCAAGGGGGATAGGAGGGTCGAAGGGTGGAGGAAAGGGTGGAGGAAGTTTGATTGGACAAGGGTTTTGACAGAAGGGCAGTAGGCCGCTATGCTTTTGTGCAATATCTATGTAATTTCTCAGTCAGATGATGAATTAAGATATAAAACCGTCCAGCACCGACTGTACGAAGCCTACTTAAAGCCTTTATTGTTGCTGCAACACTACTAGTAGTATTCTACTTAATGTATATTATTGCAGAGTTGGCTTAGTTATCCTATCGAATTTCTGCCGAAAACAATTTTAAAGCCATGCTGATATTGTGTCATAAGAGATCGGCTGTACTTAGTAAACAATGTGTGCTAGTAATCTGCTCCAAAGAAGGGGCTGAATCTCCACTTACTGTAAGTCAAGGGTCTTCATGCCAGTCGCTGGTCAGATTGAGAGCCTTGTCGAATGCTGGTAAGGCCTTCCACGAAAAGCTTCTAGTTGTTGCAGTCATTTCGCAGTAAAAACTACACATTGTTTGTTTATAATTCGCGCCGTCTTCAAATTCTGCGCATCGTCTTCGAGGTACTCCTTTCCATACTCAATATCTACTTGGAATAGGGGTCTGCAGGAGTCTCGCTAAAGCGCTGGCAAGCTTACTAGCCGGCTAAGTAAAGTTCCTAATTGATTAGAGAAGATTAATTAAGTCAGTTGCTACTCCTGATGCACACAATGACCAAACATTTCAGGACTTGCACGGATGGATGGATGGGGCTTGGTGTGGGGGCCTAAATCAGTTTCCTTGGTACTGGATGTGGTCAGTGCATGCAACAGTTCACCTAATGCAACACCCCACTTAGGATCAAAAACGAGGCTATTAACGCCTATATAAAAGCTATTATTATAAGCTACTAAAGAAATCTAACTAGATAGCTTTAATCTATAAGATATCTAGACTAAAATGCTAAAAGATCTTATAATAACCACGTTTGTATAGAGCTACGCAGCCTTAATTATAGTGGGTAGGTATTCTAAGCGGGGTGTTGCATCAGCTGAACTGTTGCATGCACTGACCAGCTACAGTACTATATGTAGGTGATTGGCTGCACTTACTCGTCTACCTCCTAGCACCCCCCTTCTCCGTCCTTCACCCCTGAAAAAAAGCCTGATGCAATGTCGAGGATGCGCCGTTACTCTACATCGACTGTGTCAAGTTCAGACACTGCAAGCTCCTACTACAGCGATGGAGAAGACGATGACAACGACGATATCATCACTATTGACTTGGACAGCACGAAACTAACACAAAGTATTTTGGCTGCCAGACGAACTACTACCTCAGAGTTCCAGGAAACTTTGCAAGAAGATTGCCAAGAGCTGCATATCATAGCCTCGGTTGCATCAGACATCCCAGATAAGACAAGTCGATTGTCAGTAAAAATTGTAACAGGTGTTCCGGACGAAAAGGATAGCGATGCCGACTCGGGAGCTGTGCAACATTGGCTGTTAGTCACCAATCCGCCAACATCATTCATGCTTACAATCAAAAAAGGCACCTAAAGACCGAGTGTTCATCATTCGAGACGTTCCGAGTTAGTAACAGCTGAAGGAGCGCAAGTTGACACGGATTCACAGACTTTCTGACCATGACCAGCAAGCGGCACTCAAATTTGCACTGCGATACCACGCAGATACGATCACAGTCCTCATGTATCTACTTCAGCAGGTTCAGGACGAATTCGAAATAACATCCGCTTATGGAAGCTATATCCAGCCGGGTACAGTCTTAAGATGTAATGGCAAAGATACGAAGAATTCAAAGAAGAATGATGTATCAGCTACTTTTGTTTCATATCCGTATTTTGATATCAGCAGCGGGGATTGGCCAGAACCCCCGGTCGATGACTCCTTGCATCTTTCGAGAGGTTTATTCCAGCAGCATTATCCACGGGAAGCAGCCCAAGATCGAGATCGTCAGCAATCTTTCAGCAAATTCAAACGACCTGGAACAACATCAAGTTATTCCTTGCGTGTACCTCAGTTATGGGCTTTGATAATAGGCTCAAATACTTTAATCACATGCGGGCCTTCGACGTTAGCTTCGACATTCCACGAAAGCATTGAGTTTGTGCCACAAGAAGCACTTCTGGTTGGCTTGACAAGCTTGATACAACTTTCGGCAGACTTTGTTACAAAGGCTGTCTCCTACTTGCCATTGGAAAGTTGCCAGACATTTTTTGCGCTCAAAGCTATGATACAAAAAGAATGTCTTCAGAGTACAGACCATCACATTGACGATTGTATCTTGTACACCTCGGATGATAATGTTGAGCTCGACGCATCACGATGGCCAAAAGTTGTGCAGACCAAGGGATCTTTGTTCATCTCAGTGCACATGAGCCTTCGCAACCAGCCAAAACCGTCCACGAATGAGAGTTCCACGAGAGGACTATTTATCGAATATGGAAATTTGAGTTCTGACGATGAACAAGATAAGGCAGCTACGAAATTACATAAGAGGTCAGTTATTAGAGCTTAAAATATTTTATAACCTATTCGATCTGGACTAACATATTCAGGATGTCTAGTTCCGAGCACAATCAAGAAACAAAAGCCAGAGCAGATAACCAGTACTCTACAGGGCTGCAGAAGCACAGTGATCAAAACGCCAATATCCAGTTGAAGCAACGACAACTAGCTATAGGTTACATCTCATCTGAAGACCCGCTTTCTGACACCCCAGAGTCAGAGGAAGAAACACCTGGGCCGGTCATGGAGGATTTGGACCAAAAGCAACCTCGAGTGGAAGACGAAGCTACACCAAGTCTGCAAGATGGATTGAGATACACAATCCCTGATGATATAGCTCATGATATGAATCTACAGGAAAAGAAAAAAACAGAAGAAAAGGAGTTTCAGGAGCGATTTGAGCTTGAATACAGAAAGCGCCTCAGTCATCTTGGATTTGAGCCTAATCAGATTGACGCGATGATGGGCAATCAGTCTACAGTGAATCCCAACTCAGTCCCAGCTCCTCCACTACCGCCTGCTCGAGACTCCAGTGCACAGGAACCGCCTACGTATCCCATGGTACATAGGAAATATCTCGATTGGGAGACCTTGAGATACTACGATATTCCATATCAATACCACGACAAAGACCTAGAGTACATTATCATAATGCAAGAGCTCGATGAATTCGAGCTTGACGTTCTTTTTGAGCACACCAAACGCCTTCGTCAAGACCAAGCACCGCGGCAACTCCAAACCACTACGGCAAGTTCTGATAAAAAAAGACCAGCTCAAAACAAAAAAAAATCCAGACAAAATTCACGAACCTCTGATCCACGAAGCGGCAACTTCAACGGAGAGCCGAGTTGGACCAGAGTGAAGGCCAACAGGACCACTAGAAAAAGACCCAAGCCGAGCAATCTCGCCAAACGCCAGGACTCTCAGAAATCCAGCTACGAGCATACCGCTCAGCGCATCAATCAAGAGTTACGTGTCCCACCCTTCCTAGCATGGCCTACCACATGCAATGATGAGAGAAACGAAGTTGGCTCCCAATCCCGAAATGAAGCTGCATCTCGGATGGACTCCAGTGGTGTACTGATACAAATCACCCTGCGTATGATTGACGAGCGAATCTACCAACCCCATCAAGACCTGAAAACAGGCTTTCGTGCCGCATCTCTTATTGTGTGGCAGAAAGGTAATAACCAAACAACTATTCTTGCGAACTCCATTCCTAGGAAAAGGATCAGTGATATTGATGTCAAACTTGATTCAAAGATCCTGCTGAACCCGCCTTCTCGCCTAGAGAACTTTGTACAGTATCTCGAAACATCCAGGGAGGAGAAATCAGAGGGACGTTTCCATTCACCGACGAGATCGTTCAGAAACTCAATCTTCAGCCATGAGATTTCCGGGCGAGACGTACTTCTTTGGCAGGTGGCACGATTGTTTGTTCTCAGAAATGTATTTGCCGACGGTGTAAAGGCCTTGGCTGGTCAGTTCGTGCCCAAGCATTATGCACATCCCCTCATAGATCGATGCTGGGGCTCAATCTCGATTGTAGATCAAGTAAGTCGAATACTCTTAGGATGTGACACAATTACTAAAAACCATAGGCTGTACTCAACACATCACGAGAACTCTGCGACCACCTGAAGAAAAGCCATGTTACAGCCGATTCTCCAGTATATGTGGTGAGACCTATACCCAAAGATGGCTACTCAAAAATACACTCGCTAGCGGAACTTGAATATCCAGTATCTTCCTGCCATATTTGCGAAAACAGGCACTACTACGCCAGTATTGAAGATGCAATTAACCATATTCGTTTGGTGCATATTTCTCCACAAAGTACCGATGTAGAACATCATTCAGAATCGCTCACGCATTGGGTTGCATCCACCACAGACGCGGATCTGGAGAGTAAAACGGAAAGTCTTCTCAGCTATCTCGAAACCCTCAATCTACGTGTAAACAAGCTCCTGTCAAAGGCCGTGGAAATGCGTCAGGGTGTCGCCAATGGCTCGCAAGAGCTCGACGATGGGTACTTTTTGCGCGCAACACTAGTCAAAGCTGCGGAGAAGATTTTCCAATTCGTGTACTACTCAGCGTATAGTTTCAATGTTCATTGCGACTCTGGATCTGCACCAGCAGGACCTCGGCTTCTTGTTTCGTCTCGACAACATTATCACGACAAATCCGGGGCTGAAATGTTCGCTACCCTCGCCGACCTCGCAATGTCAAAAGCAAGAGACGACCTCTTACTCATGACGCAGATTGGCGATGACGCGAGGTCAGTGTTCCACTTCAAAGCTTCGCCACAATTTACTATCTACCTCGGTCTTTCAGGTCTTATAAGAAGGCCAATTATGTGGAATATGTCGATATTGCAATTATACAGAGATCACCTGTCCGCTTTGGTAGGCATTCAAATGACTAAATATCTAATCAGATGTATTCTAACTTTAATAGCGCTTCAAAGCCAGCCGCAAACCTTCCAAGCTGGTGTTACGCGAGCTATATCTCTTGGATGAAGAGATTGAAATTGTTGAGTCTGTATACATGCAACAATATAGGGCCGAATATAAGCTCTGGAAAGTGCTCGGAGTAGACGAGATTGAACTCAGGCGAGAGGTGAGCGCAGTTTGAACGTCCTGAAACACAACTAACTAATAACTTATTTGTAGGGTCGAGACGAATACGTAGAGAATATATTCTCCCAATTTCGCAAAGACCTAGAAAAGGCCACCAAAGCCCTACGACACAACATTGAGATCACAGAGGAAGGCGACTCCAAAGCGATTCTCATCTTCACACTCGTCACAATCATCTTCCTACCTCTTTCCTTTGTAGCCTCAGTGTTCGGCATGAACACTTCGGATATCAGGGACATGGACAGTGACCAAACGCTTTTCTGGGCAATAGCACTTCCCGTCACCATAACCATCGGCACGATATCCCTGATAGCAGCATACCGACACACCGATATCAGAGAAGGAATACAAAAGTTTAAGGATAGCCTCGCAATGAAAAGGCACAGGTACAGCCATCGCCGCCGTCCTTGGAACCGTAACAAACACAGAACAGACGAAGAGCGGGCATATGGTTCCAACAACGCTGCGATAGGGATGCTAAAACGCCGCTTCGACTCTCAACGCTCTGATCCATGGCTACAAAGCAAACGCTGGTCGAGCCGCAGACAAAAGACTGGTTCGCATGGTCCCCGTGTTCTAGTCCGCACCGCGACTGGCAAAACGCTCCATGAGAAACCCAAGCGGAGGGTGCGCACAGCAGATATACCGGGCAGCTCAAAGAGGTATTGAAGAGCGAGAGAGAGAGAAAACACTAATAGACATAGACCTCTGCTTCCCATAAACTCACCAACGAACGTATTCTATTCGTATTGATGATCGATTCCGTGCTGTCAACCGAAGTACACTCAAGATACTGCACTGCAGCGTGGAGAACATTTGATCGCGGATACATCCTTTAAGTATTAAATCATAGAAAATAGACTTGCTTTTTTGCAGAGTTGGAATAATTTTTTTACATCATGCAATAATTTCCACTGATACGTGGTTCTCCCGCGACACAGCTCAACCATCATTCGCGACTTCACTCAGGCCCCTGACAACGATTTTATCTCAAAAAATGTACATCACTGTGTGTCTTCCAACATTTCATCGGCATGTTCAACACTACCACCTCTTCCTCTCATCCCCATCAAAATCCTTCCCCTGCCTCTCCCTCTCAATTTGGGCATCGAACTCGCGCTGCGCACGCTCGCGCTCCATACTCCTTTCTTCATCGTCGCCGACAAACGAATACGAATCACCTAGCGTAGATTCCTCTCTGCGTTCGGGTTCCGGTCTTCGCGGCGACTGCCGTTGCGGTTTTTGAAGCGGTACAGGCTGGCCGCCGCGCCGGAGACGGTCCCAGGATGACTCGCCTGGTCGGGGTTGGGATGGCGATTGTGATTGCGGGTTCTTTACTTCGTCTTGGAAGAGGCCACCTGTAGGGGAACCGTCGTCATCGTCGAATAGAGAAGAGGAGGAGGAGGAGGATGACTGTGTAGGTTGATTCCAAGAGCCTGTGGATGGCGGTGCCTGTTGCCTTTGCCGTGGCAACTGTGATGAACTCTTGTTGGAAAAAGTCTCCCAGGTTTCTGAACTAGTGGATTCAGAACCCCATGCTTCATTACCGGCAGTCGGGCTCATATCGTCGGCTGCATCGTCACGTTGTGCCGGAGGCTGCTTGCCCCATCTGGCTTGTGGTGAGGGACCCCCACCTGCACGATTCCTCACCTGCTCTTGGAACTCTCGACGCCGTTCTTCAATCTCACGCCCTTGCTGTGCATTCCTCTGCCCCTCGACATGCGACGAAGCCTTCAATTCTATCCCAAAATGTTCCAGCTTGGGATCATTGGCTGTATTAACCGCTGCAAGAGGTTGCGCGATGAGCTGGCCGATGATGCTACCCATTTGGCCTGCTACGACCACGTAGAGACAAAATCGCCATGTGTGTCGCGCAAACTGGGCCATTGGTCCACGGATTGGACCGAACTTATTCACATCAATGTCTTCTACCTTGGGTTGATAAAATGGGTATTTCATCTTGTCCCATGTACGATACCATTGCCATGTTCCAGCTGCGGCGCCCGTCGCAGCGAAATAGCTCTTCGTTTGTTCAAGCTTATATATGTGGAATGCGAGCGCCTGCGCTTCTTCCGGATTGAGCAGGCGGCCAACCTTGCGCTCGGCGAACTTGAGTGTTGTTTCGGTTTTGAAGCGGACCGCACGTTCAGAGAAGCCCATGAAGGTGCCTATGACGGGTAATGGGCGCGGAAGATTGGTCGCGTCGAAGCGATTGCCATTGTTTAGATGGGCCGGCGAAGATGCGTAGGGATCATCCGAGGATGGGTAAGGATCATCTGTGAAGCCTTCGGGGGCATTCTTATCGGCATCTTCAAGCACCATATTTGGTTACGTGTGGTAGAGTCGCAATGTTGTGTGGGGTTGCTAGGGAAGGTAGGTGGTGAGAGATCGGGGCTTGGTGGAAGCTTTACCGATGACGGCATCGAACGCAGTCTCGGGATCACCAGGGCCCATTCCCGCCCTCTGATCTCATGATGCAATGCATGTCAATAAACACAAACCTAGAGCAATCATAAGTAAGCCATTTGAAGAAAATCCTAATATATTGCACAACGTGGTGGGTGTTGGAATATTCAAACATGGTCTATTCCCAAATGCCTTCCTCCCAAACGACAATGCTCCTCACGAAAGGCTACGTACTTATACACTACAATAATTCAAACCAGCTACAAGACCAGCCGGGCCATTACGGAAACTCCATATGCACAAGGTGAGGGGAAAAAGAAAAAGAATAGGTTGATGTGGAAAAGAAACGCCCACCTCTTCGTGTAACGCCACAATTCATACCGTTCGCAACGGCCAAATAACATGGCCGCAGAAGAGAACTTAAAGGGACTAATTCCAGCGGTCGATGTGGTGTTTTCTCTCACTCCTGTTGCTTCTCGTATATACTTTTGACAGCCACTGAAAACATCATTGTGAGGTTATGGTTTGACCGGAAGACCTGCATGATTACGAGTACTTTTATAAGATGACGCAACGGCAGGTAGCCGTGGGCTCGTCATCGCTCTCTCTCCGGTTCCCAGATTTGCCAGTCTTGGCGTTTTCTTCTTCATCAACGACCTCTTGTGGCTTGACAGTCATGTGAACAACATTAGGGGTATCTGTTTGAAATCGGCATTCTGCGGTTTGTCAGTGAGTGTTTGACAGGGGCTATATCATGTCTTCTATGCAAGACATGCATTCAAATTGGATCGACCAATTAGTGCGGCCAGCCGAGGAACCGCACAAGCTGTGCAATGCCCTTGGCGTAATCCAGAATGAGGTCCTTACCTTTGAGTGGCGACTTGTCGTCAAGCATGCGACCAAAATGAATGAGCCTTATCGATCCTGGTGAAGTAGGCCGAGCCTCCCATTCTGTTGACTTGAGTTAGCCTTGTAATGCGGAATTCAATGCGATGCGATGCGCTGTGAGCCACAGTTTCTTTCCCAGCGCTGTCTGGACGAGACCAGGTACAAACAATGCACCTGAAAGAGCAGCATAGCAGCGCGTCACTGCTGACGCCCTGCTTACTCATGATAAGCGCACACTGCTCTTGAGTAAACTGTAGAGAAAAGAGTATGCGTACCTTCCCGCCAGTCTCGCCATATCAGCTCTTTGAGGGTATAGACGCTGATATTGTACGGATCCATGTTCTCCACCTTGACACTGCGCTTCTTCAAGTACTTTTCGTCAATCTTGTACGGATGCCTTGCGCCGCTGGTAAGAAGCAGCATTATTACTAGCACAGGCCCATTCGTGTTGTCCGGGTTTGCGGCCGGTGTGTCTGTCGACGGACCGATGGCCTCGGTGTCTGCGCGATTTAGCGCAGAAGGGGGCGCGAGCTTTCCAGGAGATGAAGGAGCGACAGGCGCATCTTCTGAGGTGCTGGAACCGACGGGTTGCTCTGCAGGTGTAGCTGCTGGAGCTACCGCGGGTGCGTCTGTGGTGTGCGTGGTCGTGTCTGTAGGCGCGGGTGCTGCGCCAGAGGCCTCGAGGGTCTTCATCTCTACCGAACCTGTCGATGGAGGCTCGTTCCTGCTCTGAGGCCGCGATCCTGAGGTCTGTTGGTGTGGAGTAGATTGTGGTGCCGTGGAGGCTTGATCGGCTGGGGACGACATGGTTGGCCGGCCGACTTCACTCGCGCGATGGATGCGATTGCGGGCAAGTTAAGCGAATGGAAAGCGAACGGGGGGCTGGGAGCGACTCGCAGGTCGGCCTCGACGTCGCAACGACAGAAATGGCAGCGGGGGAAAAATGGTGTAGTGGTGAGGCGTCTCAAGGGCTCATGCGTGGACGATGGAAGGCTGGCCGGCCGTGCGCGACTGGGAAGTCGCCGTCGCGGCCACCCTCCCTTCTCCGCAATCCGCAAATGCGGCAAGAACGACCCGCCGTCTCCACTAACAGCCCGCTACTGCTACTCGGCTCTGCACCACCTCACTATCTCGTCTTCCGTACACATCCTGCTTCACACACTCCCTTTGCCGGGTTGCCGTCCATTGCCTCACAATGCATCACCATGCCAAATGCGTCTCGGCAAACACCAGTTCCCCCGTTCTTGCTGTTCGCCCACCTGCGAAACCCGCAACATGCCATATTTGGACTCGTCGTTAAAGCGCGTGCCCCTGCATCACTGGCTCCTTTGCAATGATTGGCCACGCCCACTCAGCACTCGTCGCGTTATCGCATGCATTCTGCGCCACATCTTCACAGCTCAGAGTCGGCCCGGGCTTCCCTCCTATGCTCTCCTTGGTCGCTTCTCCAAGCTAACAAGAGGAAATGGTCTTTGGGCACGTGGGGCAGGCTGGTGGCTGAAGAGCCACTGCTTCCTTCATCCAGTACATCACGACGTTGTAATGCCATCATACCTTCATCTCCAAGTACCACAATACCATGGCCATTTTGGCTTCATCGCTTTATTCGTTAACATTAACCCTAAGTGGGTTGGTGCTATGTCCTTGTGATCCGCCAAGACCATTAATACGGGAACAACCTGCTCGAGCCGCGTTATCGTCTATGGTGGCAGTGTACAGGTGTCTTGGTTTGCTCGTCATGTTGCAAGCTTCTACCAGTTCATCTTCATCTTCTTCTCAATCTCCGTGTGGAAGTCTGGTACTTCCCGCAGCTCGTTGCCAGTGAACACGTCCTCCCAGCCAATTTCACAATCCCGTCCCTGGAGAATATCTTTGTGAACGCCGCTGCTTCCACCCAGTGCTAATGGCCTCCACTCCCCCGCTTCAGCAATCTTCAGCTCCATACCCCTACGCACGGGCTCGGCAATGCCAAATTGCCGCCTCAGCATCTCCATCTTCAGACGGTCTTGGGTATCGCGCCACTGGACAAGGCGAGCCTCGAGCGGATGGGCAGACTGCAGAGCAACTGGTGCTGTCGATGACGACGAAGCGGTAGGTGCTACCGATGTGTGGCCAAGGCGAGACCGAAGGGTATCATGGACGCCGGGAGCCGAAGGCGCAGAGGTTTCAAGCGTAGTTTGCGCAGGGTGCGCCTTGCTGGGGACGAAGCGGAGAGACTAAGCATGTGTAAGTATTGAATGCGTGCATGTACTGTATATACCCTTGGGACAGCCCACCATTTTGAATCTCGGTGGCGCGCGGGGTTTGTGAGAGTGATGTACAACCAATCGACGTATCGAAATCGTTGAATTTGGTTGTTCAAGTCGTCGAACTCGTCAAGAGGAAGGTATGGATGTTGAGTGGCAGGTTGTCAAGCAGTTGCTATCAACGGAGCTCTAGGCTACCTGGAGTGACGCGCTTAACTAGCGCCTTGGCAATTAGTCCGAATGCTCAAGGTTCGATGCTATATCGACTCACACACATACATTGCCCACACTAAATCATGCCCATGTCTATGAATATGGATGTCTACTTGGGTTTTTACTGAAATCATATCTTACATAGCCCTGGCAGTCAACATAGCTCCTAAGCTCACCAGGCCTGCCATGAGTATGTTGACAGCATTATTGTCCAGTAAATCACTCCCAACTTCAATCTTCCTACTCTCATGCTGCGGGTCTGTAACCACCGCTCCACTTGCTCCAGCCTTCAACATTGCTTTTGAAGCCTTGATCGATGCTGCCGCGTCCGTACCGCTGGCCTTAGCAATGCCATCCTTGCCCTCCGATCGACCACTGACATTGCTGTGTACAAGCACCTTTCTTCCTCCCTCACCTTCAACAACCTTGCCCGAGTGTACATCAACCACGCTAGCCTGCAAGAGAGCTCCTAGAAGAGAATCAAGGAGTGTTCCACTGAAGCCAGCTGCTGACATTGCAAGAGTATACTTTGTCTTCTCAACAAAGCTCCAGTCTTTACAAAACGGCATGAACATCGTAGAACTGAGGGATATTAACAGTGCGCCGAGTAGTCCCGCACCAAGACCCGTCGTGGTCACCCCGCCATTTGTGCCAGGCGGGACGATACGCCATGGAGCGGTTATTAGGCGTGGCTTGGATTTCGACAAGATTCCAAGTTCAGATGAAAAGGTGTCTGCAGCGACTGCAGCGTAGTTTCTGATGTATGTCAGTATCAATTCCGTGACCCAAGGCGAATGCCATACGCTACGATGCCTGTTACCAATACATCACTGTTTCCTGTCCAGCAGAGACCCTCATCTTCATATCGTCCGTCCTTCCTTAGCTGCCAGAGGTGAAGCAGTATTAAAACCGAAGCTATACCGGAGTTTGCGACCACTTGGATATGATTGCGCGCACCTTCTCCACCGGATGCACCCGTTGCGGACTGAGTAAGCTTTGCTTTAATGTCATGCTTGACCTATACTTTGTTATTTACCGTCTAATTTGAAGCAAAAATGTGACATACTTTGGTGACAGAACTGCCGGCTAAGAAAAAGACAGCAAGCAGTACCGTGAAAACGCTCCAAGGATGCAAGGTATGAATGACGGCTGTCACAAATGCCGCGAAGATGCCAACCGGAGTCAGCGAGTTCCGCGACCACGCTCTATAGATGAGCGCAGCGACTCCAGGGACAGCTATTATGGGCTTCATGATTGATGTTTTGGTTTTGAGGTACAGCGACACGGAGATGTGGCATAAAGACCGCGAGCTTGCTTATGTACTTCTTATGGGGTGGGGGCTAGTACATCATTGAACCCCGGCTTGGCATAAACTACTGAAAGTATCAACCCCGACGTCGCAACTTCGCTCATCTCGTTCTCGATGAGATTATCGAACAATATCAATATCAATATCAAGGCTTCGCTCGAGGTTTCCAAATGCCCTCTGCGGTTTTTCGGATCATTGCCCACTTACTTTTCTAAGCTCGGCTTTACCCGACAAAACCTCAAGTTACCAGCGCTATCAACGGAACCAATCCGAAAGACAATTGAGACGCAACGAAATATCCAGAAGATTGACAAAACAAATAGGTGCCTAGAGAAAACTAGGCACGTCCCACTTTTATCCGGGCATCTACATGTCTAGCCTGGTCGTGTCTGCCTATGGGTCTTGTACTGCCATGGGGTAACCTACATGAAGGCTAACCCCGAAGTTGCATCCAATCTGAATCGGATTGATGGTGGAGGCGCATCATGTGAACCAGCAAATGTTTCGAGCCACGCAATGCTTGAGAGAGCTAAGCGTTGCTTAATTGCGCTTCAAATTGCTTAAATACCTCGCACGTTTGAGATGCCCTGACTGTGAACACAGCCCGGACACGAAGTGGTGGTGGTTGCCTCGTATCGGTAGGGCTGCGGCTTGCCAATCGCAATTGGGCATTTCCCGGGCTGTGCCACGGCCAGTGTTGCGATTGGCTCGTCCAGCTCGCCCAATTAGGCATAGCCGACAACGAGCCACATCCAGCACTACGAAGAGGATAAGACGCTCATCCTCAGGCGCCGTTGGATAAAATCATAACTTTTAGTTCTGTGAATTCGGCCTTGCGGTTGAGGACGCACTCATCACAGCCACAATGACCCACTATAAGCAAGTAAACTTGTTTGGGAAAATAGCCCCCCACATTGAACAAAGTATTAAACAATGCGATTTCCAAAGGTGGACGGTGATATCAAACCCGATCCAGTTCATTCGTCCTCTCTTTCCCCAATACTCTCACAGGTAGTCTAGAATGGCTATATTTCTATTCAAGTATATCCGTGGAAAACTTCGAGAACGCGAAGCCCAAAAAGCCGTTCCTACCACAGATGATTCTCACTTGGTGCCTGAGTGCATATCAGCGCATGAACTTCAAGACGGCGTGAACAATCACAATCACACATCCTCCCAAGATTCAACAGGAAGCCATATCAACTTCCTCGCCTCAGAAGAGGTGACACAAAGAAAAGCTCAAGACCGCAAAAACAAGATTCGACAGTGGAAGTTGTTGTTAGGACTTGTGTTACCAAACTTCCTAGCTGCCATGGATGTCACTATCGTCGCTCCAGCAATTCCGCTCATATCATCCCATTTCGGTACGTGAATTCTTCAAGACAACCCCACAACCGTAAACACACGTTCTGATACGCATCTCCAGACAAGCTCTCCGGAAGCTTTAATTGGATCGTAGCAGCCTACACCTTGACATTCACCACATTCATCCCGATGTCTGGGCAATTAGCAGACATCTACGGCCGCCATTTTTCTCTGCAATTCGAAATGTTCTGGATCATGATAGGCAGTGTACTCTGCGCCTCTGCTCAATCCTGGGGCATGCTGCTTGTAGGAAGGGCACTGCAAGGGTTAGGTGCTGCAGGCATCATGAGTTTGAGCCGGATTATATTGTCGGATGGTACGACACTTGCTGAGAACTCGAGTAGCAATTCCATCTTGTCGTTGATCAGTGGGTGCAGGTAAGTCTTCTTCGTATTCGGCGAGTCCAATTGATATGTACAAAGAGCTGATTGTGGGAATAGCTACGCGGTAGGACCCGTTATAGGAGGACACCTCGCAGATTCAGGCTGGCGCTATATATTCGTGCTCCCCATCGGAGTCGCAGTCCTCGCCATGGTCCTCATCGCGCTCCTCATGCGCAAAGAACTCGTTCAAGGCCGCGCAACCACTCAATCCCCAACCTCACAGCACAAAACTTATATGTCCGGCCTCGCAATCATCGACTGGCCGGGCCTCATCACATTCATTCTAGGTGTCGGTTGCATCATCCTCGCCACACAATGGGGCGGAACCCAATACGCCTGGTCCTCTCCCGCCGTCATCCTCCCCCTCGCCATCGGCACCATCTTCTGCATTCTCTTCTTCACCCACGAGTACCTCCTCGCCCCCAACCGTGCCATGTCGCGCTTTTTCCCCCGCCAAATCCCTATGATCCCATCGACCCTCTTCCGCAAAAAAGACACGACACTCCTCATGATGATCAACTTCTCCGCGGGAATCAGCATGGTCTGCGCGTTTTACTTTATTTCGTATTACTGGCAGCTTACAGAGGGGTACTCGCCTAGTCAGGCTGGCGTGCAGTTGTTGTACTACACACCCGGTCTGGGCGTGGGTGTCTACTCCGCGGCTATCATGTGCAATGTATGGCCAGGCCAGACGTTCTTTCCTCTCTTTATCGGTTCCATAGTCGAGGCTGCGGGACTCGCGCTGCTCACTTACTCTGTATCGATCCGGAATACTGTCATGGTTAATGTCTTTCTCGCTGTTTCGGGAGCAGGTACGGGATTGCGCTTTATGCCTGTTGCGCTGCATGCGGCGGGTGTGTGGTCGACCCGCGTACCCAGTATGCAGTCGCTGCTTTCTTTTATGCTGCCGTTGGGCGAAACGGTGGGTATCTCCATGATGGGAAGTGTGTTTTCTAATAAGCTTTCTACTTTCCTGGCTCAGATTGCCCGGCGTGCAGATGGTGCGGCGCTGGGTGGCTCTGGGATTCCGAGTTTGGAACTGCTGGATAGTCTTCCGACAGTGGTTAAGAAGGAGGTGCAGGATGCGGCGGCCAAGGCTGTCATGTGGGCGTTGATTTCCGTGCTGCCGTTTATGGGAATAGCGGTTATTGCGGCAGTGTTTCTGGGGAATGTGTGGATTGGGAAGGCGGAGAAAGAGGCAAAGGATGGGAAGATGGGACGAAAGGCGGAGAAAGGAAAGGTCATGTATGGGGTTTACTTATTTGCATTGTGTAGGGGGAGTGTGGACGAGCAGAAAAGAAATCTGGACGTTGATATGGAGCGTAAGGAGGTGAAGGTGGAGCAAACGTAGCGCGAGATGAAAGTCTTGACAGACAGAGTGTAATACAAGAATTTTCTATGATATATCCCTGTCCGAGATATTCGATCGGTATATAAATGCTTCTCAAATCCAACCAAGAAACCCAAGCTTATTATTCATCCCATCAGGCAAGGCCATTCACATCCACTATCCAAGCTAAACCATATCCAACCCTCATACCCCACCCTACCTAACAAATCCGTTCCCCGGGCTCCCTCCACGGCACGCCCAAAATCTCAAAAATCCTCCTCTCGCTCCTCCCCTCAATCAACACCCCATCATTCAACTTTTCCCCCTTCCTCCCTCTCAAAACATCCGTATACAACCCTCTCTGATTAAGCTTCATGCCCTTCTTCCTTGCCAACAACCTCATGCTCCTATTGAAAATATCATCACCCGTAAAATACAACAGTGCGGCACCCATTTCCTGCTCCGGAACGACCAAGAAGTCTATTCTGCGCCAGACAGTGGAGGAAGGGAGAGAGGATGCGCCGTGCCATTTTGAGTTGCTGGAGTCACTATAACGGGATGATGTTAGTGAGGCTTTGAGAAAGCCGGTTTTGTACAAGTGTGGGATGAGGACTTCGAAGATGGTGGTGCTCATGGCGGTAGATGACATGTTGGGTCGTGATAGCATTATATCGATATCGCCCGAGTCCTGTGCTCCACGGCGGTAGCTTCCCATTATCGTTGCACTGAATTCCGGGTCGATTTCCTTGAGTGCGGCGGCGACGATAGCGCCGTGAGCCTCGACTTCGGCGCGTGGGATGCGGGAGTTGAAATCATGGTAGTGTTCGAGTCCGATCTTCTGGTTTTCAGAGAGCGTAGCTTTGGTCTTGAGATCTTGGAGAGTGCGGTGGCCTGCTTGGATCCATTTGTTGGCATGGACAAGGCCGACGCCATAAATACCGAGGAACAAACGTAGGGCTACATCTTGAGGGTTATGACGGGTGCTTTCTAGTCGTCGGAGACGGTCTGTGAGTACAATTTCTTCGATCTTTGCGGCAAGGTGTGTACCAATAGAAGGTAGCTTTGCGGCTTGTTCTGCAGTAGTAATCTTGACCGTTTGTTTCTTCAGCGTGGCAACGCATTTTCGATAGCTTAGGGTTCTCCATTGGTCCTGCATGCTATCGTAGTACTTGCACATCTCTTCTAGTATCTGGATGGTTCGGGCGTTTGGGTTCCATGAAATATGGTTACTGGAACTTGGATCCATACACTGGAAACTGTTCATATTGAAGTACTTCTTGTCGCGCAACGCTGATGCTTTCGACAAAACACTGGGCCTCTTGAGGTAATCTGTACCCATTGACAATAGCTCTTGATCCGTGTTCGAGTTCTCTATAGTGTTCACACCTCTCGAACTATCTAGTTGTGCTTCTTCGTCCTCATCAATGGGTAGATACGCGAGCAACTTAGTCTCCTGTATGGCTTGGAACAGGGCATCTCCAAATTGATATCTAACCTTCTGTCCGGAGATTTTAGCAGCCCCTGGAGAGGACATAATGAAGCTGTCCTCTACTGTTTCTCCGAGAGGACTTGAGGGCACTGCATCTGTATAAGGATGAGTGGAAGGCACGCTTTCTTCAGTGAAGTACAAGTCGGTCTTCTGTGTCTCCTGTGTCGCTTTCTTTCTCTTGGGGTATTTTATCTTTAACGAGCTCTGCGATGTAGTTGATGTATGGGAGAGGTCTGGTGCTTGATCAAGTTCGCCTACGCCTTGGGCAGCTTTTACAGCAAAGTATGAAGCAGTAGGATCTAAGAGCTCCCCACGACTAATACATTGCGGCACATACGGATCAAACTTGACCACCACGACGTTCTGATTATCTGTCAGCTTACTATATTGCCAGCTCGAAATTCACGTACTGGAGGTATTGGTCTGCCGAGATGCTGCACCAATTGATTATATGTGTATGTCCCATCATCAGACATGATGTGAGTGATATTGTTGTTCCATTTGTCCGCCCATGCAGCACCAAGCTGAATGACCTTGTGTATGCGTCTTCGTCGTGCCATGGAGATATCGTCGTTAGGGTAGAAGTAGACGATCTTCTCTTTGAGCAATTGTTTGCTTTCGGGGACAAGTTTGATATTATTGGCAAGCGTCACAGTTTTTCCGCTTCTGAGCTCACGAGGGATGGCGCCCACGCGTTTGTAAAACGGGATACATTCTTTGTCGAATATTTGGGATAGAGATATCGTCCTCTTTAAACGGCTTTTGCCATTATCTGTACCCACATTAGGACCATTGTGTGATTTGGGGATCTGAACACTCTCGGCGGTCTCAGTTTGTGGTACCGTAGATGATCGAGTTAACTTTTGATTGATCTGTCGATTAGAAGTGCGCCGTCTCTCGGTATGCTCCTCAAACTGTGCCTGTATTTCTCGAGGCGTTGGCCCATTGAAACTACTTGAGTGACTCAGTAGTGAGGTTGATAGTACAGGTTTTGATTCTTCCAGCGCGCGTTCGAGGTTGAGCACACTTTCGTTAGGGGTATATGGCTCATCGTCCGAGAAATTGAGAAGGGCCTGTTCTTCGAAATAAGTTATTTTCGCTAAGAGCTCGGAGTCCGACATCGCATTGTAATGCAACTGCAAGTTAATAATAGATAATAACGACGATTGAGGTCGTTGTTGTTTACAGGGATACTGCAATTACTTTGGACCAAATACTACCTAATATCCAAAACCACAACTCAATTGTTAGGGACGGAGTAGATGTAGGACATTTGATAAGCTGCGCTTCGAGCGCCGTGAGCTCAATGGTTTTGCAACTATTTATACTGCTATGGGATGAAAGGAGACGCTGAAGACGTATTGGTGAAAGAGTGGAGAAACGTCACCAGGCAGCCGGCGCGTGTCGGATTGTCGGCTGACGCGAAGTCACGTGATACTACAATACGTTTCCCAGTCATCACTTTGTGGCCTTAATGTTACAAATTTCACTTCTTGTACTTTAAATAAGCAGAGAAAACCCCTAAGCACGAGTCTCAGAGGAAGGGATCAAGAAATTGGTACATAGTTTGCTTTGAGTAGTCTATCACTTTTCTACCCACAATGACAATGGCATTTCAGGATTAGGCGCGTTACTACAAACCTGCTTAAGATCTAGACGCTACCCTCCTCTTTCCAATCGTAGTACTCTCACTCGCACCGGCCACCTTTTGTGCCAACTTCGCATCAAGCTCAGTTACAACACCCTTTCCAACTGGCTTTCCGAGGTTGTTGCTCATTGGCGTAACAACATCGCACCGCAGTGATTGTGCAGGGCTCATACGCTCCATCATCGTGTTGTTCGTCTGGATGAGCAGTCTCTCACGCGATTCTGGACCAGTGTACGGCTTCCACTCAGCAGCACGAGTGGCGCGGTCGGTGTTGGGGTCCAAATTGCGAATGAAGCTCGTCCAGTAACTGCGTACCTGAGAGATGATGGGCTTGTTAGTGGTAAAGTAGCTGGCTGGCTCTTGTCCATCAGTGCGTTTCAACCCCCAGAAAGCGTAGACGTTGACGGTGTGCCAGGCGCCCAAGCCGGATGCCTGGTCGGCTGGGTCCAGCACATTGTACTTGTAATTGTACGTGGGCACGTTGTCGCGTGCAATGGCGTTCTGAATGTTGCGTGTTGGGCAGTGGCTACCGATATCGCCAATTGCATTGGCAGCATCAGGCCAGAAGAGTCCTTTACCGGGGAAGGCGGGCTTCGTCACCTTCAAGTAGAGGTCACTAAGGATTGAGATGGAAGAGTTGCTCAGACTTGGGTCCTGGCCTCCCAACCATGTCGCTGCGTCGCTTGTGGTGTTAAGACTCTCTGGTGCGTTCTTGGTACCTTCGTCTGCGCAAGTGCCCATGATGGTCGGTACCTTGGCATACTTGCCCTGTTTGAAGAGGTTTACAAGGGAGTCAGTGAATAGCTCGCCGTCGATATTGGGGTTGAACCAGCAGTTGGAAGAGCGGATGGCCGACTCGTTGAGCGCGCGTAGGCAAGAAAGGCCGTCGGCAGCATTGGCGCAACCCTTGTCCTTAAGCAAACATTCATATTGCTCCTCGCCTAGCTCTGGGGTACGCATTGTCACCCAAGGGCCTGACTCCATAATGCCACCTACGAACAACTTTTTGCCCGTATTTGCCGCCATCATGAGCGCAACAGATGTTCCGCCGGCGCTGACGCCATCAAGAACAACATGATCGGGATCACCACCGAATTGACTGATGTGCTGCTTGACCCACTCAAGCAACTTGATCTGGTCACGTATGCCAGCATTGACATCGCCACCTCCTGCCTTCACCGCTTTGCCGTTGAGGAAACCGTACAGGCCCACACGGTAGCTGAATTGGACAAATACGACCTGGCCATCTGCAACGATCTCGGTGGGATCCCAGTTGGCGCTAGACTGCGAAATAAAGCCTCCTCCTTGGAAGAAAACCACAACCGGCAATTTCGACTTGGTGGTAGCCTTGGAAGGCGCATACACGCTCAAATAGAGACAGTCTTCAGCAATATGAAAGCGTGAGTAGGTTCCAGAAACAGTCCAGTCATCAGGACGGCTGGGCGGGCATGTTGCACCGTGTGTAGTGGCGTTGATGAGACCAGAAACGACGGGATCTTGCGGCGCTGCGAAACGTAGCTTTCCCACGGGTGGTGCAGCGTACTGAATGCCTTTCCAGGCAGACACTCCCAGTTTGGAGTCAACGACAGCTCCCTGGTATTTTGCGTAGCCAACATCAACGACAGTATCGACGGCTTGTACGATCGAAGACAAGCTCGCTCCGATGGCGAGTAATTGGTGAACGTGCCTCATCTTCAAGACGAATGATGACAAGAAAGAAACGAATGGAAGCAGGAGATATCCTGAGAGCGATGAGTGTGAGGAACGCTCAACTGATACTCTATTGTTTCCTTCCTCTGGTGGCTATTTGAACATATTCCTTCGAATGTTCATGCAACTCCTTGAAACGTGCTAAGCTTGTTATGGCACCAATGCAATAATATATTAAACTTTGTTTCGGTCCGTAAGCGGAGTGAACGATGACATTGCCATATGCGTTCATGCCCCTGTGCTATTGGAGTCGGACCGTTAACTCAGCAACACGGTATATCAACCGTTTCATATCGGAATTGAAGGCGGGTAGAACCCAACCGTGCCTGAGGAAGTCGCGAATCCTAGATCTCACACCTAGTGATCAATGACATTCGTGCATGTTTTCTCGCACACTAATGCGCAACGTGAAACGGAGCATTGCCGTAAAAGTGCAAAGGGGCGAACGCGCGGGGAAGTCAGCATCAGCAATCTAAGGTAGGTGCAGCGGCCCGAGCATTAAAAATCTGTTGAAGCGCCAGGCATAGCACAGCTCGTCAGAACATTTCGTAAGGGATATATGTATCCCAATTCACATTACGCGGGTAGTTTATTCTGCACCCTGCTAGACTGTTCTGCTTAGTTGCTTCTATACTAGCTTAGGATTCTACTTCTACTATGAGTTACTTGAGGTGAACCATATCAACGAGAAGAATCAGTGGCCAATTGGATAAAAAGATATTCTATAAATGTCTTGCATGTTTCTTCAATGATGGACTATGCATTATGTATGTATGTTCACGTGTATAAACACTTACTCTATGATATTGCTAACGTGCTAGCCAGTATGGGCCAGCGCCAAGCCTTGCTCAACACTACGTAGTGGTCTACCGTAATTCTTCGCTTTTGCGCTAGTAAACCAAAGCTTACTTTCATCACTTCTTGTGCCTGGTGGAAATACTGGGTTACCCCGCGTTCCACAATGCTACAACCACGGATAGGAGCACCGCTACGCCGCATATTGCTGTCTAGACCTTCAATATGTTCGAGATGTCAGACACGTCTTGTGACTGCATCAATTGCACAGCAGTCATTTGCTCGGACCTTCGCCTCCGCCCAAAGTCTCCGCCGACCAGCGACGGATCCAAAGACTCCCGAGTCCGCGCCTACACCCGACCCCAAAGATGAGGACATATTCATTCCTAAGCCCCTCGGCCGACCCATTGGCTTCAAGTCCGCCCCGCAACCAGGTGAAAATGCTAGCATACCCAAGACGAAAAAAGATTATTCCGGCATGACGATGTCGCAGCGGAATTTGGAGAAGCGCAAGGACCTGGTAGAAAAATGGGGCACAAACTATTTTCGCGACTTCAAAAACATTCGCAAATACAGGTCTGGCAAGACATTCATGGCAAACCCTCGGATCTTCAAGAAAGAGGCGGCGTTGTACTTTCCGAACTTCCATGGCGATACACTAGAGGGCAAGGACAGAGACACGACCAATGTATTGACGGGGAAGGTCAGTGTGGTGAATGTATACAGTTCACAATGGGGTTTAAATCAGGTGGAGACATTCACTGGGGCTAAGACGAATGCCAATCTGCACAACATGCTTGCACAGCATCCAGGGGTAGCGCAGATGGTGGATGTCAATATTGAAGAGAACACCATGAAAGCATGGATCATTGCACTCTTCCAGTGGCGGTTGAAGGCCTCGAAACCAAAAGAGGATTGGAGCAAGTACTTCGTTGTCAGGAAAGGAGTCAGCGAGAGAATACGAGAGACAATTGGCTTGCTGAACGGTAGAGTTGGATACATTTATCTTGTGGATCAAGATTGCAAGATTCGGTGGGCAGGGAGCGGGAATGCAGAGGGCACAGAGATGGAGGACATGAACAAAGGGTTTGCCAAGCTGATTGCTGAAGCGCAATAACGCTCCAACAGGAAGAAGCATTGTAATGTTGTAAGATACTTGTACACCATGACGGCTCAGTTGCCTTGTATAAAACAGAACGAAACAAGGTCATGAGGATATCCACCCGCCCAAACGCCGTGTATGAATATGATAAACCAAAGACAGTCACCTAAACCATAATAGCATAAGGAAGCAGAACGCAATGAAGCTCGCCAGTATGATACCGTCTCTTCGTTTCTTGGACCCAATCCTTCCCATCAAACTGTTGATTCCGGGCACCTGGCTTGCAGCACCCACTATTCTCCGGTTGATGTTCGCCAGCGTCTCCCTCTGTATAGCGAAGTTCTCTTGTACTGCATATGCTTGGCTAAGAACTGAGTCGGCCATGTTGTGTGAGTTGTCGATGCGGTTCCGTTCGTCAAGCATGTAATCGGCCTCAGCTTGGTTGGCTGAACGATAGGCATCGATGTCTGATCGTACGTTCGAAAGCAGGTTGGCTCGGTTTCGGGCATCGTTCAGAGAGGACTTAAGACGAGCAAGTTCGCGGCGGTGATCTGAGAGCACTTCGCGATGTCTGGCAAGGTTATTTTGCTTGACGGCGGAAGAGCCATGGCTTGATTCGGAGTCGAGTAGTCGTGATAGCTGAGCCACAAGCGCGTCCCGCTGCTCAAGGATTTCTTGTAGTCTAGTCTCTACCCGCAACTCCTCCTCTGAGGGTTTCGCCGGAATGTTTGGTGTCGAGCCGAACTGTGAATATGTGTGGAACAGCGTCTCGGTCTGGCATTCTTCGTTAGCAGGGCGGGTGTGAAGGCGGGTCAAGTGTGCCGCAGTAGTGAGTAAGGGAAGCCTACTTGCTGTTCCAGCGTGCGCGCTTGCTGGCGTAGTTGCGCCCATCCTCCCCCGGTGGAAGACATGTCGAATGTTACACTCTCTCTGCAGGTGAATGCAGCTGCAACGGATCTCGGAGTTCTGGCATCATGAGTGTCGCACCTGCCTGGCGCGGACTACGCAATGCACGGCCAAGACGCTAGTCCGCATTAGTGATCGGCGAAAAGTTAAGCGAAACACCGCTCCGGCCAACACAGTCATTTCGATCAACGAGACCATCGTTGACGACACGCGATACCCCATCTACACCACCCGGTCCTACTAACACACAGTCAAAATGGTACGTTCCCGATCTCAATGTTGCATCTGGAGGGGATATCTTGTTGCGCTGCCCTGAGAGCACCTGCAGTGGCAGGGTCGGGCAGTCGCAGCCTCTGCTAGTGGTGCTGCGCAAAAATCGAAATTATACAATTAAGGGAACAAATGCTAACTGAGTGCTTGTAGTCTGCCCCCAAGGTCGTACGTGAACCCTCGCTCATTCAAACCACTGCCTCCCGCCTCGTACTCACAACCGTTGCAGAAGACCGCCCAGCTGTGGAACAAGTCCAAGGATGAGCTCGCGTCTCAGCTCGCTGACCTCAAGTCGTACGTCGCCTAGGAATCGAACACGGAAACACGGATTGGAGTGCTGACGGAAGTAAAGGGAGTTGATTCAGCTCAGGACCGCCAAGGTTACCGGAGGCTCCAACACCAAGCTCACCCGCATTCATGACGTTCGCAAGGGCATCGCTAAGGTTCTCACCGTCATCAACGCCAACCAGAGGGCTCAGCTCAGGCTCTTCTACAAGGGCAAGAAGTGCGTCAAGATGAGGAAAAAAATTATAGCGAGGCTAGTAGCTAATACCATGCAGGTACACTCCTCTCGACCTCCGCCCCAAGCAGACCCGCGCCATCCGCCGAAGACTCACCAAGCACGAGGCTTCTCTCGTCACCGAGAAGCAGAAGAAGAAGCAAACACACTTCCCCCAGCGAAAGTACGCCGTCAAGGCATAAGCGTGCTTTTGCGAAGGTGTTTCTCTTTTCTTCCTTTGTCTCATGAAGCATTGCATTGCCGGGGCTTTTCCAGCTAGCGACTCACCCGTGTACTCGTAGTACTATACTCCAGAGGAACGAGGAAGGTGGCGTAGCAAATGGGAGTGGACGGACAGGGCGATCTTTAACGGAAATGGGTTGGCGTCCATGTCAAGATCTATGAATAAAAAAGTTCAGACAAGCACGGAAATGATACCTCATGATTTGTGAAAGGAGTGTTTTGACTTTTTTACATGGACTTTTTTGACATTGGATTCGCATGTTGAATCACAAAACCGTCGCAGGGGAGCGTCGGGTCTACAGTGTTAAGGCAAATTTCTTTGATGTCAAAGGATACAGCGATTGTGTTTGCAAGATTGCTTATAATTGCTATGCGGCTAACATTCTATACTAACGCCTAAACAGGAACACTAGGGCTTTTTATGTTTCTATCTTCCTACCTAGCCTTGACATTGTTCCAGACATGGCCTCAGTGTACCTACTCCCATTCCTTGTACAAACTGAGGTCTTCAGCCTTGACACCCACCATCTCTTCCCTTACACCAATGACACCCACCTTGCCAGTGGCTTCTGGATCATTGTACTGTGCCAGGGATGATTTGAGTTTTTGGAGCACCTCATCCTTGTCCTGGACAAGCAGGACGATGGCGTCGAAGCCACCAGCTCCAGGCACAACACCGCCGACGACACCCTCGAGGGTGGAGCAGTAATCCAGCAGACGGGTCTGCTGAGGCGGCTCAATGGGCACGCCCGACTTGTCGCCCATGGCGCGAATCAAAGCACGGTTCTGAGAAATGATCTGGCGGAGGGTATTGTACTTGGAGAAATCCTCGCCCTGCTCATCGGTCGCCAGCCGCGTAAGCTCGGCAGCCAATGCTTCGTTGCCAGTCTGCAACTCGTTCCAGATCTTGTTCGCTTCGTCCTGCTGCTCTGCTCTCCACGCAAGGACCTTTTTCACCATGCCGGGCGTCTCGCTGCCGCAGTCGACGTCGCACATGACGAGGCGGAGGCCCTTGGGCATCTTGATGGCAGCCTTCTTGATCTCAGTATCCCATGCAGAGCCCTCGACGAGCGAGCGCAGCTTCGTTGCGAAGCCGGTAGTGCCCGGTTGCGGGAGGCTGCTGAGCAGTGAGGGCGAGAAGCGCTTGTACAGACAAGATCCGAAGACCGCGCTTGCGATATCGAAGCCTGAGCCGACTTTGCCCTGGGCATACGAGTGGCTTGCCTGGGCTAGGTTGTGCAGCGTCATCTGGCCCTTTTCGGTGGTGAGGTCGAAAAGATCCTTGGGAAGATAGAAATCTAGGACTGCAGCTGTGAAACTTGTGACAAGGGCTGCACTGCTGCCTAGGCCGGTCTTGTGCGCTTCTCGGAGAGAGACATTGAAGTCTTGGAAGCGCGAGACTTTGTTGGAGGTTGCGGAAGTGCGGGCGGTGCCTGGATTTGAGTAGTAGGCCTGGTCGGCTAGGATGCGAATGTTGGAGGGCTGGATGAGGGTGTTGGGGAGGAGGGAGTGGATGTAGGTTAGGGCATAAGTGAGTGCGGTTTCTATGAAGGGGTTGCGGGATTGGGCAATGGATTGTTCGTGACCGCTGGGTAGGTGTTAGTCATGCTTGTGTTTGATAGAACAAACAAAATTGTGGGTATACGTCTTAAAGCGCAATTGCAGAGTACAAAATCGAAGACGGTGGAGACGGCTGCAGCGAGGTGGGTATCTGTAGACCCTGATCCATCTCACCAGTCATGTGACAGTGGGCAAGACGGGGGTAAATACAGAATCCGAACTGAAGCGTAAAACAACCTTGTTGAAGAAGCATGGCTTCGGACTACTGCAAGGAAACCCTGTGGGTGTTCATCGCTGCTTTCTGTATTGCTTCTGGTGGAACGTGTGATTGGGTGGTTGCAACGAGTGCATTACCCGATTGAGCAGATGGACGGAATAAGGCTTGAGATGCAACACGAAAAAGTAAAGACAGTTATTGATCGACCCAGAAGCAAGGGGATTGGGAACAGAGACGACCAGTAGGACAAAAGAGATGAGATACTCACATGCTGAGCTGAGTTACGGCGATGCCGCCATCTCCGTCCTGCAGCCTGTAGCCATACTCCCAGATGGCCTCACGGAATTGCGGGCTGGTGACCAGAATGCCGTTGATGGTGACGCCAGACCTCGTCTTGACGGGCTCTACAAGAGAGTGGATTCTCGCGTCGAGGCCGAATACCAAGCCAGTGTAGTCCCGGTCGAGCACAAGGTAGCCACCGGCGACTAGGACTTTGGCCGGACAAGACACGGCAGTCGGACTCAACGGCGCGTCCGAGGAAGACATGGCGGAAAGTGGAGCAGCGGGAGGGATAGGCAGGCAGCGGCACGATGGAACAGTCGGATTTGTAATAAGACGGTCGGATGGAGCAACGATATTGGCGCACAACTGTTAGTACGGACGGGCAGGTAGGAGAAGGGGCTTGCTTGAGGCGGGGTGGGCAGGCTGATGTAAAGGGACTGCAAGTGCGGTGGGTCTCTGATGCCACGACTCTCTTGCAGACAGCGTCGAGGGCGGTGTTTTGCAGAGTCGTTCTGGATGCGGATAGAGGCCGACGGGGCTACTACATGCACACATGCTCGCTCGGTCTCCGGTGATGGAGCATGTCACGTGCGCTTGGGTCTGCTGCGTCCGTACTAGGTGTAGTATGCTGTTACCACGGGGGCAGAGTACTACTACATAGGGGACACGTCGCGCAATGGCCATACGATTTGCCGCGGCCTCGACACGGGCTCTGCGATCGGGCTGGGCGCACAGAGGCAAACTGCAAAGGCAATCAGCTGCACGTCACATCCTGTGGGGTGCAGCCGTCTTGTTCTCGTTCTGCGAGCCCATGGACGCCGTCGACGGTGCCAGAGACTGCCCGGGGCCGACATGGGCGAGACGGCGGGTGGCTGCCATTGGCCCGGAAACATCCACCTCTCCCCGTACTCACATCACACACTGCGCACGCTACACCAGCCCCCGGCACTGCGCCTAGTGCGATAATTTTTCGGCAAAGCTAGCGTCCATGCCATCGGTCCTAATCACTTTTCATGACGACTACGAGCTGTGCGCTCGAAGCTTCCTTCTGCATTCCCGCTAACCAAGTTGCCTTCGTGGCTCACAATATCTTCCTCCAGGCCACAGTGTGCCGTTTCCTCTCCCACTCCCTCGTCCCTCTCCTGTTCCCCTGCGACGACGTCTCCGGGCCACTACCCGCCACGCTGCGAAGCCCACAGTAGCATTTGCTCACCTTTGCCCACCTCTCCCCAACCACCCCACGTCCTCCTTACACCCGAAAAGCGCGTTTGTTTGACGGTCATCGTCAAATGAACCTGCACCGTCGCGTAGGGATCTCGAGAATAGTACGTACATGGTAATTTCGTCCGTCGGCATCCACTCCCCACCCGCACTAGTTGCGCACCGCAACCGTAATTCTGCTGCCTAAACACCAAGAAAAAAAATCCGTCGTGAAACGCGCCGGCCTATCTCCGAGTCCCCGCAGCACCTTCATCTTTAGGCTTCTACCTCGGGCCTCTTGTGCTGACCGTCGTCGCCCAGTCTCACCCTTCCCATCCGAAGGGCTCCTCCAATTCCTAAATGGTCTTTAAGAGCTTCCACCTCGCGCGCCAGAGTCTTGCCAAAGGCTTCACTCACGGTTATGCTCAATCAGTAGTTGCTGGTGTTAGCCAGAACAATCCACTCGCCTCCCTCCAACACGACCGCTTCCGCAAAGGCCTCAAGAACCAACATGCCTTTGCATCTACCTCGTCTACCACGAGCGCTCTCAAGGCGCTCGCCGTCGCACAACCCGATCACCAGGACTCAGGCCTAGCCGCATACTACACCGCGTGGCAGAAGCACCAGAGAACTGATGACAAGGAATGGTCGCAGTTTCAATTCCGCAAGCTCATCGAATGGGACCCGGCAAGCGCCAAAAATGTGGCCGAGGTCAAGGAAAGCAGCGTTGCTATTGAAGAAACAGCAGACCCAGTTCCCGCTCCCGCTCGTGGCTCCATCAATCGCGCGTACAGTACCAGCCAGGTAGAAGATTTCAAGAAGGCTGTCGGCAGTGAAGAGGCGGAAAAGATTGCGCTTGCAAAGGTTGACGAAGCAATTGCACAAGAGGTGGCGAAACACAAGGCTGGCAATGAATCCGTACAAGCCGCTGACGAAGTCTCCGCCATTGAAGAGGTTCGATCGCAATCTTCTGCAACAGTCGACGACACTCTCGTAGGATCGCCAACTTTCAGCCACACAGAATCAACTATCGCCACCAGCCCAATTGAAGCCCACGATGAGTATACCGTACAGCTCCAGAAACTGGCCATCAACCGCAACTATGCTGAAGTTCCCGCCGTTTTCGAGGCTATGCTCCGTTCCGATGTCAAGCCATCAGTCACCGCGTACAATGCTCTGCTATCCGCAGCGATACACCTTCCCCGTGCACAACACCAAGTTGTTCCCAAGGCCCTGGATGTATACTCGGACATGCTTCGTCGACGAGTCGTTCCCGACACCACTACTTACACCACTCTTCTCGAACTGCTTTCCGTCCGGTCTTTGGAAGTTATTTCTTTGAAACAGAGCTTCGAAGACAGGCGACTACGATATGGCGGAATGGAAGAAGAAGGAAGGTTCATGCTCCAATCGCACGAGACTGACTACGCTATCCTGGCTGAAGATGGATCACTGTCAATTGCCGTAAGGCTTTTTGATGCCGCCGTCAGCAGTGAATCTAGCCCCACTTTTTCGGAGAAGACTTACCGACTGCTTGTCACTGCCTGTGCGGAGAACGACCGTGTAGAGGATATGGTGCGAATCTATTCGCACATGGAATCTCGTGGCGTAACTCCGGCTGCTGACATGTTCGTCCCAATGATCCACGCTTTCGGCAAGTCTGGTGACTTGAGGAGCGCGGTCGAGTGCTACGACGAATACAAAGCCCTCGCAATCTCAAACGACAATGGCGAGATTGAAATCAGCAGGAAAGACAATGACGTGTATGCCGCCCTTGTCAAGGCATACGCAGTTTGCGATCGCCTAGAGGGTGCTCAAAAGTTTGTGTCAAAGATCGAGAGCGGACTCACTGCACCTGAAGAAGTCACTTCGGTTCGTGACATCGTAGGCCTCAAGGCTTTCCTCCCGGAGTGGCTGAAGAACGGTTCCTTTGATGAAGCCTACGTACACGCCACCGAGTATCTCAGCCCACAAGCCCGCCAAATCGCCATGGCTGCTATTTGCATCAAGGCTGCTGACCGCGACGCCGTCGAGGTTGCTACCCAGGCTTTCGATGACCTGCCGGCCGAGGTTGACCTCTCTCGACCGGCTATGGCCATGGGAGCCATGCACATTCGCACTGGAAACATTGAAGCAGCCGAGGTCTTCTGGAGGATGCTTGAGCTGTCGCCGACGAAGCCCGACTTCATTGAACCTACCGCTATGCATAGCATAGCATTGATTGGTAGCGGACATGCGGAACGTGGTCTTCGTCAGGGTCGTCAGATGTTTGCTCGCATACGGGACTCTCAGTCTGGCTCTACTCAAGCCAAGATGGAGATCGTAGAGCACATTGACGAGGCTATCGAGGTTATGGGACAGTTCATGATGAAGCGTGGCATCTTCCTTCAGCCGCGGGCTAGCATGGAACTGATGTGGACGATGATTGAAAACGGCGGCCTAGTCACCCCAGTTGCTCACCACCTACTTGCTGGAATGGGACCTGAGGCCGTTGTTCAACTCAACTTCGACGACATCACGCTCCTGATGCAGGTCCAATCCGGCATCCTCCTTCAGGAGGCCGAAGTTGACGTTGCTCACGCTGCACGGTTCGCCCATCTTCTCGAAGTCATCACTGCCACCGGCACGCCAGTCAACAAGGCAACATCTAGTCTTGTTGAGCAGGTCCTTGCCAAGCTCGACAGAGGTGACCTACAGCACCGTTGGTATGCTTACAAGCACCCGTCCCCAGACGCCGTGTACTCTCCAGGGCAGTTTGCCAATTATCCTGTCCAAGCACCTGCCACTCCTGCAGCACCTTCTTTCGAGGACCAGTACGATCCATATGCCGCGTCCACCGATAACAAGGGATCGGTTGCTATTACCGAGCTGCTCGAGAAGACTCACGGTCGCTCATCTAACCACCTCAATGAGGCTTTGATGAAGTTCAGGAACATGCGCCGGGCTGGCCGCCACCCCCGATTCTTTACCTATGCCAAGCTCATCACCGCAGCTGCAAAGGAAGACCGTTTGAATCTGGCTCACGACATCTTGAACCTCGCCAAGCAGGATGTTCCTCTTCTACCGCAGTACCGCATCGTCCGATACGGTTGGGTTACTATTCTGGATGCAATGGTCGCTGCTTGCCTTACTTGCAATCAGCGTGATCTCGCTGGCAGGTACCACCAAGACCTGCTTGAGATGGGTGCTGCTCCTACCGCCAACACCTTTGGTCTCTACATCACTACCCTCAAGGAGTCTACCAAGACTTTTGATGAGGCGACCGAAGCTGTCAAGATCTTCCTCCGCGCAAAGGCCGAGGGTGTTGAGCCCTCGTCCTTCCTCTACAACGCCCTCATCGGCAAGCTTGGAAAGGCTCGCCGTATTGACGACTGCCTCTTCTACTTCTCCGAGATGCGCAACCTCGGTATCCGACCTACCTCTGTTACCTACGGTACCATTGTCAACGCTCTGTGCCGTGTCAGTGACGAGAAGTTTGCTGAGGAGCTGTTTGAGGAGATGGAGAGCATGCCCAACTACAAGCCTCGCCCTGCTCCCTACCACAGCATGATGCAGTTCTTCCTGACCACCAAGCGCGACCGCAGCAAGGTTCTTAGCTACTACGAGCGCATGCGTGCTAAGCGCATTGAGCCCACTACGCACACCTACAAGCTATTGATCGACACCTATGCCACGCTTGAGCCAGTTGATATGGAAGCGGCAGAGAAGGTACTTGAACAAGTTCGCAGTGCTGGTGCCGTTCCAGAAGCTGTCCACTACTCGTCATTGATTCACGCCAAGGGCTGTGTGATGCACGACATGGAAGGCGCTCGTCATCTCTTCGATACCGTTCTTAGCGACAGCCGCATGCGTCCCCAGGCCTGCCTCTACCAGGCACTGTTTGAAGCCATGGTTGCCAACCACCAGATTGCCGATACCGAGTCTGTTCTCATCGACATGCGTGCCCGCGGTGTCGAGATGACTCCTTACATTGCCAACTCCCTCATTCACGGCTGGGCTCTTGCTCACGACATCGAAAAGGCGAAAGCCATCTACGATTCCGTTCCAGAGAGTAAGCGTGAGCCTAGCACCTACGAAGCCATGACGCGTGCCTATATGGCCGTCGAGGACCGCTCAGCGGCCATGACCGTCGTCAACGAGGGTCTTTCCCGCGGCTACCCCGCTGCCGTTGCCGGCAAGATCCTTGAGCTTGTCGGTGGTGGTCGCGCCCCCGTATCTGAAGTCGCTGTCTAATTTCGGCTTTCAGTTACACACATCTCTTTCTCTTCTTCTCTTTGATTCTATCACCTTTTATGGTGTTTCAATCATATACAACTTTTTTTTACCTGATTTACTTGGACGACCGAACCAACTAAAAAAGAATTTTCAGCTCAGTCCCCCTTCTCTTGTGTTGCTGTTGAGCTGCTTTTTTTCCGCTCCGGCAATTGGGGGACTGGGCTAACTATATAAACTCGTGTTTGTTTTTTTGGCATGTCGCTTCTATAGTTTTTAGCGACGGCGTTTTGTTTCATCATTGGGTTCTCGGTCATGTCTTATTTTTCTCTCTTGTCTCTCTCGTCTTTTTTGATTTTTTTGGATGCGTCTTTACGATATCCCCGCAATTTAGCAATGGGTGAGGGTTGGGGAAGCTGGGTTGGGTCGGTTAGGTTTTTTCTTGTTTTCTCTCTGGCGTCCTTAATGTGTGTGTCACGATGGGACGGGGATTGGAAAATCGAAAAAAGGGCCTGGTTGGCTGACCTGATTTTCTCATATTACCCAGGGCTGGGTTCATGTTTTTCTCATGGCGGGCAAAGGGGATTTCTTTTTTGTTGATAATGGCCATGATGTTTCTTTTTTTTTGTTGGTAAAAAGGCATGATGGTGTTTCTCTGCTGGGCTGTGTAACAATACCCTTAGATTTATACCATCTCCTCTCTAGATTATGCACGGAAGGCATGAGTGTGGTGTGTGTTTGGGGAGTAGATATGTAGACGTAGTGATACATGGTGTGTGAGTGAGTTGCAATGGAAATAAGAAATATACAATAACAAAAACGGGCTCTCTCATGGTTGATTGCGAGGAAGATGGTGTGGTGGGTGTGAGCGAGTGACTGTGAATACATGTCAACCTTATGCACACTCCTTTCTGGCAAATCATCCCATGTGAAGATGCCAAGTCACATTCTTCCTCACCCTGTCCATTTCTTCCGAGGATAATACAAAAAAACCCACATCCATTCACACACACACAAACCCACTTGTTCACTTTTTCCTCAACTGATCAAGAGTCAATGAAAAAAAAATAGATGGTATAAATATTAAGGTCATGAAAATCGTCTAAAAAATTATAAATGGGGGGAGGTGTTTCAATCCGCCACTCCTCTCCTCCCACAACTCATCCCCCCAAATGTTTTATATACATACGATGAGGTATCTATGTACACATTTTCTCTCCCTCTCTTCCCTCTTTCGGCCAATTATTTTACCCCTCCCCCCTCCCCCCCTTCTTAGCTCTGCAACATCTACCTCTAGCCACTCTCAATCGAACAGGGCAGGGAGAGAGAGAGTCTCTTTAATTGTAATTCCTCGTCTCGGTCGCTTGGTCTGCTTCTCGTGCGAGACGGTTCTCGTTTGCGGCTTGTTGGAGGGTCTGGTTATTTGTCTGGCGTTTCTGGGCGTCGAGCTTCTTTTGGAGGTCGCCGGAGGTGGATTTGTTTGCACGGGCCTGAGTATATGGGTTAGCTTTTTGGTTTTTTTTTTTGGCTGCTTGATTTGTTACGGAGTGGTGTTTTTTTTGTAGGCAAGCGTGGCTTTTCCCATTGCTGGTACAATGCCAGTATTCGCCATAGTGGGTGCGCGTATCTCTACATAGGATGTGTTGTACCGTACCTCGGCTGCAGCGGCGGCGGCTGCTTTTGGATCGTCTTGCTTATTGCTGTCGCCTAATGTGCGCGGTGGGCCTCCGACTTTTGGCTTTGGGGCGGCGGCATTGTTGGGTACGGATGCGCGTGTTGTGGGCGCAGGCGCGGAACCGAGTGTGCGCCCCGGGCCGTCGAAGTTGTCTTTGGACTGTTTACCGCAGAGGTTGCCCATGTGTGATGTTGATACGGTAGTGCTGTTTAGGTGGTGAGAGGTAGAAGGCAGCTAGAAGGCAGCTAGAAGGAGGAGGGCTGTTGGGGAGAGCCGTCGTGTATCAGATGTGGCTGTGCTACTCAGCAGAGGGTCCAAGGAGGGTTGTTGCTGACCTGTCAGCCTCAACAGGCGCGGGGGAGGTGAGTTGGATGGACGACGCAGACGCGTGGGATTGGCGCCAAGTACCCGTTTCTCGGATTCCCGGCTATGCAGCTGTGTTCCAGGGTCGCCAGTCATGTCATGGTGCCGTTCTTTTGTTCATCTGTCTCCAACACTGGCGACCGCCGCAAATAAGCCATGCCTATCGCAGCCATCAGTCGCAGTCGCAGTCGCATTGCAGGTGAGTGGGTACACTAAAGCCGTAGTGCGCACTAATCCGGAGTGCCCAGTCTGCTGCAACGAAGAGATGGCGGTCGCCGCAGATCAAGGCGTGGCAAGGCTAATGTGTGAATGGCGGCGCACACACACCTACGGCTGCGCAACAGCGTGCAGTCAATCTAGCAATGACCAGGGTATCCATTCTATCCAGAAAGAGCAACGTTATGGGGTACACAACCAGCGCAGGCACAGAGCGGATGCGACATTTCGATTTTCCAAAGAGCGGCCAATGACGACACTTACAACTCAAGCTCAGAACTACACGTGATAGGCGGACGGCATTCTCGCGAGGCGCTAATCCCCATGCATTCCCTCTCCCTCGAGCGCTATGCGTCCGTCCCAAGTCTCCAAATCTTCACTGATTGTAGAGACAAGTCGAGAGAGGCTTGCCTCATCAAAGGGTCACGCTCACGTACGTCGCCCAAAAATCCCCTTTCACTTGTCTATCCTCGCAACCATACAAAGTCGAGTGTCCAACTTGAGTACCGAGATGGCCTGCCTTGTAACACTTCCATATTGTCGACCCATACGCATGCGACTCTGCCCTTCGAACAAAGGAACCAGCCGACGCCCAAAATGACTAACAGCTGTGCAGATTGCGATCGCGACTCGGCCTTTGGCGACGACGACCACCTCCGGGCTTCAGGGCCCATGTTTCCCTCCCCCGTCGTTGCAGGCACAAAGCGGGACGCCAATGAATTGCGAGACGACGACCCAGAATCCATCCAAACAGCGGGTCTGAGCTCAGAAGAGTACCCTCTTGACCCCCAGCTGTGTTGCAATAGATGCCCTGAAAACTGCCCAGAAGCAATCGATGTGCGCCCGACAAAACGCAAGGCTTCAGCTGACAAGGTTGGCGAATTCCACCATCCTACTATCACAGAGTCACACCAGGCTACCGAGCCAGACTGCCCCTTCCCAGACGACTCTTTTGAAAAGTTTTGTCAGGAGTGCAATCTGGAGCCATCTTCTCACTCAGATTGCTCAGGCCCGTGTCCCGCCAACGACTGCGTCCAAGATGACGCTTGCTTTGACCCTCGATGCACTCAGAAGAACGCGCACTGTACCGACAACTGCGTAGACCCAGATTGTACCAAGGTCGCCTCTCCAGACCAACCATGCTTCTGTCAGAAGTGTAACGCTGCACCTTGTCCATTGGGTGACCCAAACAACGAATGTCACTTCGCTCACACCGCTCCTACCCCCGTTGGTACAATATACTGTTACGACGATGCGCCGTGCCACTTTCAGGAAGGGATTCATAGCCACCAAGGCAGCCTTGCTTCCTTTGAGACTTATCCTTGCTTCTCTCAGACTCATGACTACCACCCTGCCGACGACGTCACGACGACAACCTCGAGCGCCCCGACACCAGCACTGTCACACAGCAACTATACCTCGCTAGAAAGTGCCTTCACCACCGAACAATCACCAGCACCTGGAAAGACAGCCTTTTCACCACACTGTTTTCTCAATGTTACTGGAGACCACTGTCACATTGACAATTCGTGTTGCCACGGCCCCCGTAGAGCATGTGGCGACGCCCCATCTGCATCACAACTGCAGTTGGATCTGTGGGACGCATCAGTCGCACAGGGAAATGGGCTGGCCACCAACTTTATGAACTTTGGGTTCAATCCTAGTCTGCCCACTAGTCCCATCTCAGTTGATCGGAGCTCAATACATGCCACCAATCCTTTCAGCCTTGGAGACCCTATGCTGGGCTTTAATGACCACTCTTGGATGCTGACAGATTCTGCGTTCCCAAACGTCTACCAACCAGCAGGCTCATTTGGCACTATGAACAAGCTTGATTTTCTTGCTTCTGCTGTTCAGAACGATATTTTACGTCCAAACACTACAATTTCTTCAGGTTCAAGTACAGTACTGGGGGCTGCTACTACTGCTACTGGAGATGGACAGACCTGTGTTTGTAAATGGTGAGTGATTTCCGAGTTTTGCACGCTGTCAGCTGCATAGACCCGGAACCCCCTTGACATTTTCTGCAACAGCACGACTTATACTAACAATCATTTAGGCAACATGGCCCTGGAATGCTCTGCCTGGCGCTCTTCGATACCCCAGAAGCACTACACAAGCACATCAAGACCATGCACGTGGACAATTGCGCGCACTGCTTCTGTCAATGGGAAGGCTGTGATGCCTCTACCAAAGACTTTAAGCAGCGCTCCAAGCTCTCTCGTCACCTCCTCGGCCATGCTGGCTACCGCCCATATGCCTGCAGCTACGATGGTTGCGACAAAACGTTTGCCACGAACCAAGCCAAGGATAACCACGAGAGAACACACACGGGCGAACGACCCTATGTGTGTGACCGCTGCGGATACACGACAACGACGCATACACAATTGCAAACACACATCAGCGCTCTACACGAGGGCAAGAAACCGCACAAGTGTCGCTTCTGCGAGTTTACTTGCGCCGACTCGAGTAATTTGAGTAAACACGAGCGAACACATCAGGTGAGTCGACTACTTTTGAGAATATCTCGTGCGGGATTGTGTAACACGTAGCATTCCTCACGAGACAAAAAAAAGAGATAGACAGTAATACTAATTTTTTCACTCAGACACTTCGCCCTTACCGCTGTCCGCAGGAAAACTGCACCTTCAAACCCGACTGTCGCTGGGAGAACCTGAAACGCCATCTCCGCCGGTCAGGCCACTGTCCGCAGCTACTCGTTGAGACGAGCGACGAGTACAAGTTGTATCGCGAGAGTGTGCGCCGCGAGATTGATGACTGGCACAAGAGGAATGAGGATGGGGGTCTGGGCAGGGCGGGAAGGAGAAAAGGCGGTAGGACTGCGAGGTAGGTGGTAAAATATTTATTATATGTAAGGGTGTGAGTGGGAATATACTTCCATTTTGGGAGGATGAACTGGGTGTTGAGGGGGGGGTATGTTACATTGGATATGCCAGTTGATGAGCAGGCAAGAAGAAGACGTGGTGCAAACAGACACCAGATACTTGGAATCCGGAATTATGGGTCAATGGCTGATGAGAGAGAGACACACATATATAAACAAGAATAACTGAAGACACCATATCAATGACGAATATGTAGCCATGAATAGATAAACAAACGAATAAAAGAGAATTGCAGACACTCATTCTGTCTTGTACTCCATGTATGTTTGATAAGAAAGTATTGCTAGCACGGCAATGTCGATGGGTATATATTCTTGCAATGCAAAAAGAGAGAGAGAGAGATAGAAAGGACAGTTAGGAAGACGATCCATTCAGAGAAAAGAGCAACAAAAAAACGAAGATAAAAAGGTCTCCCAAGTTTTCCAAAGTTTCTATGGGCCCCCAGCCCCACCGCCTCGACTAATCCAAATGAACAACCATAAAAACCGCAATGCAGAAACCTGACAAATATCTGTACAACACGCATGCTTTCTATCCATTCATCCTCCCCTTTGGCCTCTCACTCTGTTTTTTTTTGTTCGCTCACCATCAAAACAACAGTACCAACAGCTTACAATGAACCACCAGTCGCTCTTCAGCCATACAACAAAACAAAACCCCTTCAAGAAAAAAAATTTGGCCAAAAAAACGTATCCCAAACAAGCGGTAAGGGGGTTGAGGAATATCACAGATATAGATATATATGTATATCAGAATCAAAAAAGAAACACACACACACCCACATTAAACACCCTCTTCCCCCTTCCCACCGTTGGAGGAGCGCTAGAAAGGGCCAAAATAAAGGCCATATGTACAAATTACTTTGGGTTTCCAACACTTTGAATTAACTCTACTCTTCTCTATCTCTCCTCAAACGGGGTAAAACTCTCCCCCTCACCTAAGAAGGCGAAGAAGAGAGTGAAAACATGAAAAAAAAAGAATAAGGGTTTTCATCGCAGGGGATGGGTAGATCATGCGATTGGGTATAGAACGGCAGACGCGAAACGTAAAACCGGTCAAGAGAGAAAGATGGCCGCAAGCGCTAGGGTGGCGTGATTTACAAAGACGGATGATGGCGATGGGTGTCAGCCGAAGCGGCCCAGAGGGTGTGCAGCCATAGGAGGATGACGCTTTGTGTAGTAAAGAGCGAATTAGACACTAGATGCACAGGCGGGTCCTTCCATCTCTTGGCCAGAATCATCAGAGAAAAACAAAACAAAATAAGTAGATGTGGCCGTAGTAGGGATGGCGAAGCTTGATGGATCTAAAGGCTCCGAAGACACCAAAAGCAAGCAACAAAAGAGGGGGACCCTGGGCGGGGTGAGGAGTGCCGATGACCACGGGGTCATGTGTTGAAAATGTGGAACAGAAACAGCGCGTGAACAGACATTATCGTGGCGGCATTACGGTTTGTGGACAAGGTCAATGAGCGTGCTAGAGCCTGGGGAGTGAACATCCGGCGTCCCTGTGAGTGGCGGTCGCTTCACAGAAGGTAGAGGCGCAGATACGACACGGCTCTCGCCCTTACAGATTCGCGCGTAGGGCGGGGACTGCCACGGAGTAGACGAAGCTAGGAAAGATTAGCAGACCAGATACAGACAGCATCACTAAGGGCTTGAAGGCCCTCGGTCACCTCGACTCCGGTGCCCTCCAATGATTGCGCTATCGCCCTCAATGGTCTTTCGCCAGTGCTGCGGCAAGCAGACGCAGACCAAGGGGAAGGCCTTGATCTCGCTGTCCTCTAGCGGCATTCTTCCACTGGCGCTGCTAACGCCCGAGTCGCGTTGCTCGGCTTTTCGCGCTTCCCATTGCTCTGCCGTTTCGGATATCCTGACGCCAGTAGCCCAACCGTCATCCCAGATACCAACAACCTTGAGCATGTCACCTCTTTCAAGCTCAAATTCGTCGCCAGCGCGAGGCTGGTAGGCCCAGAGAGTAGCAACAGTATCGTTGGGGTGGATGTCATCTTGGGAATAGTAATCTTTGAAGAACTGGAGCTGTTCGGACTGAGAGGTAAGACCGTCGGGGCTAGACAAGCTGCGGCTCTGATCAGAGCCAGAAAGGGGCGAGGAGTGCATGCCAAGAGCCGAGTGACTTGACAAGGAGCCCTGGCGCTTTGGGAGTCCTGCAGCTAGAGCACCACGTATTGATTCTGGAGAATCGTAAGCGCCGAGTTGAGAGCCACCATACGCAGTCAGACGACCGCCCCTATCGCTGTTGTTGGCGGACGACGTGGCATCCTCCAAGGCCGACATGCGCTGGACACGAGCGCCTGGGAGAATGGTAGCCGCGTGATTGGCGTCACCACCAAAGGCCATGGGAGGGACGGGGTTGCCCTTGGAAGAGTGATGTCGCGATGGCGAGGGAGTGTTGAAAACGCTACCGGCCTGGCTATACTTTTGTCTGCGCCTCTGCATGCAGCAGAAGATGACAGCGGCAATTACCAGGGCGGCACCAATAAGTGATCCAATAACGATACCAGCAATAGCACCTCCCGAGAGTCCCTGTTTCGAGTTGTGTCCGCCGGATGCTCCACCAGCCGTGGAGGTTGGTGAAGCAGACGAGGTGCTAGTTGGGAAGACAGGAGGCATGGAAATGGTGGTGGGAAGATCAACATTTTGGCAGCGGGCGTCAACATTGGCATTGACGCAGCATGTGTCGGTCGAGTTGGTGGTGCTTCCAGCGCAAAACAAGCATAGTCCTTCAAGATTGTTCTGGAAACCACATTCTGTGGGCTCGTTTTTTACCGCTTCAATGCAAGTGGTGCTGAGAGCGTCTGCAGGGTTGGAGCAACGGGCAAAATCTGAGCGAATCTGGGGCACTGCGTTGTTGCCAGGGGTACCGCAGAGCTCCGGGCTTGATATTATCACCTGTTCGCTAATGGCAAATTCGGCCTAAAGATAGTCAGTATGGTGGTGCAGTTGGGCGGTTCAATCTACATACGCAAGCATCAGCACATAGCGGTGTCGCGGCTTGGTCACTGAGGCCACACGATTGCTTCGAAGACTGGACAATGGCATTGCACAAGACTGTTGTTGTAAAGCGAGCATAGAGATTGGTGGTGCTAGTGAGATTGACCTTTGAACAACCAAGAATGTCTTCGTATCTGGCAAAAAAGCGTTAGTCATGTCGTGGGGTAAAGGCCATTTATGCCAAGGCCGAACTGACTGTTGCTGGGCGTAACCGGTCGCTATGTAGTTTCTCAGGCCTTGGTCAAAAGACTGCGTGTTGGACACAAACTTGAGAAAGGGACTGCTCGGTATTAGTCTTGCTCGTGGTCGGGCAGTATGCATCATTATTGGACGTACAAGTTGCCGGTCAGGTTGGTGTTGATCGAGGCCGAGGCAAAGGCTGGGCAGGCGGTTGAGCCTGCGAGGGAGACGCAGCTTTGAGCCATTGTCGAGGGCAGCGAGGCGGCAAGGACAGCGACGAGGGCGGCAGCGGGGGCTTTTGTGCCTATGCGTGGTTGCTTTTGGCGGCGTGCAGCAGGCGGATGGCTCGCATCATGGCCGGACGGGCATGGGTTCATGCTGAGAAGAACAGTGGGCGTGGGCGCGGAGGGTGGCTGTCTGTGCCGTGCGTGTCAAGGCGGCAGAAGCGGGACCGGAGCAGAAGAAAAGTATCGACGTGGAGAGGCGCAGGTGACTAGGCCATGCGCGGCATGGAGATTGGGGGCCGTGGAGTGCTTGAGCGCGAGGTTGAGTGGTTGTTTGGCGGCAGTGCAGTGCCTGGGGGACAGGCGGCGGTGAGGGCAGAGCAGAGCAGAGGGATCGGGGAAGGGGGGGAAACAGCGACGGCGCGATGTATATTGACGGCGGAGCGGCCTAGCAGAAGCGACAGGGCGGCCGGGCGCGCAACATGCAAAAATGAGCGTAGTGGGTAGGGAAGCTGCGATGCGAGGGCCGCACACGTAGTCGTGGGAGAAGAAGGAAGGCACGACCGACTGGGGGAAGCTGCGACACGCGCGACCTGCGACGGACACGGCCTGGACCGAGCGCGCGTGCTGGCCGCTGATTGGCCTGCCCCTGGGCCGGGAAATGAGCTTCCTGGCCTAAAATTATCCCCCGTCTGCTTTTCTGTCTCGTCCTCCACCCAGCCATGGCCACAAATAGCCTGCCCTTCCTTAACTCCCTATAAGAACATACTTACTGGCGCCTCTTCTTGCACCTGTGCCTGCACGCCTCATTTCGCCCGCCGTGCTTCCCCAGCGCCCTGGCCACGACTCTCGCGCCCGGCCCTGCAGACATGCACTGCTGTCCGTGGTGCGTTGTCCTGCAGTAATCTGCGTCTCCGCTCTACCCGACATGGCGCTAACCAAGTAAGCACGCGTGCTAGCTAGCAACCGTCAGCCGCCTTTTGGTCGGCGCAACCGCAATCCAAAACTGCCTGGCTAGCATCGCTCCCTCACTGCCGGAGCATCAACTGTCGAGCCATTGCGGCTTGGCTCTTAAAGCACTCCCCGCACTCACTGCCCGCGGCTGCCTCCAGGTGGAGTTGGTCCTCGTCCAGGTACAGTACTTAGATACGGCATCTTATGCAACTGCCCAACCTTCATCTTCTCTATTCGCCCTCTCCCTTTCTTCCTTGTCACTATCCATGTAACCCCCCATCGCACACATAATGCCTTATCATGGCCATCCAGCCAACCAACCCGGTCCTTGCAACAACCGACAACTTCACAGCCACAAGCTTGCGCTAACCCCGTGACCCGTGCGCTCATACCTCACACTAGCCGACGGCCCGCTCCCATGCCACTGTTGCGGCGATCTCTTTTTTTTGCTTTCAGATCCACAGCCTAAACTTAAGTATCCCACGCTCAAGTGCCGATATACGTACGTCACAAAAGTATACACGGTACACTGGCCAGCAGCAACATGATCATCGCATGGCCATGTCACAGCCTACCAACCATTGGCCCGATCAACACCACAGATCAGTGTCACTTATGTCGTACAAAGTGTCGCAGACCCCCATCTCCAAGACAATCGTGAAGGTGCTAGTCTAGCCTCGAGAAGGAAAAACATAGCCGCTCCCATCTTCCGCTTGTTCGAACCGCCAAGCCGAACCTACTCTGTCTGAAGTAACCGATCGAATAATATGTCCTCGGTCTTGTCATTCATCCACCTGAGATTTGCATTCCTCACTGCTGCTACTATTATCCCAGCAAAAATCTAGACTAACATGCACAGCCCATTTGATTTGTCATTGCTGAGCAACAAACAACATGTTCTCTCCCTCTCTCTCTCTCTCTCTTCCCACCGTTCTACGTCTATCTTCCGACAATGTCTGTTTGAACGCTCCAAGTTGAGCTGCGCCATCAATGCGATCTCACAATTTCTCTCCCCCTAAAAATTCAACATTCATCTTTCATTGACGGGATTAAACAAGAGAAGAAAAAAAGAAAAACTGTTCCCCTTCCCCCCCTCGATCTCTATCTCTGGTCATCTTGCTTTTTTTCCCCGCACACTATCGTCTCACTAGATCATTATGCTGCCCTTACAGCCCAGTCTTGGCATACACTACTTGCTTTACCTTCAAACTCTCTCTTGGCCGTCTTTGTTAAAGTTGCGCCTATCGGATAGCTTGTTTTGAGTAAGAACTACGCCGCAGGGATGTCTCGTTGAGTTTGCCTTTATGCCCCGGCGTATGCAAGTATACCGGTGGGTTGGTATCTGGATAGGTGTCTTCTTTTTTGGGGCTATCAATGTACATCTGTGTTTGTGTCGCTGATGGCTTAATGCCGCGTCGAGAGTTTCAGAGTTTGTCATCTGAGGTGAGGGGAGGTTATTGATTTAGAGGGTGTGTCTTGTTTTTTTTTGAATATGAACTACCTAGGAATGTTTCGTTGTAGAAAAAAAAGGACATAGCAAAATAGTCATCTATGTAATCATGACAAGCAAGACTTCCCATCTTGCAAGCCCACATTTACCCACTCATCCAACAAAAAGAGCCCTCTCCAAAAACAATGTGCAAATCTATTCATTTGGGTATCATTTCCACTTCCTCTCTTCCCTACCCCCTCCCTCCCCCTCAAAAAAACTTCACACCCTCTCCCTCCCCCCCACTCCCAAACACCTGCGCCTTCCCCCTCTTAACACAAACCCCCAGACTCTTCTGCAACAAGTCCATATCCATCCCACCAAACTCCTCCTTCCCCACCGCATCCCCCTCGACAATCTCATAAAGCGTCAGCACCGTCCCCTTCTGCCCCGTCCTCTCCACCCACTCCTCAATCGCCGTCGCCCACTCCTCGGGCCTACGCCAGTACACCCATACTTTCCCCCCTTCTCCCTCTTCTACTTTGGAGCTCTTCTTGCTGCCAGATGTTATGAATTCCGCGCGATTCCCGCCTTCGGCCGAGGCCATGTACGTGAGGATGGCTTTTGCGTCGCGCAGCGAGAGGCTGCGGCCGAGAGTGGCGTTTGTGAATAAGGGCGTGGGCAGGGCGTCGATGAGGGAGAGGGTGAAGATGCGGTGGTGCCGGCAGTAGGTTTGAATCAGCGTCGACCACGAGGCGAGTTGGGAGCTGCGCGTGCTGGCTACGGGTTGCAGGGTGAAGAAGGGGGGGAAGGAGTAGTGGGGTGGGAAGGTAAAGGTTTGATTGGACAATGTGGACGAAGACGTGGGGTTGGGTACCGGCGGTGGGTAGGAGGATGTGGTTGCCATGGCTGCGGGGTTTAACGTGTGTTGTTGTAGGTGCGACTGCGGTTGCGGTTGTGGATGTTTAGTTGGGCGACGCGACGCAGCGGAGGTGCTGGTGGAGGTTTGCGGGGGCTTTGCGACGTCATTGGCTCACTTGGCTGCGGGGGACAGGGTAGTTCTTCTCTTGAGCTTCGACATCTTTTGCACACTCATGTTAACTATGGATTGTTGATGGAAAGCTTTGTTTCTTGTTTTTTTGTTGTGATACCCTTCAGTTACAGTTGACGAAATCCACATTTTCAAGTTTATCAAGCTGCTACTCTTCTTCGACTTCTCTCCATCCATCCATCCATCCATCCATCCATTTTACCGTACACCTTCATACTTATCCACATCCTCAGAACTATGGACTAATCGCAATCCAGAGCTACATCACGAGTTCCCCTGTAGAATTCCTCAAGCACTGCTTCTAGGCGGTCGTGTTCGAAAAACGCAGTTTGTAGGTATCACACGGTGGGCGTTGTGTTGCCCAAAATTTTAGCAAGTGTTTGTGGATGACATCAATGACCTGACCTATGGTTACTCCACCTCTGTTCTCAGCATAGATCATGTCATAGCGCCTATAGTAATCAGTGGTGTCAAGGAGAAGGGTTGGTTCGGCGATGATACTGTAGTATGTTCCAAATTCGATTCCAAATTTGATCTTCGAAAGAGGCGGAATACATACTAGCATTTCCTTCCATGACTCGTTGTTCTCTTTGACTATCTTCTTGGACGCTTCAATCGCAGCCATCAGGTCGTTATGTGTGTGATATTTGTGATACAGCTGCTGCTTATCACTACCGACTTTAAACAAGGAGCCGAAAACGATGTGAAGGTGTTTGTGTAGCTTGTTGACCATAGGATGGACTGTAATAGCTTTTGAAGCGTCGTCCGCAAAGGGTCCAAAAGAGGCATACTCTGGAAAGGTCAAGGTTTGGGGTGCCATCAAGTAACACCTCGGTACTCCTTCATGCCCACTGAATTCAAAAGTGGAATCCAGAAGCAAAGTATGGGAAATTCATGTTCTCCACTATTCTCCTTGTCGTTGACACAATCCTGGGAATCCTGGATCCTCGTACGGTTCACGAACAGCTTGTCACGAAGCTTCGGGTCGTTGCCTGGAAGGCATGCACGCCAGGTCTTGCAGACACGCTGACAACGTAGGACTAGATCCAAAGTCAGCATACATACATCACGCTTCTCAATACCTAACCGAATAGTACAAGCAACAAGACTCCACGCAAACGACTTACGATCGAAAAAGTCCAACTCATGGAATACCATTTGCAACACCTCTGGCGGCATGTGCGGTGCAAATGACTCCATGTTCCTTTCGATATCGCTTTCGTTTGTGTTGTCTGCTTTCATGTTGTTCGACAAGCTTGTATAGATTGGTTGAGGCGGTTCAACGAAAAAGAGGGCAAAGAGGATAGAGCGCTCGAGGCAGATGAATATATAGTGACTGTGTGCAGAAAAATTCCGCTCGCGTGAGGGATGTGAGAGTGAAAGGTAAGATATAAGAAAGACGTCAGCGGATATAGAAGTGAAAGTGAGAGTGAGCTGGAAACAAGCTTGTTAGCTTTACCAGCACACCGTATCACTATCTCCCGCAACCGTATTGACTAGGACTTGTTTAAGCTGTCACGAATGAGTACCAAAATATCGCTCGTCTTTGCCACTTCCAGATGAGTAACCGGTTATTTCATATTATTAACAGAACACTCTGATTTGAAAGGTTGCTAGGATTATGGCTCAATCAGTCAAAACACCTGTACAATACCAGAACATACTGCATTAATATCATTATTCGTTGACCCAAGCCTTGCACACAAGCCGTCCCTGTGTCCTAAAGGGCATATCCCACAAGCCATATGGCACAATGTCCTGATATCCGCCTCATCACCATGACCATATTTTTGCACAAACATTCCCTGCGCCATAACAAGCACACGGCCAAGCCCAATCATTGCGCCAAATAACACATGGATCTCTTATCCACGAAACCCAACCCCATGGTATTCCAAAACAAACCCCACATACAACATGCCAATATCTTCAATTTTTGCCATACAACCCTCCATTTCATCGCCAGCCTTTCCTCTTCTGCTGCTGTCCCGCCTTAAACCTAATCTGGTCTTCCTTCTGCTGCTGAAACATCTTGACCTCCCCACTATACCTCTCGTACTCGCCCATCCAATACTCGATCAACCCACTGACATCGTCCACAAACCCTTCTGGCCCGCGATTCCATACCCATAAGCCCACAACCAAGATGCCGCCCCAGAAAGCGAGGCGGAACGCCAGGTTGATCCAGAAGACGACGGCGCGGTACATCATGTCGAGGATCTTGAGCGAGATGAAGAAGATGAAGAGTAGGGCGACGATGGAGGCGACATCGGGTTGCGTGATGAGTTTGTTGAAGAGGGGTGAGAGGTGTGTGGAGAGAGTGCGAGAGAAGCCGAGGAAGGTCGTTATGATGTGGAGGGCGGGGTCGGCAAAGGAGGGAGGGAGAAGGCGGGGGAGGAGAGCGGCGTAGTCTGTTTTGCTGCTGTTAGATATGAGTGTTGCTGTGGCGCAAGAATGCGTGCGCGCGAGTGTATGCGCTGATTCAAGTAGTGTTTTCAGACTTACCTTGTACGAAATCCATATTGGGCTGTTTGTGCTGCTTTCTTGCTCTCTTACAGGATAAAGTGGCGAGTCGTGTGCGGGACGCGATGGGGGAGACGCGTTGTGTGTTTGTTGTTTTGCGGGGATCGCAAAATCGCAAGTGGAGTAGGTAGTCTGTTGTGAAAGGGAAGTGTTGGAACACAGCGATCCTTTCTACCCTTCTAAGAAAACAAACAAAGCTACCTGCTAGTACGACCGCGGAAACGTCAAAATCCAGGGGTTTCAATAGGGCTACATGTAAAACAAAAACACAAAGTTTCAAAATGATGGAGAATATTCCCCTTTCGCATGTGTTTCGCGGCGGTGACAAACTGTCCACGTTGTTTCTCTTCCACGTCCGGTCTAGCCTCGAACCCTTTTTTTCACGTGCATTTTGTCCCGCCCTCAACAAGCAACTTTGTTACAATCCGCCCTTTACTCAAAGTAGCCGCGGCCCACGCACACGCAAGTGATTGATACAGCTGCACGTCATTGCTGCGCTTCAACGCAGCCGTTTTTGGCGTTGCAGAAAAACGTTATGCACAACTTGACAAACAAGGCGAGAACGGCAAGCAGCCTAATCACCCACACCCCTGTCCGGCAAAAAAAGCTGTACAGATCATCACCCTTGACCAAAGAGTAAGTAGCACGGAAGAAGTCATGGAAAAAAGGAAGATGCGATAGGAGAAAAAAGAGAGCGACCTGATCTACCCGAGACCCCCACTCACACCAAGAAAATCCCATGTAACCTCGACGGCTTCAATCACCCGTACACACGTACACTAGTACTATGCAACCACTTTTATGTTCACAACTTAGTCCTCCGGAACATGTACATCCCGCTTCTCTCAATCTAACTCCACTTCTATCCGCCCAAAAGAAAAAACATAATCCCCCCCACCTCGTACCATCATTCGTAATTTTCCCCAAATGGCATTCCCGGGATTTTGTTAATCTTAACAATTCCAACAAGGAAATAAAAGAAAAAAAAAACTGCCGAGGCGGCTGCAAATCGCGGGCCGAAGACCGGGTCTACTTTTTTTGGGGGGGGGGGGGGGGTGTCTTTTCCAGGAATAAAATGACATTTCCCATTTGTCTTGGCTCTTTTTTTTTTTGCTCCGTTCTTCCAATTAATTACCCAAGGTAAGTTTTTTGCAAAACTTGCGGAATGAGAACGAGGGAAGAAGGTAACCCCCCCCTTCAAAAAAAGGAGTGAAGAAGCCAATGAGAAGAGAAAACAAAAACATTCTAGATGTGGATGTTTGCAGAAGAAATAAAGTGGGGGGGAGCAAAGAAAAAAGGGACGTGGATTGGTCGGGGTGTTTTTTTTTGTTCAGGGAAGTTCCTTGGTGCCGTGGGTTACCGGAAACAGCTAAAAGAAGGGACGATTGTGGCAAACTGGCGGTGTGTAGAAGGGACGGAAATTGTGGGTTGGAAAATCGGCACGGGGTGGCGTCACTCTGGAGCCAAAGGGGGGTTTTTGAGACGGGTTGCTTGTTGTGGGTTCCTTGTCAACGCGGGTGGAGCCGAGATGTTCGTCCGTCTGGTGGGTATTCGAAGAGAGAGGGGGTAGTGGTGCCCTTTTCTGAGTGCCGGGCTGTACAAGCTAGTAAGTAGTCGTTGTATCACGCAATCGAATGATGGTTGAGAGGGAATATCATAGTGGTAAATGTGCGTGTGTATGTGTGTGAATTGTTATTCCTATCTGATGTTGAGAGGTTGTCTCCCGCTGTGTAACCAGCTGTATACCTGATACTCAGATACATATTTGCCTATCCTACAACGCTATCCTCCCCTCCACGCCAATTTGCGTGCTTCGGCAGTGGCCGGCAAACTGTCCTCGAACAAAAGAAAAAGAGGCTCTAGGCCTATGTAGATGACGCAAAGGTCTGGTATCATAATCACAAAGCGCCGCCAAACTCCAAAGATAAAATTCATATGTGGTCGTAAAATATGTATGCGATGTGAATGTCGCGAAGGTAAATTGGGTGTTGTGTCCGGCTTGGTGACAATCTCCAAAGTTGTGTAGCGGAACGCAGTGTATGGTAACGCATGCAGCTGTCGAACCAATGTACTACCCAGTTTGGGTTGTACTGGAACAACAACAGCTCATGCAGACGACAGGCCGTATAGGCTGCTCGTGACGAAAGGTTTGTAAGGATGATTATAACAAGTATTCGAGTGAAGAGGTGGAAATTATATCCAGTTTCCATTGCGTTTCTGTTCAGCCTCGAAGTTGAAGCGGAATGCCGAGGTCTCAGACACAGAAGGGTAATGTATCAGAGGCTGTGATCGACGGGAAGATACTGATCCACGGTTGAACTCTCCACTGGGTGAACAAGGAGAGTATGGGGTTGGCGGTCTATCAGCAAGTGATGAAGCAACACTGGACTTTCTTCGTGCTTGCTCGGGCTTCTGTATTGAGCTTGTGGGTGATTTGATTGAGACAGCGTCTGTCAATGATGGTGTCCGTGGGGGGAAGTCGTATGTGCTGAGCTCCTTCTCGAAGAAAGACGGGGTCCTAGGCGATACACGGTCTCGCAAGACAACTCGGTTTGATGGTCGAATGCCATACTCGTCCAGCCGTTGGTTGTACTGGCTGGGTCGTCGCCATGATTCGAATTCAGCATCGTCCAATGGCGTGACTGCTCGTAATGAGAAGCCTCGCATCCTCCTGCGGGATCTTGTCCACACAAAAAGAACGGCAAGGGTAAGGGCACACACGACGAGCGAGCCTGCGACTGCACCAATGATGATGTAGACTTTAGTTTCCTGCTCCATGATGGCAGTGTCGATGTGGAAGTGTAGACAGTCAGTAGAGGTGTCGTAAATGAGAAGCCGAGATGAATATGTGAAATAGTGACGTCTATCGGATGATGATCATGCTGGCTGCGGTTGACGCGGATGCAATTGTTGATGGGGGCGGTCGACGAAACGACAGCGGTAGACGAAAGAGTCCACTTCTGTTTGATATGAACCCGGAAGGGCGATACGGATAAAGTAGTGCGGGACAGGTGGAGGGGGGTAAGACGGGCGGAGACCAAGGTCATGCGTGTACCCTCGCTCCACAGCGCCGTGGCAAGATAGCACACAACTAGCGGGACGAAACAAGGCAAGACAAAGAACGGTCTTGCTAAGCGGCGCACCGAGAGAGAGGAGTGTTGCGGGTTATAGCGAGCGGGCTGGCTTGGCTTGAGGCAACATGCAAGGTACAAGAGAGCGGCTAGTGGTGGGCAGCGAAGTTTGTCAGTAGGGCAGACGGCCTTGGAAATATCGGTGAGGTGTGCACTAAGAGGACATCCATGAGGGTCTAATATCGACAAGCTTGGAATCTGGTCCCGCCCTCAGCGATGGCGCAAGTACCGGGATAGGCAATTGCACCGTCTCTACTGCAAGGGGCCTGCTGCTCCCGTCCAGTGGGTGCTGTGTCAGAGCCATGGAATGGGCGAGTGTGGCGTTGTTGGGTCAGCAAGATCGTGGCCTGTTGACAACGCATGCCAGATATGCAACGAATCCAGGCACAGAAGACGCTTTCAGCCTCACTCAAGTGATACTCGTGGCTTTGATGTCGCAGACGACAACCCGCCAGTTTGCGGAGATGCTTGCCCTGGTTGCATGCGTACGTGCATGCGCGTGTATGTACGAACAGGACAGTACATGGGTGCGAGCCGTTCACTCAGCTCCTATCCGCAGTACCCACTTGCATGGTTTGGAGGGCGGGG